AGTGCTATGGTTCTATCTAGTTAGGTATTTATTAGCACCAACCACCATAGTTCCAAGAGTGTTTTATGTTCCAAAAGCCAGTTTCAACTGTTGCCCACTTTTATCAATCAGGGGACTTCTAAGTATCAGATTCCTTGATATTTTAACAGTCAGAATATATACTTGTACATGTTTTTAAGTCTCACTCAGCTGTAGGAAAAGAACTCAGCTTGTGGGAGTGCTAATCGGAGCCAATCAGAACTTCATTGACCTACTTAAGCAATCAATCAGTCTGGCCAATTAAAAATGTCTAGCTGAGTTCACGCTCTCCTCCTTTGGGAAAGCAAATGGTTAGTTTTTTCTATGTCAACAAGTCTGATTTTTGTAATGCACACATAATACACTGACCGTAGCAATCAAAAGAGGCATTGTCCAAATCCATCATTCCCTTTGGATTGTTATTACAGTGGTGTTTCTTTGTACCAGAGAGTTTAATGATGTGAAAGAGTGAAGAACATGTGTCTCTGAATACCTGTGAACAGAGAGTTTAGATCATTACTTGGCTTCTGCTTTTGGCAGAAAATGTTAAAAAGTCTGTCTTGGTTCCTAACCCAATGAATTTTTTCTGCTATGGCAAGATGTCCATTCCTTTCTTACCTTCACATTAGCATTAGAAATAAGATACTGAGTGCAGACTAGTTATTGTGAGTAAGGCCAAGAGGGAACACAACAACTTTATTTAGCTGAAGAAAGTATATAGTTGTAACTGGTACCTAGAAGCTGGCAAAGTTGATAACTGAGGTCCAAAAGCAAAGCAAAACATTTTTACCAATAAGGCATTTTTTTCATTTGAATAATCAGGTGATAACTTCAGTTGTTCTAAAGTCCAAAATCAATTCAATCTTCATATTATTCTGACGTGTGTTACCTCCAGTGGTGGGACTAGGAAAAATAACCACAACTCATCTCGCCAGGGACTTTGCTGAACTCCTCTCCACATACCGTATCTGAAAAGCACTGTGGTCTCAGTCTAGTCTACATGGGACAGGCAACCGCAGCGAACACTCACTGTAATTCTCACTCTAGCCATACAATCAAAGAGGCCAAGCACTGCCTTAGCAGGGAGTCTACACTAGCCTCTCTCTCTAGAAATAGGCCGTCCTGAGGAGGGTGCTGTAACATTAATAACATGGCACTTATACAGCACTATTTATCCATAGAGCCCGAAGTACGCTACAAAGGTGGAGAAGCATTATTATCTCTGTTTTACAGATGGGGTGATGGAGAGAGCTCCAGGCCCACTTAGCGTATGTCTACACTGCAGTTGGGAGCAAGGCTCTAAGCTCAGGTAGGCAAACTCATGATAGTGAGGTTCATTCTAGAATTCAAAAGCAGCCGTGTGCATGTTGCAGCACCAGTGGTGGCATGGGCTAGCTCTCCCAGTGCCACAATGTCACACAGCTATTTTTAGCATGCTAGAGCAAGTCCCACTCGCACCAATCTGTCTCCCCGGGCTGGAAGGCTCACCCCCACCTGCAGGGTAGACACACTCTTTGGGTCTAGTACTGAGAAGGCCTGGGAAGCCATGGCTCCAACTGAAATCATTTCTCCATTAATATTTTACCCAGTTCTAATTTAGAAGCATTGACTAAAGCGTTAGGAAGGTGAAAGTGTTAGTCTGGATCTGTAAAAAGCAACAAAGAGTCCTGTGGCACCTTATAGACTAACAGACGTATTGGAGCATAAGCTTTCATGGGTGAATACCCACTTCGTCAGATGTCTGACGCACGGCTGCCCAGAGGATTCAGGGGGCCTGGGGTCTTCGGCGGCGGGGGCCCCCCGCCGCAGAATTGCCGCCAAAGACCCGGCACTTCGGCGGCGGGTCCTGGGGCGTTAGGACCCCCCACCGCGGGTCTTCAGGGCACTTCGGCAGCGGGTCCTGGAGCAGAACGACCGCCCCCCTCCCCCCCCCGCCTCCGAATTGCAGCCGAAGACCCGGAGCGGAAGAAGCTCCGGGGGCCCCCGGAGCGAGTGAAGGACCCTGCTCCAGGGGCCCCAAAAAACTCTCGTGGGGGCCCCTGTGGGGCCCGGGGCCTCGGGCAAATTGCCCCACTTGCCCCCCCCCCCGGGTGGCCCTGGTCTGACGAAGTGGGTATTCACCCACAAAAGCTTATGCTCCAATACATCTGTTAGTCTTCAAGGTGCCACAGGACTCTTTGTTGCTTTTTACAGGAAGGTGAAAGAAAGTTTGCCAGCTGTACAGTATAAATTTATTTTAGTATAAATTCAGACAGTCATGAGGAAACCCAGTCAGCTACATTCATCTTGTTAAACAGTGTGCAAAATGTGAGCTCTCGCAGTCTATTGCCATATATCCTGTCTCCAACCCCACTCCCTGCTGTGATATTGGTACGTACTGAACGTGATATTTTTGGAATACTCTTAGGCCTCTTTGGTTTGGTAAATAATGCTGGAAGAGCAACGCCGATGGCACCCACCGACTGGATGCAGATAGATGATTTCAACACAATTCTGGATGTTAATCTGATGGGGTTGATTGAAATCACCCTGAAGCTTCTCCCGCTTTTGAAAAAGGCTAAAGGAAGAGTAGTCAACGTTGCCAGTGTTATGGGTCGTTTGGCATTTTTAGGTGGTGGCTACTGTTTGTCAAAGTGGGGCGTGGAAGCTTTCTCAGACATCTTACGGTGAGTCATTAGAGATGGATTTGTGATGCTAGTTCTGGCTTTCAAATGCTCTACAGTTTGTAGTTGTTTGAATCTGAGCCTGTGGTTGAGTTCATAATAGTTTAGAGACCAGATGTGAAATTCTGATCCTCACCAGAGTTTGGGTTGTTCCCTTTAGCAGGGAGTTAGTTTGGAGCTTTCTCTAATTTTATCCCATTTTTAACAGCATAAACCTTCCTGTACAAAGTCCTAGAAATGCAGCTTTGACTCAGCTAACAAGGTGAAAACCCAGCAGAGTTAACATCTGAGATGTCTTGCTCTGTGTAGTCACTTTACCCCTATGTCTGAGGCTGTCTTCACCAGCTGGCGCCCTCTTGTTGCTGTGTGGGTGCTACCCTGAGTTTGATTCAGTTTCTCCCCTTCACACAATCAATATTGATTTTTTGTTATGACCCCAGTCCTCCGGCCAGGCCCTTATTAGTTGCTATCCTTTAGGGGTAATAAAGGGTGAGGAGGAGTTCAGTGGCTCTAGTGGACAATTCTAGGCCATGCAGGCCTAGGGTCTTTTCTTGCTCCAAAGTCTTTACCGTGCCTTGTGTTGGAGGGTAGTAGGGGAACCCAAGCCCACCCACTCCACTGGGTTACAGCTCAGGGACACTGTCTGAAGCAACTTGAACCAGTTCCTCCCACACCCTTGCTGCTCCCTGAGCTGATTCCTACCTCGCCTCCTCACTAGGCTTTCCCCAGTGCTCTTGTTCTGGTGCTCCCTCTCTTGCAGCTCCTTGCCAGTCTGTGGAAGGGGTCTCCTCTCTGGAGTTCCTCTGGCAGCCAACATGCCCTCCTGTCTTGCAGCCCTTTTATCTTTAGAACTGTTGTGAGACTACCAATCAGTCCCATCTGAGCAGGCAGCCAATTTAACTAATAATTTCCCATGTAGAACTGTATCAGATGCCTCACTGAAATGCAGGTAGAGAAGATCTACTACATTTCCTTTGTCTAACAAAGAAGGAGATCAGGTTGGTCTGGCACAATCTACCTTTTGTAAACCCATGTTGTATTTTACCCAGTTACCATGTATCTCTATGTCCTTAACTACTTTCTCTTTCAAAATTTGTTCCAAGAACTTGCATACAATTGAAGTCAAACTAACAGGTCTGTAGTTTTCTGGATCACTTTATTCCCCTTTCTTAAAAATAGGAACTATATGAGCAATTCTTCAGACATAGGGTACAACCTGAATTTACAGGCTCATTAAAAAATGTTGCTATTGGCCTTGCAATTTCATGTGCCAGTTCCTTTAATATTCTTGGATGGAGATTGTTTGGGGCCCCCCGATTTAGTCCCATTAAGCTGTTTGAGTTTGACTTCCACCTCAGATGTGGTAATTTCTACCTCCACATCCTCATTAGTCACCCTGCACTATCTCTCTAAGCTCATCATTAGCCTTATTGAAAACTGAGGCAACGTATTTATCTAGGTGTTGGGCTATGCCTAGATTATCCTTAATCTCCCCCACATCCCCAGTGGTTAGCGCTCCCACTTCTTTCCTTGTTTTCTTTTTATTGATATGACTGGTTTCAATGCCCTTTGCAAGTCCAACTCTGCTTGGCTTTTGGCAGTTCTCACTTTATCCTTACACTTTCTGACCTCCAAGAGGTAGCTTTCCTTCCTAATCCATCCCATCTTCCATTCCTTTCTGCTTTCTCTTAATCACCTGTTTGAGATGCTTGTTCATCCAGATTGATCTGCAACCCTTCCCTACGAATTCTCCCCCTTGCTTGGCATGCAGGCTTCAGCTAGCTCCTGCAACTTTGACTTAAAGTAATTCCACGCCTCCTCCACATTCAGATCCTTGAGTTCTTCGGACCAGTCCACTTCCCTAACTAAGTATCAGAGGAGTAGCCGTGTTAGTCTGGATCTGTAAAAAGCAACAGAGAGTCCTGTGGCACCTTTAAGACTAACAGATGTATTGGAGCATAAGCTTTCGTGGGTGAATGCATCCGACGAAGTGGGCATTCACCCACGAAAGCTTATGCTCCAATACATCTGTTAGTCTTAAGGGTGCCACAGGACTCTCTGTTGCTTTTCCCTAACTAATTCCCTTAATTTTTTTAAGTTTGCCCTTTTGAAATCCAGGACCCTAGTTGCAAATCCAGTCTTGTTTATCCTTCAATTTAGTTTAAACTGAATTAGCTCATGATCACTCGAACCAAGGTTGTCCCCTGCAACCAGTTCTTCTATGAGGTCGTCACTACTCACCAATACCAAATCTAAAATGACATCACCTCTTGTTGGTTTGGTGATTATTTGGTGAAGAAATGTGTCAGCTATCACATCCAGGAAAATGTCAGCCCTACTATTATTAATAGCACTTGTCCTCCGATCTATAGCTGGGAAGTTAAGTCTCCAATAATCACTCAATTCCCAGTAGTATTTATTTCATTAAAAACAAATTGGATCCTGGAGGTCTGTAGCATACCCCAAGCACTAGCCCAGGGGAACCTCTAGTAGCTTTCTTCCCCAAAGTGATTTTGCCCCAACAGATTCAGTCTTATCCATTCCATCACTTCTAATTTCTTTACAGTCTACCCCATCATTAATGTACAATGCTACTCCACCACATTTACCCTTTATTTCTGTCTTTCCTGAACAGCACAAACCCTTCAGTACCTGTACTCCAATCATGATTAATATTCCACCATGTTTCTGTTATCCCTATTATATCCGGTTTCACTTCGTGCACCGGTAGTTATAATGCCTCCATTTTGTTAGCCAGGCTCCTTGCATTGGTGTACAAACATCTTAACTGTTGCTACTTGGCTTCTCCCACATTCCTTGCCCAATTGGATACAGTCATTCTACTGCCAGTATTGCCTATCTGACTGGTTTCAACACTATCCTTCCTCTTAATGTCCATTCTCCTACCCACTTTCTCCATTGCTGTATCATTTCTTACGTGATTTTCCTCCCTCTCAATGTTAAAATCAGGCATGGAGATTACATGAGCATCTCCCAACCGTCTCCCCCGAGTTTCTAGTTTAAAGCTCTTTTAATGAGTTGTGCCAACCTCCATCCCAGAAGTCTATTTCCCTCCCTACTCAGGAGGAATCCATCCCATGAGAACACTCCTCTGTCCATGAATACCTCCCAGTGATCAAACATCCCAAAGCCCTCCTTATAGCGCCACTGCCTGAACCATCTGTTGATCATCATGATCTTGTCTCTCCTTCATTCTCCCCCTCTAGGGACAGGGAGAATCCCACTGAAGGTCACCTGAGCCTCCATTTCCTTAAGGGTCTTCCCTGCCCTGGCATAGTCTCCTTTGATAGAATCTAGCAAGAAGCGAGAATCTAGCGAGAATCTAGCTGTATCACTTGATCCCACATGAAGGACAATCAGTGGATTCTTTTCTGCTCCCATTAGGATCCTTTTCAGCCTCAGATCCACATCCTGCATCTTAGCTCCTGGCAGACAGCACACTCTTCTGTTCTCTGGATCAGCTCTGGTGACAGGCCTGTCTGTTCTTAGTAGGGAGTCCCCAATCGTATAGACCTGCCTTTTCCTGGTGATGGTGTGATTCTCCTCTAGTCTTATTCCTGTTCTTTCTGGCTGCAAGTCCTTTTGTCTTTTATTCTCCCTTGTAATGTTCTGCAAGTCATCCTGAATCACCCTGGGGCTCTGAATGGGGTATCTCCATTGACTCTTCTCCTCTTCGTACAGGACTAGTCGCTCTTCTCTTCTTCCTTGCCCTCCCACCTTCAGTTACTGCCTGCTGTGCCCCTTCTTCATTCTCCTGCTCTGCAAACCAGCTCCTGAGCTCTATTGCTCCTGCGCTAGACGGTCTTTTCCTCTGCCTGGTTCTTGTAATCACATGCTTCCACTGGCCTAAACTTCCTTGTTGCCCCTTTTATCCTTAACTTCTGCTGTCTTTACTATCCCATAATAATCTAAGCACTGGTGATGCTGGGCAGCAATTAGGCTGTCGTATGTAAAAGATACTTATACATAACTTTGGAATATTAGACTCAATGAGTATCTGTCCCTCTGCAGTCAATGGTGCTATGCTGATTTACAGAGGCTGAAGAGCTGATCCAGAGGGTCCTCTCAACGGGCAGGTAGAATTGGTAAAATTGACTGGGAGCAGTTGTGAACATTCAGATAAAGCAGAATATGTTCCAAGAAACAAATTTAGTGGCTGATGTGCAAGAGTGTTCAATTCCATTGCATTGTTTGGAATGGCACATGAATGAGTCAGCTCCCCAAAGGTCTCTGGAGCTGCCCCCTAGGGGAGAGAAGCAATTTTCATGGTGAAGGAGTGAAACTGCAATGCAAAATATAAACTGTAAACATCTGCTCCCTTTCTTATTAGTTAACAGTAAATGAATTCACTTTCAGCACATGAACATTTGTCCAATGAAATCTACAGAGTTGAGACTCCTAAACCAGTCAAATGATTCTGCCCAACTGTGTTTTGCTTTCAGATTCTTTCAGGTTGTTAATGGCCTACCAGCAGAAGTAGATTATAACAGAGCAGCAGGAACTGGAAACATTTCTTTGTATTCTACATCTTTGAATAGAAATGTACAGCGTTTCAGCTAGATGTATGGCTCAAATGGATTTGGGAGTTACCTTGATCCTCACTGTTCCTAAGCAAACCACGCAGAATAGACGTTAGGTATACCTGCTGCTGCATTCAAGCGCTCTTCGTAGCTAGATTGTATAGTTCTCTGTACAGTGGGTCTTTTCCTGTGATGGGTTACAACAAAAAGACAATATCTCATATAATAAAGCTAATTTGCACTTTTTTGACATTTTTACATAACCAGAAATAAATCAACATTTGATCTTTATGTTCTTAAGGTACACGCTTTCACTCTGGTTATTACAGAACCAAATATTTAAAGATCATGTAATTGTTGGGTCTGCCAGGATGAAAACATTTGCTATTGTGTTTTATTTCCATTCCAGGAGAGACATGCAGCATTTTGGAGTGAAGGTGAGCATAATTGAGCCGGGATGTTTTAAGACTGGAGTAACTAGTTCAGAGGTCATTGAGAGAGACCTGCTAAGACTTTGGAACCAACTAACTCCTGAGGTCAGAGAATCCTATGGAGATAAATACTTTGTTGAGTGTAAGTACAAATACTTAACATCACTGGACTGGACTGGACTTGGCTAACCTTAGTCATGGACTGACCATTATTTCCTTTGGAGTACAACTCTCCTGTTGGAGTGAAGGGCTTAGTCTCTTGGCGCACCTATTAGATTGGTGGAACATGTTCTGGTTCAGATAACTCTGGGAAAGAATGCTATTCAGCTGACAGAGTGCTCTATTGATGGCCTGGTAAAACATATTATTGTCCTTTGTCCTCAACAACTGACAGCTAGAGAGCCAGTGGCAGGACACCTCCTTGATTCTAGGGGGTTGTCACGTCTTTGCTTTGCAGGACACTCCTCACTCATCCAGGCAATTCATCACAATGTTGAAGAGTCAATATACTTCCCAATGCTTTACAGAATAGCTTTTCTTTCTACATAGGATTTCCGATTCTTCTGTTTCACTAAAGAGTATTTCCTCTTCTGCTGCAGGATTTCCTGTTCTGCTGAAGATTAGGTTTGAGTTACTCTTACAGGGTACAAGAACATTTGCAGCGAATTAAAGGGCCTGAGGAAGTTTCAAGAAGAAAGAAAGTGAAGTTTACTTATTAAATATACTTAATTCAGGCTACAAAAGGCAGGGCGATAAACAGCAAAACTTGGAAACATATGTACAGTATACAAAGGCTGTAGTTTCATAGATTAATTATGGGCTATTGAATATTTGTTTCTTGAGCAGCAAATAAGCAACTATTACTAACAAAAATAGAATGATTTCTAAAGCTTTACAATGCAGTTAACAGTAACATTTGGGGTTGGAGAGCATCTATAGCTCTTCTTGTTCTTTTACAGAGTTAGCTGTCAACAATTTAAAATTCTTTTATCAGAGAATGTTTCATAAGCATTCAGGGATTTATTTTCTTCCCTGCAGATATAAGAGCTCAAAGATTTTCAATGAAAAGATTGTGCGACTCTGACATTTCTAAAGTCACAAAATGCATGGAGCACGCCTTGATAGCAAAATACCCCAGGACACGCTATGGATCTGGATGGGATGCAAAGTTCTTTTGGCTGCCCCTCTCCTATGCACCAACCCTTCTATCTGATATGATGTTGCGTATGCTGCTTCCAACTCCAGCAGCCAGTAGGAAATCAGTATCCAGAGTTCCACTTGATGTTTAATATTTAGTACACTAGGGTCAATGCTAAAGTGATGATTGTTATTCTTTTCAAAATCAGCCGTTCACTTTCCTACCTGACAGCTTTAATTCTCTTCAGAAAACACTTTCATTTTTATTGAATTTCAGTCTGGAGAAAGTTTTTCTTTGTTATATTCATCAGAGATATATTTGCAGTATAACATTCACCTGCAGAGCTGGTCAAATAGTATTTACCAGATAAAAAGTTTGGTGACTTTGGGCCTTTTATTTCCTGAATCAGTCCTTCTATATGCAAATCTATTCTGCTCTTTAAGTTGGACCAAACGTCAGCCTATGAATTATATGATGTTGGTATGCAAAGTGCAACATTGTTAATCCATATATTCTAGTGGGTAGAATATACACGTTCTATAAGAACACATTTACTCAAGAACTGATACATCTATTCATGTTGAATATGGGTATTTGATTAGATCAAGTTTAAGCCATTAGAGTTCACAGCTTTGTGAAGTTCAGTGGCTGGTGTGCATGATTCAGTCAAAGTAAGCCCCTAGCATTTGACAAATATCCACAAAAAGTTAGTTCCAGTGCTCAGCTACATCTATGCGCCTATTTACCATTCAATAGGCAGCTACTATAGTGGGAATAATACACAGGTTATTTCAACAATATGTAATATAAGTGACAAGCAATCAAAGACAACTGTTATCCATTACCACAATATTTATACATTACCCTGATTCCTAATTTTAGTGTAGTTTTATCCAAAAAATAATACATATGTACATGATGCCTTTTATCCTGAGGGATCCCAGTGGGTCTTACATTTCACCCCATGCTAATTTCGTGAAGCAGATCATTTTGTTTATGCTGTCGTCGATTAATATTACTATATGCAATGCACTAAGCATGGTAAAATACCACTTGCTAAGTGCACTATAGGTTTTTTTCCCTGATAAGCCGCTGGCAAGTAGCTGACATGATGGTGTGCATGATGGTTTGAAAATTGATAGGGTAAAGGTTTCATTTACTAGAGATTTGAGTTGCTGATTAATGATTAATATCCAGGTCAGTTAAGTTTACAAAAATATCACAGCAAGTCAGAACTTAGAATGAGGAAAGGGGGTTCATCATATGTGTGTGTGTTTGTGTGAAATTAAAGTACTGCACTCAGAGTCTACTCTCTACCAAATGTCTTCAGAGGAAGCAAATTCATTTTACCTCATTTGACGATAAACACACATTTATAAATATTTTTCCCTGTCTGGTCTGATGGCTTGAAAGATCCTACATCTGAGAGAAACTAATGTCATTTATCACCCTAACAGTGGCAGATTACAAAGAGAGATTGAAAGTTCATAGAAAACGGGCTATCTTTCAAACATCAGTCTAGTGTTCAGAAAGGAAACAAGGGATGGGGATCATAAAGTGAAAGAAATCAGAGAATAAAGCTGTGAACAAAAACCTTAAAGCCTCTGCTGGACTGAGTACCATAGCTACTCTCCATTCATTGACTCGTGGAAGGGAGGGGAAGCCTTTGCTATACATTTTATTGAGGAGGAGAGGAAGCCCAAACTGGTGCCTGGGAGTCCCTCTGCCAGAAAAAGAAAGTTGTTGTTTTTAAATCATGAGCAAACATATGCACTATATAAACAGTACAGCCCCGAAGAGACAACATTTTATTTGTGTCTGACAACTTACAAATCTTGTGAAAAAACCAGTTATTATATATTTAAAATGAACATGAGTTTTAGCAGTAGATTTTCAGCACGGCTGAAGCTTTATGTCTCTGGGTATAATTTGCAAAATTGACACCTGCATTTTTTATGGGTGCAAAGGGAGGCCAGATTTGGGAAACGTAGGCCTCAATATCATCTCTCTCTCTAAAAATTCAAGTATAAGAACTTTGTGGGTTTGAGATAGTTCTTTCCGTCAAAAAAAAAAAAGAAGCCACTTTTTAAAAAACATCTTCTTTTGCAAACTGTTCCACGGATTACTAGGAACATCTTAAAGTAAAGCACTGGGGTAAAATGGAGTTACCAAGCCATTATTTGTTTTGCTCAGGTCTGTACTGCCTGAATATTCATAAAGCACTAACTACACTCCCTATGTCCTATTCCACCACAAACTGAGCTCAGTGTAATGGCTTGGAAAGATCCTCTTTGAAGTAGTCCCTTCTTTGGTACTTCCAAAATACTGATCAGAGACATTATAACAGAACTATGTACTTGAAAAGGTTTACAAATCTGAAGCCAGATCCTCAGCTAGTATTAACTGGTGTAGCTTAGTTGAAGTGAATGGAGTTACACCAATATATACCAGCTACCAATCTGGCCCCTGATTTTACAGAATAAGAGATATACTGGACATGCTTACACAGGTTCATTTGTAAAATGCAATTTATTATAAAATTTTTGTGCAAAAGACACTGTTCATAACTTTTCCAGGATGTAACAATTCTTATGTATTGTAGGATATTGCATTATTCTTTAAATTGTGAATAAAATGTATCATAGAAAAGTTGTAAAAATGATAATGATTTGCAACATTCCAAGCCAACTTTGGGGTGAGTAATGCACTAAGTTAAAATTGCAAACAACTTATGCATGAACGGAATACATCTTCTGAATCACGCTTCCGTGCAAATCTGCACCATCATTAAAATCAGTTCATGATCACATCCGCATGAGTTTCATGAATCAATGGGTACAGATTAAAATAGAGGGTTTGGCTTGAACAAAAGTGGATGTGTTTCTCCAAAGCAAAGCCTTTGAGCAAGCTGCCTTTCAAAACCGACACAAAAGCTGCGCCAGCTACACCAATATTATTATTCCAGCTGGAGGAGGAATACAGCACCTAGGTGCAGCAAGCTCTATTTTCTCTTGGCACACAGACACCAGAAAGAGCCATGTCATCCAGGTAAAAGGTCAGTTGTCATATTGTGATTCTTGGGCCAAGTATTTGGCTAGCACTCCCACAAGAACAGGAATATTAGAAAAACATTTGGCCCAAGAAGTAAGACACACCACAAGGATGAAGGGAGACAAAATTTGACTCTCGCAGACATTTCCTTGAACTGGAGGCTTCCAATGTATTTAACAGGTGAAGTTTAACACAGCCATAGCAAATACATGTGTTGGTCTGAGATCCCGTTTTTGTGCATGTGGATTTTAAGTATCCTATTACTCTAATACACCTACGTTGACCAACACAGTGACAGGCATTCAACCTCATGAGAACAGAGATTATTCTGATTATTACCTCATCAGAACAGAGATGACTGGATAGGGACTCATGAAGGATATTAACAATAGTGTTAGCAGCATGATAGTGTAGGCATTAACTTGCATGTATTTTGTCCAGGGAGGTCTACAATCACTAGTATGATATGCACATTGGAGCGTACAAGCCAAAGTTTGGCCTTCTGTGATTTACTGGGATTGGAGAGCTGTGCAGCCAGAGTACAGGCCTGGAAACCAGAAACTTTCCACCTCTAATCCCAGTATTGACACCGACTCCTTTTATGGCTTCCAATCAGTCAGTCTCTTTGCCCTCGTTTCACAATCTGTAACTGTGAATAATAGTTTCCTACTTTACAGGGATGTTGTGAGTATTAATATGTTATAACGGGAATGATTTTCATCTCATGCTTTACCAAGGTATAACTGACTTCAATAGAGTTCTGATTTACCCCTCAATGTGTAACTAGGCTCAAATGTTTGGAAAGTACAAGTACTTTTATTAGTGTTCTCTAAAGCACTGCTTTTTTTCAGACTGTACTGAAAGCTCCAGATTATGACAGATTTGTATGGCGCATTAGACTCAATAATTTATGGATTAAGAATATGATAAAATAACACATTTATTAGATTTATTCAGCAGCATCATTTTCCAGTTATCTTTTCTAATCAAAATACATTTCAAAGTCATTACAACAAGCATTCTAAATAGGGATAGCATAAATTTTGAGAACTCAGGCATAAAACAATCAAACAGCAGAAGTCTCATTGATTATAAATTTAGGAACTTGCAGTTATATGAGTAACTAGCCAGGAATGCTAAATAACATATTAGAGTTATTCCTGCAGTGGTGCTTAGACTTTCCTTAAACGGTTCATGTTATGGAAACTAAATTGGCTAATTAATGGAAAAGCTAGCAACATGTACAGTATATTCTGATAGAACGTTATGGAAATAACCAGATGACCTACAAAGATTGCATCAGTAGAAACTGTTTCCCTTTCTATTAATGTCCACCTCAGGAAATAAATAGTCAATAAAAATTAAATTTTTCACATGAAAAAAGCTGGTTCATTTTTAAATTAACCAGCATCTTTTGTACTTTGCTAGCTACTTCATTTACCAGTACAAACAACTTCCAGAGACTCCAGCCAAGAACAGAGTTATTCCATTGATGATCAGGAGAAAATCTCATTAAATTAAGTATGAAATTACGGCATGGTACTAAAATTTAAATATATCAAATCTTCCTATAAACGCTGTTAATGGGATATTTTAATTGGAACCCAGAGGGAAAATACATGTATTATGGATCTGGGGAGGAATTATTTGATTTCAACCAGACAAAATATTGCAAGAACAATATTCTGTGCAGGTAGCTATTCAGCCAAAATACGCTGTACTGAATTTTCCATCTTTTGTTTAATATGAGATATACAGAGAGAGAGAGAGAGGACAGAGAGACCCATTTTTATATACAGTAGTATATTAAATGGGTAGTAGAGATACACAACACACCAGTACAAGTTTAAGAAGGTGCTGTTATAAATATATAGGCTCTAAAAGTTTCTGTAAATCAGAAAACCTCTATATTTACCTTGATTTTTTTTAGTTATATCATGTATATAATGGATTTATCCCTAAAGATGCAACCACCAATTCAGAACAAATTTCTTTAGCTAAATCAACAAACAAGATAATCTTTCAAAAATTTACAAATGTACAATATATTTATAACATTACTTTCTGACAGCTTCAGTGCAAAGATATACATATAGTACATCATGATAATTGTTCATAAAAATAGCAGTTGGCATTTGTCAAAAAAACAAGGCATAGCTTCAAAAGACATCTTCAGCTATTCGCTAAAAGGTGTATATATTCTTTATAAAGCGTTTGAATGTGAACCTTTTCCCGTCTGTTTATAAAAAATATATGTGCAAATGGGTATGTCTAATTATTCTCTAACTGATTAACTAGTTATACAACAGAGTCCTCTTTAACAAGATTGGCGGTGTCTTTAAATGTATCCTCTGTTGCTGTATAAGCTAAAGGTGTGTCTCTCTTGAGAGTAATTTTAGGAGGCTGTGAAGGAGAGGGGAGAGAGGCATTTTCAGTGTCCCCTTGTTGTTCCTTCTCCATCTGAAACAATCACCATAAAAACCATGGTTTAACATTAACCATTCACTTTAGGTTTGATTTCAGAATTGCTAAGCATTCATAGCTCTTGTTGAAGTCAATAAGGTACGTGGATACTTGGTCCCTCTGACCATCAGCCCATATATCATTATTTAAACACGGATTTCACCTCAGCAGGCAAAGCTGAGAAAACAATGAATTACTAAACTAGTCAGGGCTGATCCTGCCAACGATTACTACCACCCATGTGTTTAACAATGAGTAATTTTATGTCTCTACACACTTATTACTGTAGATAATTATTAAGGTAACCAGCACTACTTAGGAAGTAAGCATTATCTCAGTAGTGTTTGCTGGGCTGGATCCTTCGCTTTACAAATTCCCACTCACATCTCATACAGTATGGGACAAATAGGGTAAAATTTTCAAAAGTACCTACATGTCTCGGAGCCTAAGTCACATTTTCCAAAGTGACTGAGGAGAAGTTACTTTCAATGATACTTAAGCTCCTACACGCCTAATTCACTTATGAAAAAAGGACTTAGGCTCCTAAGTCACTCCGGAGCATTTGAAATTTTTATCCACAGTGTGAGACTCTTGATCTGGCCCCTTTATGCTGGGTAAAAGGGCCTTAAGTGCCAGTGTCCAGCCGTGGGAGAATTCCCCTGATGCAGGCACTGCAGAAGACCACTGTAAGGTGCCTTACAAGAACCCCCTCACAAGCATGCCAAGGGTGGGTTTGAGGATAGAGGGGAGAGCTCGGAGCAGGGCCACAGCTTGCAGCACTTCAGAGATTCTAGGCAGTGATGTGGCTCATAGGGCAGCGCCAGGGGGCTGTTGTAACTTAGTCTTTGTCTACACTGCACTTTCGTCAGTAAAACTTTTGTCATTCAAGGGTGTGAAAAAAACACACGCCCCTGAACGACAAAAGTTTTATTGATGAAAAGTGCCAGTGTGAACAGTGCTATGTTGGCGGGAGAAAGCTACCACCTCTCGTTGGGGGTGGATTTATTTTATCGGTGGGAGAGCTCTCTCCTGCCACCAACAAAGAGCGGCTACACTGCCCACCTTTTAGCGGCATGGCACAGCTGTGTCACTAAAAGGTGCATAGTGTAGACATAGCCTTAGATAGCCCTGGGGACTTATGCCAGCAGCTTCTTCAGCCCCAGGAACAGCCTAAGGTTGGGAGGGCGTAACTGTGGCTTTAAATCCACCCCAGCCCCTTTTCCCCGTGCTGCATGTTCTGTGTGGTGCCTCTTATTGGTGCAGCACAGACTCTTATCCATAATCTTTATACTATGAAAACAAACGTTAATTCATGCTTCCCACACTACAAGAACCAGCCCTGCTCGTGAGCTAGGTGAAAAGTGCAGGCTGAGAATGAGAGTGATACAATTCAGAGTTACCTCTGCATAGATTGGATTTTCAAAATTAGTACTTAGTTTCAGTTTTCTTTTGAAGAAACTCCACTTTGTTTCCTGAAAGATAAAAATAACAGAACTTTACTAATAAACTCTTTAGCACAACAGTTTCTCCCCTTTCATTTGCAAAATGATAATACTGTTGAGGGAGGGTTTTCAATAGCATTTCTTATTGGCTATAGCCGTAAGGGATTTTATTCAGGAAACGTTCAACCCATCACCATTTAATTAATTAATTTATTTATAATTAAGCTCTTTTGGTGTAATTTTTTTAAAGCCTATCTCAGATTCTAAGTGCTTCGACAATTGTTAAAATGACAATCCATCTGTAAAGGAAGAAACGAAAAATGTAACAACACATATAAAGTGTCTAAAAATGTAATTTCTCCTTAAGAGTATAGGCATTGTTTGTTTGGGGTTTTCTGAAGGCTCATCAGAAAAAAACATATCAGATGGAACCCACAAATGGTACCTGAAATGGCCAGTTAAACTATTATTCCTGACACAACCTCTAATCCTTCACCAGTCAACCAGCCACAGAAGGCAATTCAGTGGATCTTTTCAGTACAGGGAAAATAAACTAGGTTTTCACTACCACGCAATTAATTCTTATTTTAAGTCACCGTATGGGCTAACAGTCATCTCCCTAAATCTACCTTTTGATACTCAATAATGTCATTCAAATGAGCTCATCTTAGACTATTTCCCCTTCACCCCCCTTTTGTTGTTAGCATTATTTGCTTACAGTAGCAGCTCACAGGGGTTCTCAAACTGGGGATCAGGACCCCTCAGGGGGTCGTGAGGTTATTACATGGGGGGGTCGCGAGCTGTCAGCCTCTACCCCAAACCCCGCTTTGCCTCCAGCATTTATAATGGTGTTAAATATAAGAAAAAGTGTTTTTAATTTCTAAGGGGGGTCGCACTCAAAGGCTAGCTGTGTGAAAAGGGTCACCAGTACAAAAGTTTGACAGCCACTGAGCTAGAGGCCCCAATGGGAATCAGGGCCCCACTACTTCTAGGCACTTTACAAACACATGGAAAGAGACAGCCTCAAAAGAGCTCATATTCGAAGTAGACAAGACAGAAAAAGGGAAGGAGGGGAAACAGAGGTCAGGCAAGTCAGTAGCAGAGCTTAGAATAGAACCCAGTTCTCTTGGGTTCCTGTCCAGTTTCCGATCTAATAGGCCAATTGTTGTTATTTTAACTAAAACAGTATCCATGAGGTAAGATGACAGCAGATAAAATGGCAACATTTATTTATAGAGAGTAACACTACAAATGGACTCTACGCAAATCAAATGGAAAAGAAAAAACAGGTGTGAAATTATAAAATGAGAAATTACTGTAATGACTGAGCAACACTCAAGTATATGCAGGGATACAAATCCCTGTGAGCTCTGCTTGGAAACTCGGGTCCATCCACAAGGAGAAAATTGTAGAATCAGGCCCTAAAAGAATGCTGACCTGTAAAGAGCCACATCACTAACTAACAGAGGGTCCTGTGGCACCTTTAAGACTAACAGAAGTATTGGGAGCATACAGGACCCTCTGTTGCTTTTTGCAGATTCAGACTAACACGGCTACCCCTCTGATACATCACTAACTAACGTAATTCAATAGATTTCGCTTAGCCTCAGTTGCCAGAGAAGTTCCAGGGATGCTCTATCATTCTGCAGCATCAGCATTTACACTCGCATGCTGTTGACTCAATAGGAGGGATAACTTAGCACCTAAGCTAAGCACTCGGCCTTTCAGTCCACTCACCAGATAAGCCTGGGACTTTGCTTCCACCACAAGCAAAACCCTATCCTGATTGCCTTAACGGACTTCCTCTGCCCCTCAAGAAAACTGCAATAATATGCACTTTGTTATCGTTTCCTTAGCAACAGACATGCAGCCAGCAAAATATTCTCTGGCACATGCCCACTGAAATTCATAGTGAGCCTCAATTGGTAATTTATGTGAGAGATGAGCTGAAGAGATATGATAGCCTTTGCTTATATGTATTATTCAGAAATAATAATGTGACTTCCAGGAATCACATGACTAAGCTAGGCGAGAAAATTCTTTGATCTTCAACACTGAAAATACTCAACAATACTCGAAACAAACATTCTGTATGCAGGTGATGCATGAAATTGAAACGCTTAATGTTGCTATGGTTATAAGTAGAATATAAAAACATGATTAAACTACACAAATGATAAACCTCTTACATTTTCATTACAATTAATCAGATTTTAGATCAAAGTGTAGTGTTACTGTCTATGAAAAATTGAACTATTTTTATGCAGATGTATTTCAGTAGGGATTTGTTTGTTAATTGCTGAATGTATGAATGTTTGTTAAAAAAGATCACTTATCTTGCGAGTGGGAGGGAGCAGGTCTTCAGCTGGTGTAAGCTGTCATAGTTCCACTATTGTCAACAGAGCGATGGCAATGTACACCAGCTGAGGATCTCCCTGCTCACATTGCAACTTTCATGCTGAGAGAAGGCCCTGAAAAGAGAGGGTTATAATGGAAACACTGGTAGGCTCTTCACTGCAGAGGTACAAATACTGCTATTCAAATGTACTTTCAATGTCACAAGCATAGTCAGTGCTGGAGAGAAACAGAGAGAACCCCGTGAAGCCATCTGGGGCTGAAACAGTCTTAGCAGGAAATAAAACTTGACAAATTTTAGCAGCTGGTTCCTACAACTGTCAAGCATACTCAGTATTCAGAAGTGTTGGCATCTGTGCTGCAGAGACAGGGAAGAATAGCAAAAAGGATTATGGGCCATATCCTTTGAGGTACAGACACTTTCTGTGAGCTACCAAATGCCCTCAACTCCTCTTTAAAGGTTTGTCTAAATGGCTGTAAACCAGATTTAAAGGGATGTAAGAGTGTCCACACATGGAGTCATATTGGTTTAACTAAACCAGTGCCCCATCATATCTTTAGTTAAACTGGTGCAACTTTGTGGGTAGATCAGGTGCCTAAGGGTATGTCTACACTACAATTAAAAACACACAGCTGGCCCATGCCAGCTAACTCGGGCTAATGGGCTGTTTGATTGGGGTGTAGACATTCAGGATTAGGCTGGAGCCTGGGCTCTAGGACCCTGAGAGATCGGAGGGTCCCAGAGCTCAGGCTGCAACCGGAGCCTGAACATCTACACCACAATTAAGCAGCCCCTTAAGCACCGTGAGCCTGAGTCAGCTGGCATAGGCCAGCTGCAGGTTTATAACTGCAGTGTAGACATTTAATCCCTATGGCAGTTCTGTATTGGAACTGTGCCTGAGTGGAGCAGTTGCATAGCATGATCTCTGCACTTCATGAGGAGGCAAACTCTGCACAGACTGTAAATAGACTAACATGAAGTGGATCCTTGAGGTGGACAAGGGAAGAGAACTCTTGCAGAGATGCTTTGACAAAAGCCTTGTATATGAGGTTGAAGAAGAGCTTGCATGCTGGAATAGCAACAGCAGAGAGGATGAACTGCAGCCTTGTTACTGTCATATAAAGCCTGATTAGCTGGACTTTGTGCAGGGAGATGTGTCAATTTCACTCCAGGTCATTATTTTACGCAAAGTGAAAATTATATTGCACATCTTTCCTGCATTAGGTGTGAGAGTTCAGAAATCCTAACACTGATCACAAATAAAACAGTGCTCTGGGTTTGCAGCACTAAGACTAAGAACAATACAGCAATGAATTAGCGCCATTCTAAAAAAATTTAAGCACCACTGTGTTACCTGTGTTGTTTCTGTGCTTACAGGAGGTTGCTGTGCACTAGCAGATATTCCAGCAGAGTAGACAGGATTTTCAAAATTCTCATTTTCCTCACTATTAGATGCGGTTACCTGTTTGTAAAAATAATTTAAAAGGGTTATACAGATCCTAGTAATGATGAGAAAAAGTTAAAACCCACAGACAAGGACTGATATAATAATAAAAAAAGAAATTAGAGAAAGAAAGATCCAGTGCATAGAAGAGGAATAAGGATGTAAGAAGAAGGAAAGAAGAAAAGCAACACTCAATTTCTTTCTTACACATGTAGGCTGAGCTACATTCACTACACTGGCTCCACCTTCTCTGGTTATATACATTGGATTTTCAAACGTGATTGGCTGCTTCCCTGACTCCACAGCAAAGTTTTCATTCTGTGAAAAAAACCCACAGTATAATATACGGATAACATAGCCAGCACTTTGTAATCTAATCCTTTACCTCAGGGAGAAATACATTTTTATTTTTGTCAAGTTATCTATGAAACTCAGTGTGTAACTTTACCCTGCGTTATTCCACTCAATGACTTGTTAATCGTCTATCAGATCACCACTGAGTACATCACGTTCAAAGCCTGAACACATAACAATGGCTCATAGTCCATGTCATAGCTAGGCAAAAAAGAACCATTTCAATCATTTACTCCAAATGTGTTACAAAGCAGAAGGACGGCTTCCACAAATCAAGCCATTAAGAGCAAGGAAATGTCAAAGGAAGCATAATCCCAAAACAGGTGTTTCACTGTAGAGACTTCAACGTGACATACAAATTAACCATTGGTATCTGAAATATTAAAGAATGGGATCAATTCACATTACCCTAGTAGGGAGATTGCTATATTTTTCTGCAGAAGAAACACAAGTTTATCTGCTCATTTAAAAACCTATGAATTAAGTTAGAAATAGACCATTTTGCATTCCTGCAGAGCATAATATAAATGGCAGCTACTTCACACATAACTGTGCCAGACCTGAGCAGTGGCTGCAATGCTCTGGGTAGATGTATAAAGATGCTGCCAGAAACAGCGTTTAATGTTTGGCGGACTGAGCGCTGGGCTAGTCCCCTGGGGCAGATTAGAGCAACATGAAGGCCTCTCTAAACGCTCTGGTTTGCCAAGTATTGCTGGGGGATAGGTTTGCCCTGGCCCCACCCCTTTTCCCCCAGGTCACAATTCCTTGCCAGGAGGGCCAGGGTGGACAGCAATCACTATGGCAATTCTCAAGCACCTGAGGACTGCCCCTGCACTGGAGACTTCTCAAGTGAACATAGTGATGCAGAGAATCCAGTCTGAATGGTTTCAAAGGCTTGCAGCATTTTGATATGTGACTTTCTGTTTCAGATTTAGCTAGCCACAACACTATCTGGGTATGTCTTCATTGCAAATTTAACTCAGGGTATTGGCACCTGCATTAGCTGGCTCCAGGGAGAGTGGCTACCCTGAAATAACAGTCGAGCTGCTGTGTCCACACTGGCACTGAGCTCACTTATGTGTATTTCTTTCTGCAACAGTAAGCTGAACCGCTTTATGAGTTCTTTCCCAGTGAATTGTGGGAGAGCTTGTCTGTCCTTTCTGGGAACAGGGAGGGATTGTGGGAAGGCACTGGAGAACTAGCATTACTTGAGTGGTTCTAATCTGCATTCATGCGACAGAGTGACTGTGTCAGCAGCTAACAGCAGCTAGTTGTAGTCTGTGTTGGAGTGTACCAACCCCACACTGGGCCTGCCGGTAAATGAGAGCCTGTGGGTGCAATCAGTCTCCCATCCGCTACACCTGCAGTAAATGTCAAACCTGGAGGGAGAAGTTAAAAGAATTGAATGTGGCTCAGTTAGGGCCTGACCAGGAATGAGAGCAAATCTTTGGCTCTCACTCAATGAGAGAAGCCTGGTTGGAGTTAGGGAGTGGAGTGGGATAGCTAGCAGACAGAGCACCCCTGAAGGAAGTTACATCTGCAGCAGGGAGCCCAAGGGAGCTGTGAAGCAGCGGCAGGAAGTGAGCCTGCCTAGGATTCTGCATGCTACTGGAAGGGCCCACAGGGAACAATTCATAGTTTTATCGTGTAAGGCTCAAAAAACAGTGCTATTTCTCAGACATGGCAATAAGTCAGCCTGGATAAAATCTGACATGTCTCAAAAACTGATAGAAACATCCAGGTTTTACACAGACTTCCAGCAGCAGTGAATTTCACAAGTTTACAATCCGATGCAGAAAGTCGTATTTCCTGTGACTGTTCTGAATATTATGTCTGAAGCCTCAGTTATGTATAATATTACAGGGGACAGGAAGCGGGAACCTTTGTAACTTGCACATTTTTACTTGTTCCACGAGATGTCCAAGTACACAAAGACCTTTGCAGGGAGATCTAGTAATATCTGTAGAATTACAGGACTAAGTGCCCATTCATTCCCTTGATGATATGCTGAAGTATTTCCAGAGTGATTAATTTAATTTCTATCACATAAATCTTGAGAAAAGTATATTATCTCAGAGAACACTCTTTGCTTTCACTTCTTTAGAGTAACCTAATTCAATATTCACTTCTTTGTTTATAGTGCATTTATCATCTCATTGTCTTTCTGTATAAAATTCTTCCATTTGACACACAAAACAGCTACAAAACAAGGAAAAATGTTAAAGATGATTTTGGAATTGAGCCATACCATCTGCATTGCTCTGTCTATAGTAGAATCAGCTCCGAAGCCAGACACACCAATGTCCATACTCACATCCGCTCCAGATCGGAAGGTCACCCCATTGCCATTTTCAGTGGACTTTACAAGACTGCTTAAGCTTCAAAAATAAAAAATCAATTATTTGGACAGTAACCTTTTAAATCAAATGTTCTGTGTGACTGTTGCTAGGAAACTTGAAACATTCTCTCTATAGGCCAACTCCAGAAGCTTTACTTACTCTTCACTTCAGCGAACCTCTCATTGAATAGAATGGCAATTCTTGCCAAATAAGGAGTAAGAACCTCAGGGTTGGTTATATGTAAGATATACTGAGTCATTAAAAAAGAAAAGGTATGCTGACTACAATTTGGTTAGTCTTATTTTCAATTTTGTTTTCCTGACATTCATAAATCCATTGTCTTCTTAAAACATTTTACTATTCAATAGCATAATTCTTATTAAAACCTTAGGGCCAGATTTCCACAGGGCAAAAGCCCAAAGCATACACAAAAATGTCATTACAATTGTATATCTAACTGGAGGATAAAATTTCAGGAATTGTCTGTATACATTAGTTGTCTATGCATACAAATAACCACTTAGGTTCCTCATGGGTATTTTCATGTAAATGCCCAATTTTCACATGAAATTGTGATAACTGCAGGTGCAATTTAGGCTTGCAATTGTATGAGCAATGTTAGAAATTGGGTGAGAGGAAGAGTATCAGTTCTAAGTAATATGAACTGTGGCCTTACACATGAAGATATTAACAATGGTCAAAAACAGGACCTTCATCAACTAAAAGAGAGGCCTTCACTATAGAGTTAACTCAGGTTATCTACACTCGAGTTACTTCTCTCGAGTTAACCTGGCTTGACTGAAAGTACCCACACTGCTAAATAACATTAAAGTTGCTCAGTTCACACTGGCACTGACCTCACTCATGTGTGGCAATCAGGGGCGGCTCTATGTATTTTGCCGCCCCAAGCATGGCTGTGAGGCAGCCTTCAGCGGCATGCCTGCGGGAGGTCCGCAGGTCCCGCGCCTTCGGCATACCCGCCGCCGAATTGCGGCCGAAGCCGCAGGACCGGTGGACCTCCCGCAGGCATGCCGCCGAATCCGCGTTACCAGTGGACCTCCCGCAGGCATGCCACCGAAGGCAGCCTAACTGCTGCCCTCATGGCGACCGGCAGGCCGCTGCCCATGACTTGCCGCCCCAGGCACGTGCTTGGTGCGCTGGTGCCTGGAGCCGCGCCTGGTGGCAATAAGACTTCTGGGGGCATATCACGTGGTTCTTTGCATGTAAGTAAGTTGAGCTGCTCTATGAATTCTTTCCCAATGAACTGTGGGATAGCTTGTCTGTCCTTTCAAGGGGACTGTGGGAAGGTAATGGAGGGCTAGCAGCACTCAAGTGGAGCCAGCCTAAGTCCATGTTGCAGAGTGGTTGTGTTAACAGCTGATGAATTGTGCTACCTTGAGCTTTAGACTATAACCTCTGATGGGCTAGTCATTTCAAGTTAAAAGCACCACCATACTCCAAATAAGGATTTTTGTGTGTGGACTAGATTTAAGTTGGGAGCAACACTCAAGTTATAATTCCAGTACACTTTACAGTGAAGACAAGCCCTATGTGTTGAGCTAAAAGAGAATTCCTTCAGATGTCTGTAGCAGGCTTTTATAGTTGCTGGAACCACCAACAGAAGACATGACCACATGCACTGAGACAGTGCATTGCATAGGGAGAGCCTATTAGGAGGAGCTGAACAACAACAGACTTTAGCGCTAAGCCATACTCATTGAAAAAGATTTTAAAATGAGAACCAGTAGTTAGAGGACTAAGATTTAGAACTCTATTTCAGTGGACCCCATTTTCATGGAAATTGACAATAGTAAAAGACAGGTAAGTGTTTTAAAACTTTCACTTATTCAGTATCTGGTGATGCAATGACCATTTCCATGAAACAGCGCAGAAACAGAATATTACTGTCAGCAACCAACAGTTAGAACTCTAACACTTCCTCTCAGGGCTGGTCTACAACAGTTTTTGCACCCATTTAGCTGTATCAGATCAGAAACTAATATAATTAAGTTAGTGTAATCACCAGGGCCGGCTCCAGGCACCAGCTTACCAAGCAGGTGCTTGAGGTGGCCACTTCGGAGAGGGGCAGCACGTCCAGCTGTTCGGCGGCAATTCGGCAGATGGTCCCTCACTCCTGCTCGGAGCGAAGGACCAGCCGCTGAATTGCTGCAGCAGATCGCGATCGCGGCTTTTTTTTTTTTTGTTTGGCTGCTTGGGGCGGCCAAAACCCTGGAGCCGGCCCTGGTAATCACTAGTGTGGATGCAGTTATAATAGATATAGAAGTGTGTATATGGGGGTTGCTTGTTTTGGCATACCAAGATAAACACTTTTTTATGAGTATAACTAGGTCCGGGTCCACTTTACAAGTTTCACTGACTTAATTATAATGGTTTGGAACCCACTATAGTTACACTGGTTCAAACACTGTGTGTGTAGACTAGCACCCAGCCACCCACCCACAAATTTGCGCACACACACAAGTTTGATCTGCAGCTGAAAGTGTCATTTCTCACCCATGTACTTCAAGAACCAATTTTAAGTTTGAACGGAAAAAAGAGTAAACGTTTTAAATAAAATAGGTATTTTCAAAGAAATGTTTAAAAACCTGCTTGTGCTCTGAGTCCCTTCTTTTTAGAAGTATTGTCTTCATCTCCCTTTTTTCACTTTAAAATATCAAACTTTTAAAAAAAATGATAACAATTCATGAAGTTGAGTTTCACTGGATTGCTGTGCTTCTCAGGTGGCCAGTGATCTGACAGAGGTCTCCTGCCTCACATAAACATAGCATTCCTTGCAGGTGAGTACAACATTACAGAAGAGCTCAGCCTTCTAATGGTTAAAGAGTTTCTGTATCTAACTTGCCTGAGTTGTAGTCTTATAACCTTTGATAAAGTAATTAAAATAAACATATTTAGCCATCCCTCTGAACTGAATACCCAGTCTAATATCCAGTTAAAAAGCATGTTGTATTTATTTATGTGAAAACTAATTGGGGCCCAGAGTAGTGCGACAATATGGTAATCTTTGTTGTCAGGTATGACCAGCTTTGTTATTATCTGGAAGCAGAAATCTTTAGGAATTGCCTTTACCCTGCACTTCCCTTGTGTCTGTAGAACAGGGGTTCTCAAACTGTGGGTCGTGAGCTGTCAGCCTCCCCCCCAAGCCCCGCTTTGCCTGCAGCATTTATAATAGTGTTAAATATATTAACAAGTGTTTTTAATTTATAAGGGGGGTCGCACTCAGAGGCTTGCTATGTGAAAGGGGTCACCAATACAAAAGTTTGAGAACCACTGCTGTAGAACTGGTATATAGTAGACATATCATATCCTTAAGAAACATTCAGTCACAAATGTAAACAAATGTAAACATCTGATTTACAAATGTAATCAACAACCTGTCTTGTGAAACGTACCTTGGTAGTTTGGGGAGTGCTGGTAAGAGGGAGCCTGTCCGTCTGTAGTTAAAGAACCCTCCAACTGCCAATGCTCCAATTATTATTATTAGAATGACTGTCAGCAACACTGCTACTGCTGCTACCAGAGATAGAAGAGTAAGTAAATATTAAAACAAGCATACCTCAAAAGTTAAAAAGAGCCGTCAGAAGTATAAGGGTGACCTTAAACTGACATGTGACTTAGCTCAGTTACCAAGTTTAATATATACTTGAAGCTTACTTGTTCCAGGAGGCACTCCCTTTGACAATCCTATTTCACAATAATTTCCCATGTAGCCATAAGAACACCTGTGAATATAAGGGAGCTAGTTTAACCGTCTGTCTTTTATTAAGTCTAGTGGATAAGCTTTATTATTATATTTTGTAATGTTTACCTACAGGCAGTAGAGTTCAACTCACTTCTTAGTAATTACATGTTTCACTGACTGTAAAAATAATATGCCTGTTATGTGCTTAGAAATAGACATACAGGTAATGCTGAGTCAGAAACTAGAGTAATTAAAGTTTGGAGATTTGGTTTCCGTGGAGCATCGGCGGCACCTACTGGCTCATACCTCTTGCATTTACAGGTCTTTCCCCCCTCACCAAATTTGCCTTTATTTTGTAGCTTGTACTAGAGAAATCTTTATGGTTTGCTTTTTCCCCCCCTTTCCAAACCTTTTAGTTTCAAACTACTTATTTGCTAATGTTTTATGGTCATGTGAATTTTTCCTACCATTGCTACAAAGATGCTATTATCACTGTGTTAGATCTTCTGTTAATGCATCATTGTAACTACATTTTGAAGAACTGAACCCTAGTGTGATGCTAAACCAGCAAACTCTGACCTACGACCACTACAACATTGACTTACTTGCATTTGGGAAGATCATTTTCATCAATATAGCATGTTCCTCCATACATACACCTACATGCTGGTGGCATTGTTGGAGGGGATTCAATGGCTGCAGAAATGGAAAGCCATGCATGTGTTAATAAGCCATACTCAGCAAACCATGTGCTACCATGCAATTTTTTAAGTTTACTTTTAGGGCCAAATTTCAACCAGGCTTGTAATTTTGTGTATGCAATCACCCAAACTGAGTGTGTGCTGACATTTGCAAATTCAAACTCAGATGCAGTTTTTTGAAAATATTGCTCTTAATGCCAGGGACATAGGTTGTTACTATATTTACTGTCCTGCCAAAATACAATTTTTATTCCAGGTAAAACTTCTGTTCTTGCATAATAAGGGGTTAGTCAGTAAAAATGGTTCAGTAGCATCAAGAAGGGTGCAGGTTTCAACATTTTCTCTTGCATATACAATGAAGAAATGTAAATGAAAATTACTGGACACTGCAGTGTATGCTTCTAACACTGCAAAGTTATGGACACAGCAAGGTCAGGCCAAGCAAATCTCCTGTTCCCTGCCTGCAGGGCTCAAAATTCAGAATGCAACATTATCCTACCTCATCTGTCCCAAACTCCTCTTCAAGCCAGCTGGGAGATTCAGTCCCATAGGGATGGGCATTAAGTGATTTGTCCAGAAATGATGCATTTATTTTTGGAGAGAATGAGGGCAATAGTGGATGCAAACGTGCGTTTAAACAGGAGGAAAGAACCTCTGATGTGCCCCAAGTAGGACAATGACAAAGGGGGAGAAATCCCAAATCCGAGGAGTCTCCATTTATTATCTACATTGTGCTCCGTCAGCACAAAGCAGCTCAAGCTCCACATTATTCAGCATTGGAGCCCATTAAATGTCATGCTACTGCTTCAGTCACTCTTCAGGTACCTCCTAAGGCTGCAACATTGTCTGACTTGGACCAGAGACACAACCATATAATATTGGATTGGTACATTTTTTAAGAGAAACCCACAGAGATTCTTCTGATGTTTTGATATTGAACCTAATGAAGATCTTCAAAAAGAGAGTAAGGTTCTTTAAAGTATAATTTTACTGACCTTAATTCAAATTTCGGGAAATCTACACACTAAAAAGCATGGTACAAATATTATGGAAAAGGTCTGAATCCTCTATGCTTTTATAGTCTATACATGAAAGATGCATTTTGGCTCTCTCTTCCTCACACTTACAACCTAGATATACTAGATGAACCATAACAGTTTTTATGTAGTACAATTTACCTACTTTTCAGTCAGAAGTAGTCCATTCCTGAAACCTTTACTCAAGCAAAACTCTTATTCGTGTCAATGGTAATTTAGCTTATATAGGGATCCCAGATTTGGGGCTAAGGTCTCTGCTTCCAACTAGAGGCCTTAATTTGGGAAAATGATAAAAAACAAACAAAACTATATGACAACTAAATGGTTAAGCCCCACTGTGTAGTTAGGTATTACATAAAAGATTAAAGCAAAGTTCCAAACAGGAACAGAAAATTGAGTCACTGGGCCCAATATTGTAAAATATCTTTTGATGTACAATTATTTTTTTCCAAAACAAAATCTTGACCTGTTTTTCTTCGTCTCTGCTGAGATTATTTAAAGCAGTTTAATTAAGGATAACAAATACAGGCACTATGAGCAATAAACAGCAAATCACTGTCATAAAATGTAGCTAAAGCAATTTGCAAGGTTGTTGCTTCAAAGCTCAAAACAAACTTGTGCTAGATACTAATGAGATGCAGTGGTAAACTGAAATATTTCCTTGGCCTGCCTGGAGATGATCCAATACTTAATGCTTAAATAGTATCTTGTGACAATAATAAGTCAAAGTACCACAGAGTATTGAGTAAATGTAAAAAAGAGGTGGCACTATCTTTGTGGAATAGCTTGTGAAATTGTCTGTCGCTGACCTGAAAAAAGACTAATGCAATTCATAGCAGACAGATTAACTCTTCTTCTATCTTGCCACTTCCCTATTTGAGGTTGGCAACTTTTATAGCCCTCTTCCAAAACTCATGACTGTACACCTGGCTGTCAGGCAAATTGGTCTCTTTAAGCTCCACTGATATCCAGTCCATGAACTGGGTCTTTGGCCTCCCCTTTCATCATCTTCTGTCCACGATCACTGCAAGGGTTTACCAATGTAACTCTTGGGTCTCTGCTGGGTATGTCCATACCAACATAGACTAGCTCCCTCAACTTGTCTTCAATTAGGGCAACTCTCATTAGGAACTTCTCAATCTCATTTAGCTGCCTATCACAGAGCATCCAGCCATTTAACCATTTTAACATCTTCATTTCCATAGAGCAGAGCATACATATTTCTTTTCTTGTGGCTGGCAAAGTCTCCATTTCATACATAGGGATGGATCAAATTACAATGCACTCTACCTTTTAACATTATTAGCAGCTTTTTTTCACAGATAACTGCAGGAAGCAGCTTTGGTACAATGCTGGGCATGACTCAGGAGGGTGCCATTGCCAGCAATCATTGACCTAGGTATTTAAATTCTTTCACTTTTCTAAGCTCTGTCTATAATATCCTTCATGGTGGGTCCTCCTCCCTCTGCTATCATAGCCTCAGTCTTACCAATGTTCATTCTTAATCCTGCAGATGGATTAACTGTAGAGAAGTAGCCTAGATTTAGTGTCACAAGGAACCCTTTGTTATAGTTATTGCCCATCAAGGTGCAAATAAGATTAGGATATGTTTGGCTCATCTTTTGTACTTTTTGTCATGATGAGGTGCTATCAACCAAACTAAGCCAGAACCCAGACTCCCTGGGTGCACAAAGAAGAGAACACCTGGAACCTCGGTTAACAGCTAAGTAAAATGGCAACCCTCACACTCACAAAGTGCAAGGACTTTTCCTGGGTATTGCCCCCATCTTATCTATTGAGGGTGGAGAGAGGTGGGAGCATGCTCATGGACCTCATACCTCTCTCTATCGCTTTGGGTGGGTGCTCAAGGAAGGCAGAGCAACTGTACTTCCCAGGTGCTCCTGATAGCACTGTGTGGTCTGGTGCAATTCTACAATTTAGCACTGAATGCTTATATTTAAAAGGTTTGCATGATAAGCCACACAAATGGTTTATAACAGAATAAAAGAATCTGGTTGCTCATGGCTTAAACTTGTAGCGCAGCTGATGCCAATCATATCCGTTAGTCAGGTCAAAATCCTGGATTGACCAAGGCTTTTAGCCCAGTTATGGAGTGTTTGTAGAGCTGGGTGGGAACTGGATTTTCTGCTTCATGCAAAATTCCATGATTCAAATTTGTTCCATTCCAAAACGGAATGAAATAAAACATTCCAGTTACCCACAGAATGAAATTTTTTTAAAAAAGATTTGTTTTGGGTTGATTGAAATGTTTTGATAAAATTGAAATGTTTTGTTCTCATTTTGATCTTTAATAAGATTATACAATATTATATAATTTTTTAAAAATTGAAACAAAAAGCTATTTTGAAACAGAAAATCAAAATGTTCTATTCCGAAAAAGGCCAAAAGAAAATGTTTAGACCTTATCAGAAGGCTCTGTTCTGTTTTTTTCCCCCATAAAACAAAATTTTTCCAAAACTGAAACGTTTCCGTGAAACATTTTCCTTTCAACAAGTTAGCATTTTCCTATAAAGAATGTTCCACTGGAAAATTTCCTACCATCTCTAGTGGTTTAGGTTACACTCCATCTGTATCCATGTTGTAACTTGGTCCTCTGGCTATAGCTGTAATGTTCACAGGACCTAACCTAGGCTACAAAGTTTGAATCCACATTTGGAACCTAACTTCCCCAAAGGTCAAGGGTGTATGGGTCTGCAGTTCTGGTTCAACTCATTAGAAACAAATCGCCAGGGGTCTCTGGAGACAGTTGTACACTTGTGAATGGTTTTTATGAACAATGGCCTGTTTCACAGCTGGACCTGAAACCTGGCAAATTTTATAGAGTTGATGTTATCATGTCTATTTTACAAATGAAGAAACTGAGGTACAAAGAAGTTAAGTGACCTGTCCAAGGTAACAGCAAATCAGTGGTATAACTGGCAATATAATTCACATGTCCTGGCGTCAGGGCTTCTGCTTTAACCACTGAAGAACCCTCCTCCCAGTTTGTATTTCTAATTCAAGAATGTTTTATCAGTCATGGAAAAGCTATATACACCTCTACCCCTATATAACGCGACCCAATATAACACGAATTCGGATATAACGCGGTAAAGCAGTGCTCCGGGGGGGCAGGGCTGCACACTCCGGCGGATCAAAGCAAGTTCGATATAACGCGGTTTCACCTATAACGCGGTAAGATTTTTTGACTCCCGAGGACAGCGTTATATCGAGGTCGAGGTGTACATTCCCCCTCCAAATCAGAATGACATATTAAAGGAAAATACTACTCGGTCAGTGGTTCTGTTTGCAGTTGGACAATTCACTCTACCTGCATCACACTCTGTGGCGCTGCCTTCTATAAAACGAGCCCCTTGTGGACAAGAGCAAGTGTATCCCCCTGGTCTCAGCAAGCAGAGATGGCTGCAGACATCTTTACAAGGATTAGGCACTGAAATGCAGATATAACAAAGGTTAACTGGAGAAGCATTCTAGCAGCATTTCTGAGACATAAACAGGGGGTTTTCCACCTGTCACCAAAGTAGCTCATGATTGTTACAGTAAAATTCTAAACCAAGTGCTTTTTCTACATGTAAAACAACCAAGATGGCTTATAAATATTGTATTTTATATTAAAATCTTCTGTCTTCTTTTAGATTCATTACAAGGGCTAAATTATTGCTTTCGAACCAAGTGCACAAGGAGGTGAAGGAACAGAACATCTCCATTGTCTGAGCACCACGAAGCATGCCTACTCCAGGTACATCTACACTGCCTGCTTCTTTCCACTGCTCCCTGTTGCTGGAGCCCTTCCCCCTGCTGCAGTGAAAGACTCCAGCAGCGGGGAAAGGCTCTGGCACAGGAGAGGCAGTGGGAAAACACTCTGCCAGCTCCCCATTGCTGGAGCTTTTCCCTGCTGCCCCCCCACCCTTGCCAGAGCCTTTCCTTGCCCCTCTCTCTGCTGCCGGAGTCTTTCACATGTAGCTACACACCGCAATGTGGACACACCTTGCTTTTCACTGTGGCATGTGGCTACATGGACACTACACACCACCATAGTGCAGACGAAGCCTTCTAGGAAGAGCATGCTAGAGTAGTATGAACTGCTCCTGGGCAGCCCTGCCTTTACTTGCCATTGCAGGAGAGTGAAGATAGAGGTGGTCTATACAGGAGGCAGTAATGAGTGGCCTGCACTTTGTGCTTTTGGAGTGCAAATATCAATTATTGTTGCCTCCTGTGTAGACGCTGTAGGAGGAGGAAAATGGACTCAGCCATAATGTTGTGCTAAATGACTGCAAAAGAGAAATGTACTGTTCTTCTGTGTTTAAACCCTGCTTTATTTTATATGTTCCCCCCTCTCTCTAGCTGTCTATAGTTAATACACTTCTCAATCCCAGTTCCATCTTTATGCTTTCAAAAATACGTACTTCATGTGCTTAGAGATCTGCCGTTCCCCAGGCTATTACTACGCTTTTTGAAGGCACTGTTATGGATTTGGGATAGTAGTTTCCAGATAACAGGGAACAGAACATCCAAGACTGGTGATTACCTGACTGATTGTATCTATGCTGATGATAGATACGCACTTGAGTGAGCCAAGGGTTTACAGTCAGCACTTTCACCTTTTCTCCATTTCCAAATTTATCTTCCTTCCAGACTTCACCTCTTTCCTTAGAAATCCAATATAAATGGCCTTCAAAGACATCAAGGCTGTACGGACTGCTGACTTCTCAAAGGAACAAAAAAATCATCAGTTAGCAAAGAATCCCTAGAAGTACTGATGAGCCAACTATTCTTCTTCTTGAATCAAGTATTTTATTCATTAACCACTTGCATTGGTATTGATGGAAATGTCATTGCATGACTGAAAAGAGCAGGCCACTGTACCTGCAAATTGATAACACATGTAAAACAGCAATAATCAATCCAGTTTGTGCCATATTCTGTTTTGCTCATGCAAGTTAATCGCAATGGACCTAATTCTCAACCACCTTGCATAGTCATTTACACGCATGCAAAGTGAATGCAAAACGCTACCAAGTCTGCTTCTTAATAAGGTACCTAATTGGGAGCTGAGTGTTTTTGAAAATCTGGCCCCAGTTGTGAGATCTGAGTACTTGAAAATCTGGCCCTACGTTCACATTAATTTTTTAGACCAGAAATATATACAACATTCATGTAAATTTCCTACCTCCGTGTAATACAGTGGTTCTGTCTGTTCCATCAGGTCTCATGGATTCAATAATATTTTCTTTAGAATCACTCCAGTACAGCCTGTCATTGTTGAGATAATCAATAGAAAGGCCTGTGGGCCAGCCAAGGTCTTCAGAAACCAGCGTTCGCCTTTGCTGTCCGTCCATCCAGGAACATTCAATCTTTGGCTGTCTCCCCCAGTCAGTCCAATACATAAGCCTACAAGAATATAACTAGAATTTAAAATGACTTAGAATTCGGTGGTTGGGATTGTTTTCTTCGGCATCATCCAAAACTAAGTCGTAGGACTCATCAAAGAGGCTGTTGTGTAACTCCTGATCTGCAGACTGGGATCAGGAAAAACACACACAGAGCTCAACAGATGAGCAAATTTTTATGCATGAATAAAATGGAAAATAAACGTTAAAGGAGAGTTTCTGCATCTTGGCACTCAGGTGGAGAGGGGGCAGTTGCAGAGGTAATTCTAACAGGGTCATCCAGGAAAAAGGGCTTTCAGCAGTTTCCTTTGGGTGCTATCCTCAGTTCATGTAACTCAACACAGGTCCTTTGGCTTCAATGGATCTACCCCAATTTTCTCCAGCTGAGTGTTTGACCTATGATACGTATCACCCAGAGATGTTAAATATGCCAATGTATTTATACCGTTTACCATTTAATACATAGTGAAAATTGCAGCAAAGATAAACAGTGCAGAGTGGCAAGCAAGTATGCTGCATTCCTTACTCATACATTGACTTTAAGGGGACAACCTATGGGCTAGACACAACTTTCCCATAGTGCAGCTGAGCAGGGGAGAATGACTCCTCCCACCTCAGTGCATCCATGTTAGGGTTGCCCAGATTACTGCTCTGGCCACAGAAGGGGCTGAGTGCCTGATGCTGTCCCCTGTGAGCAAGGGGTTATGGAGGGGATGGGAAGGAATGAGGAGTGGATGGAGATAGGGCTCCACCATCCAGCCCGCCAGCAGAGCTGGTCAAGCACAAAAGAAGTAAGCTACACCCAAAAAGAGTAGAAGTAAATTACTCCCTCTCCCACAGAGGAAGAGAAGAGCTGTGGAGGAATTGTGCTTTGCTGGATCAGCCATTATTTATGTGTCTTGTGTGATGCTGAATACAAAATGGGGACTGGTTAGGCCAAAACAAATAATAAAAAAGGAAAATGATGATGTTTCTTTGGTTCTTGTAGTCTGAATAAATGGAAAGATATCCCCACAGCTTTTCCTGTTTCTTGAGTAATGATAATATGATAGGCAGGAGGAGTTATAGGAAAGACATCTTTAATAGGTATGTTAAGGAGTCGTGTCACATGTTGAGGCTCTACAGTTTGAGACACAACAGTTTGACCTCTGAGCCCCTGTTGTAACACCAAACCAGACCCCTCCTGGAATCTGGCCCTGAAATACATTCCCTTATTTAAAAATTCCCTGCAATCAGTATATGGAAGAAATTTGTATGGACATCAACAGCAACACATAGCCTTAGTCTTTTCAGTTACTGAGCTCTCCTATAGATTATTGTTGTGTTCTTGTTCTATTGTTGTCTTGCTTGCTGCGTGCTATTTCCCAGAACTCCTTGAGGTCCTGAAATGCTTACCCAAGCTTGGGATTCACAACAATAGCTGCTGGTTGATCCAGTAGAGAGGAAATAAGCCACTTCCTGTACCGTCCATCTAGCTTTGCTACCTCTATTCGATTTGTCCCAGCGTCAGTCCAGTAAAGATGCCTGAATTATATTAAACACAAAATGCTGTAAAAGGTTAAGATGTTATATCTGGGGACAGGGCTGAGAAAATCTGCCTATCTTTTAATAAGTTTCTTGTTGTTGTTTTTTACAGCACTCAGTATTCAAATGGGAAAAAAAGCTGACACATTAAAAAACATTGGGACCCTGTAAAATCACATTAATTTAACACCAATATAACTAATACAGGGATACTGCACTGGTTGAATGGTAGAACTGCCAATATGCCTCACCACAGTGTCACAGAAACCTCACTGTTGAATTTAGATGCAGCTTGTTGCAGAATTCAGCGGACCTTACCTACAAGGTTAACTAGGTTTCTCTTTGTGCAGAAGTTTCTGCAGCTGGCCTTGTTTCCTGTCAAATAACCTTGATAAAAGTCCTACTGTGAGGTTTTATTGTTACTTTTAGGCACTGCAGGTAACTAATGACAACATTAGTTCACAGATGCCATAGTCTTCTGGGAACAGAAAGCTGATTCATTAAAACTGAAAAAACATTTTAATTAATCTTGTGAGTGCATCTGTTTGGGTTGATGGGGCCACAGCTCCACCTGTACTTTTGTCTTTTAACAAAAACATTTTCAGAAACAAGGGTTGTTATGAATTTTTAAGTATCATACCTGATATACAAATTTTCTGACCCTATGTGCAGACCAGTGTTTGCTCTTCCTTGATTTTAGCTAATCTTTATTGTAATACCTTTGTTAATCTTCTTAGCTGTCTCAAAGAAGATCATATATTAAACAAAATAATATTTAGTACTTGTAGCATGCCTTCTCTCTGAACCAATGTAGTCTCATCACCACCTTGTGAGCATACGGAAGTATTGTCATTCCTTAGGGCTGTCAATTAATCACAGTTAACTCACGCGATTAACTCAAAAAAATTAATTGTGATTAATCGCACTGTTAAACAATAGATTACCAATTGAAATGTATTAAATATTTTTGGATGTTTTTCTACATTTTCAAATATATTGATTTCAATTACAACACAGAATACAAAGTGTTCAGTGCTCACTTTATATTATTATTTTTATTAAAATATTTGCACTGTAAAAATGGTAAACAAAAGAAATAGTATTTTTCAGTTCACCTCATACAAGTACGGTAGTGCAATCTCTTTATCGTGAAAATGTAATTTACAAATGTAGATTTTTTTTTGTTACATAACTGCACTCAAAAAAACAAAACAACGTAAAACTTTAGAGCCTATAAGTCCACTCAGTCCTACTTCTTGTTCAGCCAATTGCTAAGACAAACAAGTTTGTTTACATTTACGGGACATAATGCTGCCCGCTTCTTATTTACAATGTCACCTAAAAGTGAGAACAGGCATTTGCATGGCACTTTTGTAGCCGGCACTGCAAAGTATTTACGTGCCAGATATGCTAAACATTCGTATGCGCCTTCCTGCTTCGGCCACCATTCCAGAGGACATGCTTCCATGCTGATGATGCTCATTAAAAGAATAATGCGTTAATTAAATTTGTGACTCAACTCCTTAGGGGAGAATTATATATCTCTTGTTTTACCCGCGTTCTGCCATATATGTCATGTTATAGCAGTCTCTATAACCCTAACCCTAACCCAGCACGTTTGTTTTAAGAACACTTTCACTGCAGATATCACAAAACACAAAGAAGGTACCAATGTGAGATTTCTAAAGATAGCTACAGCACTCAACCCAAGGGTTAAGAATCTGAAGTGCCTTCCAAAATCTGAGAGGGATGAGGTGTGGAGCATGTTTTCAGAAGTTTTAAAAGAGCAACACTACAATGTAGAAACTATATAACCTGAACCACCAAAAAAGAAAATCAACCTTCTGCTGGTGGCATCTGAATTTGCGTTGGTCTGCACTGCTTTGGATCATTAGCGAGCAGAACCCGTCATCGGCATGGACACATGTCCTCTGGAATGGTGGTTGAAGCATGAAGGGACACATGAATCTTTAGCGCATCTGACATGTAAATATCTTGCAACACCGGCTATAACAGTGCCATGCGAACGCAGGTTCTCACTTTCAGGTGACATTGTAAACAAGAAGCAGGCAGCATTATCTCCTGCAAATGTAAACAAACTTGTTTGTCTGAGCGATTGGCTGAACAAGAAGTAGGACTGAGTGGACTTGTAGGCTCTAAAGTTTTATATTGTTTTATTTTTGAATGCAGTTTTTTTTACATAATTCTACATTTGTAAGTTCAACTTTCATGATAAAGAGATTGCACGACATTATTTGTATTAGGTGAATTGAAATATACTATTTCTTTTGTTTTTTACTGTGCAAATATTTGTAATAAAAATAATAATATAAAGTGAGCACTGTACACTTTGTATTCCGTGTGGTAATTGAAATCAATATATTTGAAAATGTACAAAACATCCAAAAATATTTAAATAAATTGTATTCTATAATTCTTTGACAGTGTGATTAATTGTGATTAATTTTTTTAATCGCTTGACAGCCCTATTATTCCTATTTCACAGATGAGGAAACAGAGGCACAAAGACGTGACCCCTGTCTCAGTGTATAGATCCTGTGGGTATGTCTGCACTTCAGTCTGAGGTGTGAGTATAGCTCAGGTAGGCACACTCACACAAGCTTTAATCTACCTAGCACAGCTAAAAACAGCAGTGAGGATGTGGCGGCACATACCCCAGCACGGACTAGCAAGGCGAGTACTTATCCAGGGTTCCAGGCAGGCTTGTGCAGCCCACACCACAGTCTGTGCTGCTACATCTCCAGTGCTATTTTTAGCCAGGCTAACTAGATTAAAGCTAGCATGGGTATACATGCCTAAACTGCAATCACACCTCCTGTTGCATGTAGAAATAATACCCTAAGTATACACTGAGCGGGTTTTTATTTAAATCTCTCACCATTGCTCTAGTACTCATACAGATCCAATGCCAGGATAGACAGGCTGCTGGTGTGTTTACCAATATGTTGTCTGCACCTGCTCACAACTGTGGAGATATTGACACATAAATGCAGCCAGCCCCTACTGCCCTCAGAGATAACCTTGGTTCTTGGGTTGATCTGCCATGGGTAAAGCAGACACTAAGAGAACATGAAGGCTGACAGTGTAAATCTAAGGCTTTCAACACAGAGGTTTTCTCCAATGCTATCACACAGCCGTGGTGGAAGAAAAGAGATAATTTTCCCCCTCAGCCATTGAGTCAGAACCAACAGAACTTTTCAGGGTAGTAAAATCACGTCGTCCAACCAAATTGTGTCGCCTTGCCCTGGTAACCAGCACATGCGATGAGGAACTGCCAACCTATTTCACAGAGCATATTACCCAATCCAGGAGGCAGAGCAACAGGAGCCACCCATCAAGCTCACGACTGGAAACATCTGTCACCTTTCCCTAGTCATTCACACAAGAGGCTCTGAAGAACTACAGGAAGTCTGACTCAATACTGGTAACTCAGACCCAACAAGCTAAAAAGGGCTGTCTCCAACTATGCCCATCCACTACCAATATCCAGGTCTCCCCCAGTCAGGTGCCAGGCTAGCACATGCAATTAGAAACAACACTAGTCATGCTGATGGATGACCTTCCACCGCCCATAATGGGAAAACAGTGAGATGGCCAAGTTCCTTTCTCTCAGGCCATGAACTCAGAGCTGTAATGAGCAATTCTTCCTCACTTTACCAGACTGCTCACTATGTTGTGCTTCTATCACCACATCTTGACTGAATCACTAGGAAAAACTATGAAAGTTAACAGTCAAATGTCCACACTACTCAGATGAATAGCTCAGCACAATAATTTCACTCACTTGCAAGACTGATACTCAACTATCTCAGCGCCTGGGTGAGATCAACCAGTAGATGAAAGGCAGCTGACTGATGCTAAAACTAAGCAAGGTGGGGGTGATGCCAGAGGGGAGAGGGAAACATTTTACAGAAATAATCACTACAGTACTATTTCCCACCATTAAGGGAGTCTGTCTTCAGTCAAGTTGTTTCATTGGCTGGGCGTTGCTTTCAGACTCCTCACTGTTTCTGGATGCTGAAATAGCTACTGCTGCCAAAAATGCTTTATTCCTTTTCTAGATAGCAAGAGGCTGTGTCCCTTACTGACCTGATCACTGTGACTTTTGTCACTCCCAGGTTGGCACACAGCAACTCCCTGTATTTGGAACGATTGCACCAGCCTTAAAACACTTCAGCTGGTCCAATATGCAGCAGCCCACCTCAAAAATGAATCTTGCTACTGTGAACATATTGTGTCCCACTCACAATCTTAGCTCCCCACAGAACACTGGGTACATTTTAAGATTTCTGCCTACACCCATAAGGCACTCCATGGCGTTAGATCAAGCTAGCTAAAACAACACCTCCTACTCAGGGACCACAGCCTCCTTCAATAGTTCCATCCCACAGGAACAACAAAAAGGTCAGCTTCAGCAGTTCATCTCATAACAGCAGAGGGGTCAAGCTTCCTCCACAACTGGCGCAAGGCCAAGGAATTCTCTTCCAGAGAAGCAACAATGACCGCAGACCTCATCACCTTCAGGGTTAAGCGAAAAACTAAATTCTCTAGCCCCATAGCTGAAGGAAGAAAAGGAAATGCTTTCACACACACTTAACATTCTAGTACCCTCTGATAATTCTAGTCTATGTTCAACTCTTGCTTTTATTCTGTTTTGGGTGGCACTCAGACACCATGGTGATAGAACCAGGTAAGAACCTAGACAAATAGAAGACAGACAGACAGAAAGGGGGTTGGGAGCCTCCTCCCGCTGCAGAAGCCATAGGGCAAGTTCTTTCACAAGTTCTTAATTTACTGCCAGGGAGAATGTCCAGCAAACATAGTGGCCCGTGCACCATAATCCTAATGAGGCATGACTGATCTGCCAGTTGCGGAGTATGTGCAGTGCGCAGGCAGCTAGCTAGAACGTCTCATGCAATCAGCAACAGGTGTTAGATTGAGGCACATGCTGCTTCTGATCAAAGAAGCAAAGTGTGTACAAAAGTGCATTCGTCTGGGCCACCTTGAGACCTCCCATCTCCAGCACGAGGACGGCTTGTGCAGGATGCAAGACTAGCACCATACTTCTCATCTCTCATGCATGCCTGTCTAAGATAAAAGGACTGGATTTCACATGTCTAACCAGTGATCAATATCTCAGACTCTTTCCATATTCATGTGTGTACCATTCCCAACTTTTCTGTTTACTCACCTCCCAACCCAGTCCACAGCTAAACCATCAGGATTTACTATGTATCTCAGATTCAAGTCAACTTCCTTCACGGGATTGTTTCCACTGCCATCAAATGTGGGGAGATAAGCACGTTTGATGGATCCAAACTCAGAGCCATGTCCCAAAATGCTGTAGTATACAATACCTACAAAAAATTCACAGATCATTTTCATTGTGAAGTCATTTGAAATGTTTACTCATTTTTGGAAGACCCTACCCCTATTGAGATAACTATGGCATATGAGATACCAATTTAGCATATTTCTATTTGTGTGAGAATCTCATGTTAGCACTCAATGAAAATGCAAAATATAGGAAAATTTGTACTAATTCTAAAATCATCAGTCTAAAATATATACTTTGGATAAGAGGTACAGCTGAAGTCATTAAAGATCCCATGCCACCTTTTGCAAGAGTCAGTGCCTTACCTCTGATATCTATTTCATTGCATAGGATCTTGTGAGCCCATACAGGGGCTACACATGGCAGAGGGTGAGTTCAGCGGTAGGGTGGCATATGACAGAACATGAGGATTCACCAGCCTTTTCCCCCCTAGGGATGAGTGGTGGAGGAGAGACACATGAGTGCAGACTACTGTAGTCCTGAAGCCCTGCTGAGGTTTGAAGAGTGCAGGAACTAGCTGTGGCCAGCCCTGAAGTTGGGGGTGCCAGGGTGAGGGGCTTCTTGCACCCTTCTACGCTTGCACACACAGTAAGGGCCAGCCACAACCCTGCCATCAAAGTTACAATGTCCTTGGGTAAGAAATGAAAGGGACAGAAAGAGACAACAGAACAAACCAAAACTCACTGACTAGATGTAGTAAAAGAACTGACAAGGTGTGAGAGGAAAGGTATGAGGGAGGCGTATAGCTGAAGGACACATCCACTCCACCAGGACTGTTAACTAATCTAGTTTGATTGTAAATTAAAAAGGGAAATTAACCTCCAAAACTAACACTAGTTCTGAAACAAAGAGTACATAGTTAAGTATGAAAGCTTCAAATATACTCACTCAGGCCTATCCCCTCAGGATCCCAGTCATAGTCTATAGCTTGGATGTGCTCCTGGTTATCAATGTAGTCAGAGTACTGCTGTGATGAGATATTGTATCTCCGAATACGCACATTGTCTGGCAGGAGTAACAATGGTGGGTTACCTGGAAAGCAACAATAGATTTTACTTCTCTGAATTCAACAGTACTCTCACAAGGGAAGCAGGTGAAAATTACCGATGGTCAAACCTAAATTAAATGTTTAGAGGTTATGTTTGGATAAGAACCTGATAGAAAAAATACTTACTTGGACAATCATCTGAACTACCCAACCCTTTTGGGTCTGCAAGACTGGTGTCAGATCCTACAGTTGCTTACTGCTAGGCTTGGTATTAACTCCCATCACTAGTCCTGTTGACGTCAATGCACTCACCATAATAAGCACTAAGCCTAGTAGTAAGTGTTTGCAGGTTCAGGCCCTTGGACTGGAAACTTTTAAAACTGTTTTTTTAATAAGTTTTCTTACACCCCTTGGCTTTTCAGCTTTTAAAAATTCTTACTGCAAACAGGCTGGGTCTCTTGCTTCCTCTTTGTAAGGCTACGTTATTTAACTCAATACACGACAACTTCGTCATTTATCACTTAGCCTTTAAAAGCTCTGAGTATCTTTTTATATACAGCATAACCCCGCTTCAATCACCATATATTATTACTCTTTCATTGACAGCCCTCCTTTCTGTTTTCTCCAGCTCTTTGTTTTTCATTTTCTGAACCAAATCAGAATCTACCTACTCAATGATTGTCACACTGACATTAACTTAAGAGACAGAACTAATGATTGGAGTTATAAATGAACTGTTATAAATCCTCCTGTTTGTGTTCATCAGTCCATGAACAATAAACGGTGATCTGTCAGCAAACTGTCTTTGATTTGCACCACTTTAATACAACTGTCTTCTTCTAATACATTACTTAGATTACAAAAACTAAAGCCTTCGGGGGTGGGAGCTAACGGGCAGCTGCGTTTTTCTGATAACCACAACATAGACAGTCTTTTGTTTTCAGGAAATCTGGAGGAAGGGGAGAGGAGGGCAGGCACCCTCTAAATATTTTAGAGTATTTATCAAGTCAGATACCTGCAAGAAGTGGGTATTATTTTAATTCTTACAAATGGAAGCAGAGAGGGAGTATTTACATTCCTGCACAAAGATGTACAAGGTTACAAGGATGTATGTAAACCAGACAGAATCTAATGCTGCACAAGAAGATTTTTGTTTTTTCCCCAGTTATAACGGGGAAGCCTACATTCATTAAAGTTATAGCACAGGTGGCAATCAGTCAGGCTGTCAGTTAAACATACCATTGGCAGCACACTGTTTTCCCTGTTGATCACCCACAGACCTAAAGCCATCAGCACAGAAACATTCGTAACTTCCTTTGGAATTCTTACAGTCCTGGGGGCAGGTTCCAAAGATCTCACACTCATTGATATCTAAACACAAATGGAGAGAGAAAATATGTCAGGTTTAATTGTTTCCCTAGCTGAACTTAGTCACATTTATAATTTTGACATTCTGATTTGGGGCAACTAGTGGGGAGGAACACAAAGGGGGCACCAACCAAAGAGGGGCACATGGCCTCACGACGTGGCACCCCTCATGACTCCTCCCCACCCCCAGCCTGGGGCCCCCACGCTATCCCCATCCCACATTACCTGGCGGAGGGGGGCTCTGTCCCGCTGCGCTGCACCGCGCCAGGCAGTGTCCCCTCAGGCAGGGTGGCCGGAGGCTGCCTGGGACTTGGGAGAGTGCTGCCGCCCCATCCCAGCACATTACCTGGCTGGAGGGGGGGAGGCGCGCGGCAGGCTGCTGTACCACACTGGGCAACATTCCCCGGCAGCATGGCCGGAAGAGTGTGAACAACCAGGACTCACTGTCAACTCCATCCCAAACGAGGAAGCTGTGTGTGGCAGCTAGAAAAGTGTGGAGTGGCCCCAGCCCACCTACTCAAACAGATACACCCGAATCCTGGCGTAAATACAGGGGGACCTCTGCTCCTCCTCAGGGGAAGGGCCTTTGCTGCTGCTCTGGTGGGTGGAGAGAAAGGGGCCCCATGCCTCTGTCTCTGCCTCTCTGGGAAAGGACACCACCATTCCTACTCCAAGGGGTGGGGAAGGACTTCAGAGCAGGGGAAAGGCCATATGGGGATGAAGCCACAAGGGGCCCCATGTCAGGGTGTGCCTAGGGCCTTAGATTGCTCTAATCTGGCCTTGCACATGCCAAGATACCCAGGATGTGATGTGTTCTGCCCTGTAAAGGGATTCTAAAATGACATCACAGGTTCCCATGTTTATTTTGTCTCAGTCATTTCCAGATCCAGTGTGCTTGCGTCACTAATGTTTGTTCTATCTGTCAGTCTGGGATCTGAGAGTCCAGCTAGGTTCTTTCCATGGAGCACATCGTCACCAGCATTAACGGTTCTGTGGGCCAAATGCTGCCCTCAGCAGCACTTCAGTGTACACCTGTGCAAACCCCACTTCTTAGAATTTAGTAAACAATTCTCTAGACTGAGCTGACAGACTAGACTCCAACTCTCTCTCTCTTAGATGTGCCTGGTTCTATGTCACTAGCTAGAGTAAGAAGCAATACAAATTTATTTTCATCTCTAAAGCAAGCATATATTACACTAACTACACAGGGAACAGAGCTGTTAGGCAACAGTGTAGAACTGCACTGTAAGCAAGTTAGTGAATTTCTCAGAGCAGAAGCTTTGATTCTATTGTAAATATAGACAGTGGTAACTCAGATATGATCTAGCCTTAAGTCAATGGAAAGGCTCCCCTTTATTTCAATGCAGCTGGATCAAGCCATAAAGCTCTAATTCAGCAAATAAGAATGTGCTTACCTTTAAACATCTGAGTACTCCCATTAAAGTCAAGGGAGCTACTCACATGCTTAAAATTAAGCATAGGTTTAAGTTCTTTGCTGTACTGGGGCCTAAATTCTGAGAGAGAAAATATATTTCAGACACCAAATCTGTGTCAGAAAAGGTCCAGTGAAGTGCAAAAATCCTCTTTACATGCAATAATGAATAGTTACATCTAAATTGTACCAAAACTAAATTGAACATCTTTCATGGAGAAGATTAATAGAATATTGAAAATACCATCACAGGAGTTCCGGTTCAGCTCACTGGCGTTGTACCCTGGCCTACAGGAACAGATAAAGCCTCCTTCACTGAAGTTGGTACAGTTATGTTCACAGATATTTTCAGCACAAGTTCGTCCTGTTCCTGGGTCTGAAAAGAATGTAAGTCATTATAATTGGAAAAGCATAAATTATATTGAGAGCTACAATTTCCATTACTTTCTCTTATTTGCAAACAATTTTTAAATATTAAGTTGGCCTTTCTCCTTCTTTCCTCCTCGGAAAAAACTTTCAGCAGACATGAAGGTCTTTCAGGGATTTCCCTGGCCACGGTACTACTTACTAATGACGGGGAGGTCAGGAAACTCTCAGGCAGGATCATTTCTTTGTCTGTGAGTCCATGACATTGCCATATTGAATGACCTCATTACCCACCCAGCCTCACCCAGCACTAAAGGGAATGACATAAAATATCAGACACCAGTTCAAAGCAGCTGTAACTATTCCAGGGATTTGGATAGGTTGACAGCCCCACTACAACCATCACCTCCCTCCCATCTCACAACCAAAACAGAAAACTTGCTAAATTCATTTTACATGTGATATAGACCTATGTCAGCTGTACCTTGGAATTAGGGTAGGCACTGATCCAGTAAGGCCTGATCCAACCTTTATTGAAGTCAATTTATTTATTTATAACTCCATTTGAGGGAGGGATAGCTCAGTGGTTTGAGCATTGGCCTGCTAAACCTAGGGTTGTGAGTTCAATCCTTGAGCGGGCCACTTAGGGATCTGGGGTAAAATCAGTACTTGGTCCTACTAGTGAAGGCAGGGGGCTGGACTCGATGACCTTTCAAGGTCCCTTCCAGCTCTAGGAGATAGGATATCTCCATTTATTTAAATTTACTGTAGTGGCCTTTGGACCAGGCCTACATGGGGAGAAGGGACCACTGGTGCCAACTGGCAGAGGACACAAAGAGGATGCATGTGGTTTTACAGGGATCCCCTGGGTAAGGTATCTGCATAATAATTCACCAAAGAGTGGCTATGAGGGCTCTATTGAAAGCCAGCAGTCCGCTGTTCGTCATAATCACTGCAAAATGTATGCTCATATCATAATTAAAAGCTATATAATTACACTGGAAATTATGTTCCTAAAGCCTTGAAGTTAAAGGCAGGTCACCAGGAGGTGACATGCCTTGACAGGTTCCTTTCAGGTAGGGGCTAGAAGACACGTATCTCTGTCTGGTCATGAGTGTATTGTGCATTGTACGTATCACAATGAAGACCTGTTTGTATTACTGAGCCTGATGTTAATCAAGAGATTATGAAATCACAAGAGAGGAAAGCTGCAGGAAAATACAAAAACAGCAGAGAGGTATCCTGTTTACGAATGAAGACACTGGATTTTGGGGGTATAACTGGGAGTCCTGAAGTGCACCTGGATCCTTCACCATGAAGACAAACTGTCAGCATGTTCTGTTTTATGAAAGGAGGGTCACAGCCAACCTGACTGGAAAACACTGCAAAGACTTTGGGTGAGCTAAACTTCATTAGATAGGAGAGTACCTTGTTATTTAAGTCTAGGCTCTATAACACGTTATGATTTTAATTTAGATGTAACTATTTGTTTCCAGTACTTTTACATGGTACTTCTCGCATCTCTAGTCTTTGTTAAAGAAACTTACACTTGTTTTCACTATAAACATATCTAATGTGCTGTGTGTAAATGAAGCAGTGATCTAAGGCGATACTGGTAAGCTGGGGTGCACTGCTTCCTTGGGGCCAGCAAATCTGAGACTACTGTGGGTGGCCAGAACAGGGTTGGATGCTACAGTGAGACACTGGGGGAAGGGCGGGGGGAGAATTGTGCCTATGACCAACCTACAGTGGGACAGCAGAGCCTGCTAGGCTGAGAAGAGAGTGTTTGTGCTGCCTGTGGCTGGTGGAGTCAGGGAGCTGACCCATGGCAGGCACAGAGAAGGTTTCTTCACACTAAGAGCAGATGGTAGCAAGGCACCTTACAACCCTGGGTACCCCCGAGAAGTGTCACACGTGATATAGTACAGCAGCTGCTAAAACTGGTACTTTTGCCATTGCAATTAAAACCTATATAGCTAAACTGGTGAAGTACAACACATTTACAGAAATTACTCTGACACTTAGAAAAGACAGCAAGTAGATCTATAACATATAAGTAGAAACAATTAAATAGCAAATGTGTATTGACATAGGATGAGGAAGGATGCAGATTTATGCCCAAAATATTATTTCACTAACTCAGTTAACTGTTTATGTCCTACAACTATATATCAATGCTAATTACAATAATTATACACACATATCTTTATATACATATATATTATACACACACACACACACACACAGTGTCTTTGCATTCATATTTAAAATTTATACCTGCAATTAAAGTTAGACACCTTTTATTCCTATCACAAAACAAAAGATATTTGTCATCCTGATTAGGTTTATAGCACTACTTAGTGTTATTTATTCTCTCTCCGCTTAATGCTGATGTTTGAAGCTGGAAAGGATCCAAACGCCATCAGTTTGGTTTAAGTTCATGTCTGCCCATGAACAGTACAGGGCTGAATGCCAGCAAAATGTCTGATTTGCACCATTTCACATCCTTTTTATACTTTGACATTTTCATCAGGTCACATAATTATTTTCCACTACTCAAAGCCCACTAGGATGGATGTGAAATAGAAATGCAAGCCACCTCAGAAAAGACCATGCTAGCAGTTTGAGAGTTATTTGTGATATGCGACCATACTAGGTTTTAATCCCCAGTGCATCATTTGGCACATTTTCACCTGAAGCCATAAACACCTGACAAACTGAAATCACAAGTGCATACTCAAATTAGGAATCTACGATGTCTGTCTATTGCAGTCAAAATGCTTTATTCGGGTGGACTCCTCTAGGATCTCTCTGCACTCCCTATCACTCAAAGTTTACTCATTGCAGTGACTCTCCTGATTGGGTCTCTGTCATCTTGTGAAAAACCGTTAACAACACTGATGACTGGAGGTGACTTCAATCTGAGCACTGGCCAATAGGGTGCTGGTGTGAGATGAGTTGTTCACTTTCTCCAGAGACAGGTACCGAGTTGGTGTAAATCATCCTAGCTCTATTGACTTCCGAGGAGCTAAGACAATTTATGGCAGTTCAGGGTCTGCTCTAACTTCCACAGCATATCCCATTGTAGAACAAGACCAAATTGCTTCTTGTGAAGCACAAGACTCTTAGCCTAAACTTGCACAGTTCAGGACACTGAGCTTCTTAGTTTGCAAATGACAATGTTTTGGAAAGATATGCAGAGTATGATAAGATAACAGGAGCAGAGAGCAGTTCCAAGTGATTATATTTTAGCTCTTTTCAATACTATATGTTTATTATTTCTGTTTCAAAAACTGTTTTTATTTCAATTCTACTGATTACTACTACACCGTGTAATGATGACATTGTTACTTACTGCAGCCTATTTCATCAAAATGGTCTCCACAATCATCAGAATTGTCACATACGTAATGTAGAGGAATGCAGTTTCCATTACCACATTTGAATTCTTCAGCCATACAAGGTCTTGGGGTAGGTTCTCTACCTACAATTCAAAAGATACACACTACTGTCACCTACGTAGCCTCCTAACATCCACAAGTTAGGCATTATTCCTTTCACAGAGGAGGGAAGTGAGGCACAGAGAGGTTTAATAACTTGATCACGTGAGTCAGGAAGTCTGTGGCATAGTTGGGAATAGAACCCAGGTCTGCTGATTTCCAGTCCTGTGCCTCAACTCAAAAACCAGACTTCCTCCTTCTACAGTGATACAAGGGCTATTTCATAAACACTTTTTGTTACATATTTTCTACTCAACAGTGGATTCAACTTCTTACTTTGGCAGAGCTATTTAATATCTTTTATCTCTATATTTTATACTTAACTCGAGTCTTTGATATTTTAGTTTAGTTGAGACCATTCTAGCATATACAACATGCTATTACAATTACATGACATTGGGTAATTTAAAAAGTCAGTAAGTAATAAATATTCTTAAGCTTGGAGGCAAATTCTGCTATGAAATGTGCACATGCAAGTCCCATTGAGTCAATGGGTACTGTGAATATATCTGGGAGCAGAACTTTGCACTGTATAATAAAGATATATAATAGAATTTATCTATTATTACAGGTGTTAATTCCCGAATGCTATAACTGATTCTTCGTCCAGAGCCCCAGTGAAATCAGTGTGGCTCCATGTGAGTGCAGGGCTCTACCCATGCAGAACTCGTTGCAGCATCAGGGCCTAAACACTTAATATCCCCATAAGTATTATTCAGGACCCAATATTGTTGAGACATGCATAACAATGGTAAGAATTCAGAGACAACTGTGTTCAAAACAACTTCAAGAACATTTGCCACCCTGACCATTATTGAATTGCCAATTCTTTCTTCTTCATTATTTTAAATAGACTATACCATAAAAATATAATTTGATAATTTTTTTCAGACTATACTGATTTGTCAGCATGCTTATGGCACACGGTGGGCATACTGTTGCTGGGGGCGGGGCTGTTACACATTAAACCTATACTTGCATCTATATGCTGCAAATATTCTGTGTTATAATAACCACAGTTCAAATCATTTCCCGCTGAACATTAGTTTTAAAATATTTGTTTCATTTTGTCATTCAATGTGGGTGTTTTTATTATTATTAAACATTACAAATACTGTACATTGATGGATGTCTGAGTCTAGGATTACTAGAAAATGTATCTACTGATTACTGAATAAAATTGGCTGTGCATGTGTAAACGTACAGTGCTCCTCTTTTTCATCGCTTCCATCTCCACAGTCATCCCCCTGGTTGCACAGCTCGTGACTGTAGATACAGCGATTATTTTCACAACGGAAACGGAATGGTGGTTCACAGGGAATATCCACTGAAATGAAATAGATCAAATAAGCAAGTATGATGCAAACACTTATTGCATACAATTCATCAAATCAAAACGTCACTTTTTTCAGCTACCATGTGCCTCTATTTTAAAAAGCACTAGTCTTCCAGGCCAAAAGTAAACATATTCTTCACTCAGGGCATTGAATTAGGTTTGTTTAAAGATAACCTAAAATCTGTGTTTATGACATAGTGATAAGCAACTTTCTTGAAAAAGGTAGTGTGTATCCCAGACAGCAAACATTCACCACTACTGCAGGGAATATAATGCAGTAGTTACCATGCTAGTTTGTGCTCTATAGCTTTCTAGACAACAGCAGAAATCATTTAATGAAAAGCCCACCCAATTTATAAATGCAGTTGTCGTGGCTGCCTCAACTGTATGTAACATACGTTTTTCATAGGTATTGGTCAAAATTTCCAAACTTGAGTGCCTAAGGTTAGGACCCATCATCCATATTTAAGGACATGCCCTGACTCTAATGGGAGTTGAGGATGCTCAGCACCATTGAAAATCACTAAATTTCAGTTAAGGATCCTAATTTTAGGCACCCAGTTTTGAAAATGCTGACTGGTATTCACATTGCTAATTGCTACAGGGATTGTCTCTCATCATTTGACTTCTCCCCTCTTTTACAGATGCATATTTAGATGCCTGCAAAGCAATGAATGAGCTACAAAATCACAAGAGAGAGTATGAAGTGAATTTAAAGATGCTTCATGTGAAACAACACTTTCTCGGGGCTCTCTTTACCAAAACCCATGAGAAACTCCAGTCAAAAGAACGTATTTATGATTTAGCTCTTACTTCTGTACCACTAATGATTGTAATTATATAGTTTTACTAATGGAGTCAACATTGTTCATTTTTATTTAATTTTTCTCTCTTACAGCAAAGGTGAAGTTCTTCATCAGAGTCATCTCCACAGTCATTGTCACCGTCACATTTCCAATATGGCTGGATACAGACATGGTTTTTACACTCAAACAACATAGGTGGACAGTATGTACCATTAGGATAGCGTGTTGCTGGTGAAAAGAAATTTAATTTTTAGTATAAACAAGTTAGCTTGGTCTGAAATAATATTCAGGCATTTCCTAGGTCATTATTTCTTCTGCACCCTCTTCTCTACAGGAGAAGAGGGATAAAAGGTTTGCAGGAATAGCAGACTGCAAGGACTGAGGGCCACTGGTTAACTATGTTGATTAATTTAGATTGAGATTTTACAAAGCTAAATAGTACACTAAAGTTACTGCCAGAGACCTCAGAACCACAATACGGTGGTGTGAGTTTTACTGGCACTGTTTGCATTTATCACAGGCAATCCATTAATATAATCTACACAAATTTCATACCAGCACCCCCAATGAATGGTCAGAGAATTAACCAGATAATTAATTATTAATTTATTCACATTTATAAAGTGTCCATCCAATTATGCTGATCCTATACAAAATTTGAAAATAACACAACTCACAAGATCAAGAGACCATACATGGAACTCCCCCTCCTTCACCTCACACACACAACCACCCTCCAAATCATTTCCTTTTCATCAACTTCTACAGCCCATCAGTTGCTTTCTAAGCAATTTTCTTTCCCTTTTTCTGAACTAAAAACAGGGAAAATATGTGATTTACAGCATGCCACAAAGGATGTCTAATCCAGCCTCTGTTGGACCAAATATGCTGGGAAATAAACTCCAGAATATAGGACCCATCACTGAAAATGTCCTGATTCTTCCCCTTCCCACTTAATCCAGGGTTTCTAGTTCAACTGCCTGGAAGGATGATCACAACTGCTATGTCAGCAACATGAGAAGAACGGCATTATCCCAGGTACCAAGGCCCCAAACCATTTGGGCTCTATAGATGAAAACCAGCACCTTAAACTTCACCTGGGAATCATCTAGCAGCCAGTATAGCTCTATCAATGCACAGGTGTGAAATGTCCCCTAAAAAACACTGCTTAATGAGGAAGCAGTCACAGTCTGCATGAGCTGCAACTCCCAAATGGTCTTAAAACGTAGCCCAGTGTAGAGATCAGGGCCACAATCCAGACTGGAGATGACAAACAGGAAAATACTTTGTTTCCCTTGTTTCATTGATAGTGGGGGGGAAGGGAAGAGGAATGAGACCATCTAAGGCCCTGCGCACATTATAAAATCAGCCACATTAGCCTGTTACAGTATTGTAGGCCTTGAAATGTTTAAAAAGCCGTTCTGTCTTGCAGTGTAGCTGGGACAGAACAAAATCCACACACTGTGCTAGACCATCCTTGCAAAGAGCAGGGCTTCTTGGGCATCACTCTCTCCAGCAGGTTTATTCTTTTAATCTATTTATAATTTGCCAGTAGAATACCTGAGAATCCATTAGTATATTAAAAAATAGTTCATTGTATTGCATTTTTTTCTGAATTATTACTGAAGTCATTTGAGTGGCAGATGTTCAATACCACTCAGGATTTTGTCTATTGTATTAAACAGACAATAAAGAGTAAGTTTCTGTAAAATTAAAGTGTGTCTTATGTGCTGTTCTTCCCCCATAAAGTCCCACCACATGCTTTAAACTCACGACAAGTTGCTTCATCAGAGAAATCAAGACAGTCTGCACTTCCATCACATCTGAAGCGTTCTGCAACACAATGCCCACTGCTACATTGGAAATATCCAGGATGACATGTCCTCAACTCTAAAAAGATTCCAAAATGATTAGTGAAATGTCTTCACGTGAAAAACAAGATCAAAGTGGATATTTTTCATGTACAGAAGATACCATTAAAACCTGGGCATTCACCATCCACACTATCTAAATGTACCATAGTATTTGTGGCATATCCTGATCCAAATAAAGGTAAATAATATAGTGCAGTAAAGGTTGCTTCACTAATGCTCCTTGATGTAAAATATGGTTTTGCAGAATGATTTCAAACTTGCACAAACCTTAGTTTCTAATATGATGAAATGACACCCAAAAGTCAATACGCACCACAGTCACGTTCATCTGAATTGTCTTCACAGTCATCATCATGGTCACAAACCCACCGAGAAGGAATGCAGCGCAAATTATCACAACGGTATTCACTTTCCGTGCATTCGCGAGGGCCTTCAATTTAAAAGACAAGTGCAAAGAACATGTGAAGTCACTCAACTGTAACTCTAAATATCCAAGCCTGTCTCATTAAAATAGGCAAAATGATTGCAGGGTGAGATGTGAGACAATCATTAAAATGGCAAGTTGATATTTCTGCATACAGATTATGTGATATTAAACAATTCATGTCTCTCTAGAGTGCCATGGGTTAACTCATCTCAAGCTTTGTTTTGTTACAACATTACCCAAGAGTGATTTCTATCTTGAGGAAATTACATCTCCTAATCAGAAAATAATAAATTCAGTTTGGGCTTGATCCTGCACTCTTTACTGAGGGAAATGTTTTTACACACACACACACACACACACACACACACACACGTACGTGCAGGATTGAGCCCTTAAACTCTAGTGGAAATCAGGACTAATACTTTCACATACATTATAACATTCTTCTTGATAACTGGATTTACTACCATTTATTTCTGTACAATACAGAGGTTATTCTTAACACAGCATTCCAAATGGCTCAGCAGCAATAATACAGACTAGACAGTGGAACAACTGAACTCTTGCAATTAAGAACAACATGCCCCATTTTCAAAAGAAATAGGAGGCTATAAGTGAAAAGCAAGGAATACTAAAATATCATGAGAGTGGAGTGACAACTCACTGCAGTTGTTCTCATCAGACCCATCTCCACAGTCATTATCTCCATCACACTTCCAGCGCAGCGGGATGCACCGGTGATTATCACAGCGGAAGTCTCCCAAAGGATTGCAAGTCATCTCCTCTGCAAAGCACACAATTTGTCACCAAGACAATAAACCAGCATACATTAGCATACTCTTGAATATGCTTTGGACAGGGTAGAGAGATGCGTAGAGTAGGATAGGATGCTTTGGATAGGGTAGAGTTCCATACCATAAACTGGGTCAAGTAATTTAGGGGAAGAGCAGTTAGGAAACATCCCATCAAGTAATGATATAGGATTGGGAGAGGAATGCTCAGGAAGAGACTTTGCGCTTTCACAGTAATTTTCTGGACATATCCATTTTCTAGAAAGGGAGAATGCTACTCCCAACACAAGGATTACAGAGTCAGGGAGTCCTAAAACAACCACCCTATATCCTACTTGTGCAGAAACAACAATTCTACTGTCCCTCAGAAGAGGAAAGTATAAAACAACCAGCATCGATAGAAACAAATATTAGCTGGAGAATAAATGATTTGGTGGAAGAAAAATGGTCAGGCTCTGTGTATATGGGTATGTATCTGATGACTCTCAGAGTGGCGACACTTTTACTGACAAACAGCCAGAGCTGAAAGCCATATGGCACACTGTAGGCCAGACTGCCACATCCTGTTTTTCCCTGGGTTATTCTGATGTAGATGTTGTGAACTCATGGCCTGCAAACTTAGTTTGTAGCATTTTAAAAGGTCTCAAAACAACTCTTGCCGCATCATAAATCCTCAACACTGGTGATTTTGGTAAAGTGTATCCCCAATTGAGAGTTGGAAGTAGTTTTGAAAATATCCAAAAAGAAAACTGAATTACAGCTTTCATATGAAGAAGAGTTCAGTGTAAGCTCAAAAGTTTCTCTCTCTCACCAAACAGAAGTTGGTCCAATAAAAGATATTACCTCACCCACCTTGTCTCAATAACATCCAGAGACCAACACAGCTACAACAACATAGCTTTCATGTGTGTTCCTACATGTAAGATTTGGGAGCAAGAAAATATATTTTCCTCTGTTTTATTCAGTAATGAGCAGAGAATCAATGTTCAATAATAAATAGTACAATAAAAATAGTACATAATCTAGCTTTCAGGGGTTACAGCATGTGAGCTACACAATGACCTATAGTGAATTGTTGTCCACAGAATTTTCTTCCATGCAAATGGATATCAATGAAATGGACTGATAGAAAATGAAAGAAGTACAAGCATACGAATTATCACTGAGAAGACTTCCATGAGGGTTTTATAGCGTGGAGGAATATTCGCAGCATAACGTCATTTCAGAAAAAAGCTTTTCCCTACACTTACCACAGCCTTGTTCATCACTGTTGTCTCTGCAGTCATCATACCCATTGCATACTGCCCACAGTGGAATACAGCGGTAATTGGTTCTACAGCTGAATTCTGTGTGGTTATCACACCGATAGGCAGGACCCACTAAAACACAAGAGAGAGTTGTCAAAGAACATTGTATTACTTCTGTATGCTCATGACTTAAACATCTGATTTCTGTTTTACGGTGCACTACTTCCATTAAAAGGAGTCAACTATTGAAGAAAAAAAAAATCTGTCAGGTCATATAGCCCATCTCCCTGCTGGTGCACAATGGAGTCCTATTATACAGTTACTAGCATTTTGTCCACTCTATTTTTATGCTAAGTGACTGGGTATCCACCACTTTGCGTGGGCAATTATTCCAATTAGCCACCATCAGGAAGTTTTCCTTGATAATCAGACTAACTTTCCCCTTTCTTAATTTCATCTCATTTCAGAGTTACACCTGCTCCTTGCCACCCTAAATAATTCCTCTCCTTCCTTGATGACTATTCTTCAAATATTTAACTTTTATCATGTCCTCTTCTGGGGCTAGATTGAGCCATTAGGCTCAGCCCTCTGTAAAGGATGGTAAGTAGCTGTACCAACCCAGGAAACACAGCAGGAGGGAACTTGGCTTCCCTGCTACTGGAGCCCTTTACTGTGGCAAGTAAAGGCCCTAGCGGGGAGGCAGTGTGGAAGGGCTCTGGCAGCTCCCCACTGCCTCCCCCTTGCCAGAACCTTTCCCCACTGCCAGAGCTTTCCAATGTGGTGGGCTCCAGCAGTGGGACACTACACTGCTAAAAATAACAGTGTAGACAGAGACACCATTTGAGCATATAGAGAGACATGTAGGATATACACCTTATGGTTCTGGTATGTCTGTATTCTGTTTGCCTAAGGCTATACCTCACCATCTAACCACTATTTATATCCATGCTAGCTGGGTGCGCAGTGTCTGTACTCTACACGCTGCTGTAAGTGTTGATGTACTTAAGCATACAACTCAAAACTGCACTGGCCTTTTCAGCCGTCTAATTGCATGCAAACTCACTGTTAATTTGCTGACTATTATTTCTCGTAGGTCACATTACTGCTTTCCAGCTTTCAGACTGCTGCTGTTCAGATTATTTTATTCCAGTTCTATTAGCTTGCATTTCTCCAAGCTAAATTTCATTTAAATTTGTTGTTTTCTATCTAGGTGCTTTTTTATTATTTCTCTGTCATTCCAGATACCCACAACTCCTCCCTATTTAGTAGCATTTGTAAATTTCATTAATATGCTGTTTACTCACTCTTCCAGATCATTAAATTAATATTAATGAAAACCAGGCCTAGCACAGATCTCTGTAGCATCCCACTCAATAGCTCCCCTGCAACTTGACACTTTGTGGTTTATCATAACCCTTTAGTCACAAACTGTCAGACGTTTTTTTTACCCACACCATTGTGTTCATATCCAAGTCAATTAGATTTAAATTTGAAAGTAAGAGATTTATGAGCAACTGTATTAAAAGATTCATGAAAATCCATGTGTATTATGTCTGTCACTTTCCCTTCATCTACTAATTTTACCAGTCTGGCAAGAGACATAATCAAATGTGCCTGGCTAGAGCTGTTCTTTACAAACCATGCTGCTTGGGTTCTGAGTTCTTTACAAACCCATGATTGGTTCAAAAACCTTGTAAATGTTTAGTGACTTTTTCCCCCTGCAGTATTTGTTGCTTGGTATCTCATGAGACTCTCTTACCAAGTCAAAGTGCTGTGTTGCAGTGCCAGTTACCTACTACAGTTTATCAGTCAGTCAGTTTGTAGGATTCATATCTCCTCAAAAGCAAACCTCTTAAAAATTAAGCAATGCCATTCACGCTGCCTATCATGCTATAATGTAGACAGCTGCCATTGATTTAGTGCTTACTGCATTCGTGGTATGGCTCGTCAGAGTGATCACCACAATCATCATCCACATCACATTTCCAGGACTGAGGGATGCAGCGGCCATTGTCACATTTAAACTGGCCTGGAGAACAGGTCCTACTGGCACAGTGAGAACTATCCTCATCTGAGTTATCCCCACAGTCATCTTCTTTATCACACTGCCAGGCTTCTGGGATACACCGTTTGTTGGCACACTGCCACTGATGTGTCTCACACTGGTGATCAGCTGAAAGAATACACATTTTTATTAGGCTGTTGAAGCTTATAGGAAAGAACTAGCCATTCAGTGTTATGGGAATTGAATCTGTATTATGTCATCATCGCGTATTAAAGAAATGCTGGTAATTCAATCTGAGCTTAGAATTTACTTGTCCAGTTGAGATACTGATTTCTAATCCTGCGTGGCTATGGCCCACAGGCTGCTTTCATCCAGCTCTCAAAGGCTGCACTATACAACAGAGAGCCTTTGGGGAGAAGACAGACATCCAGAGTTGTTGCTGCCCAGTGCAGGGTGAAGTACAAGCCCAGCTGTCGCACTGAGGAGGACAGTGATTCAGGGCACCTGAATGACGATATGGCTTTGGGCCACCATGCAAATTCTGACAGTGTGGTGGGCCAGAGAGGAACCACTCTAGTTCCACCCAGCTTACTCTCCTGCTAAACCAGTATGCTGCATGCCAGGACACTCGGCACAAGTTAATGCTGCTCAGAGCACCATTAACTTTAGATCCACAATATCTATCTTCCTCAGAGGGAACTCATGCATAGTCACAGAGCAGAAGTCAGTGTTAGCAGTGGTGGGGGTCTGGTGAGGCTTGTGATGTTTGCAGAGTGGGAGTCACATTAAGTGCTAGCCTGTGAGCTGGGGTGTTCACTTTGGCTTTCCACTGATCTCCAGCCTACATGGTTTGGATACCTCTCCCACTGCCCCTTTTACATACACACTAATCCCTTTCTCCAGGAAGAGAGAACATAGCATGATTTCTGCAAACTTCAATACACAGCTTTTCTAGAGCAAGTTTTCCCCCTTATGTAACTGTATGATATATGCCAAAATTATCTGTATTCTACCCAATAAAATAAAGAGATATATGAACTCATTATGCAGTTGTCAATTTCTTACATATTTAATATTCCCCTGTGCCTTACTTAAGAGCTTGACTGTTTGAAATTCATGTAAAATTGAGGTTTCATTTAATTATGATGACATTACAGAAAATACTATCATATGCTAATGGAAGTCAGTGAAAATATCAATTATATGACTACACAGCTTCCTTTTTTCCATTCTCACTGCTCAGACTGCAACTCCCAATGTAATATTATTTACAAGAGGAGAATAATTAGCTTTCTAATTAGACACAAGCACATGAAACAAAATGGGTTTTAAAAAATGTTAATACACTGTCTCACAATTATAATTAGATGCCTACAATTTTTTAAAAAATTCCATCACATTCAGTTCTCCAAAACCATCTGCCTGGGTGTATTGCATTTTGAGCAATTTTCATGTGAAATAATTTTTTCATTGTTTAAAGATGCAGATTATGGTAAGAAGCAGCATGGTCTGATGGACTGAACTGGGAGTTAGAAAATCTTCAGTTCTGATCTTGCCTCTGACACCCAGGGTTTGTCTACACAGAGTTGTTTGTTTAAGATGTTGCGCGGTAACTGCCCCACTAGCTCCTGCTAGCACAAACTAAAAGGTACTTAGTTTGCAGTAACCTAGTCCTGTTTGAAATGAGACAATGTTAACACAAACTAGGTACCTTTTAGTTTGCACGCTTTAGTTAGTGCACGCTGCAACTCACACCATCCAAGTCTGGACTGTGGGACTGTGCAGACAAGCTCAATTTCATGGTGTTGCTTTGAGCAAACCACAATAAGATCTATTTTCCACTGCCTTGTATCTTACACCAGTGCAAGTGAAGCAAAGCGAGTGTAAAACATTGCCACTCTGATTTGGTAGCATTTTACACCCTTTTTACCATCACTTTGCACGGGGGTAAATGACTATGTAAGGTGCAAGGCAGAAAAAAATCAGGTCTAACATCTGTAAAATACGGTTCATGATTCTCACCTACTTCTTAGGGCAATTTGTGAGGATTAAATGGTTAGTGTTTATACAATGTTTTGAACATGTGAAGTGCTACACATGTGCCAAGAATAATTATCTGACATTTACCACAAAGTACATGATCTTCATCTGATCTGTCAGGACAATCTGGCAGAGCATTACACAAGAAATGGGGACTAGTGCAGTTCCCATCACTACATTGGAACTGCCCAACACGACAGTATCGGTGTGGGCAAGTGGGCGGTTCATCAGAGCCATCCCTGCAATCTCTCTGTCCATCACATTTCCACCAGATCGGTATGCACCTATAAAGAGAAAATAATATTTCCTTTGATGAAGCAATTACTTTACAGGTGTCCAGCCATCCCTTTAAGGACCAATTGTGGACAAGCTTTTGCCAGTGACATATCATCTTGCAGCATTTGGCTTCAGATATTTCTTGAGCCTCAGTTCTAAATGACATGAGGCCATTTGTCACATGATAACAAAATATACCACAACATGGTGTTGCCAGTAACAGATGTTGATGATGAAACCTCTGTAACAGGCTCACGGCAAATTAACGTGGACTCAAGTTTGCAGTATTTTTGTGCAAACTGTCACTCAGGGCTTTCTTGAGATTCATCATTCAGACACCTAGGCAAGCCAAATGTTAGCTGGATAGGCTGAGAGAGACAGAGAACAAGATACATTTCCATAAGTGATCTGAAATGTAGATGGAGAATTCCATTAAGTGCATAATTTTAACAGTGACCTATCCATATAAGCAATGGGTGCTCCAGTGTGAGGCAGCACTAAGACTGCTGGTGGTGTAGAGCCAGGATAGCAGGTCTTATGCCTGTCCCCCCAATTCTGGCTCCTGCCACGTAGGGGTGGCCACGGAAAAGGGCCATGGCTGTGCCACCGCATCAGCTGACCCCTTGCTGCCAGAATGGACCCTATGGGCCATTGGCAGCCAGAATAACTTAATCAGTTAACAGCAGAAACAAACATACTGCACAGCATGTAGAAAAGATAGGAACAGATTCATATTTCATGAATTCACTGGGAAATGGCCTCTGGAGCAACGCATGACTAACACCCCAGTCCTTATTGGATTTGCCATGTGATACAACAAAGCAAGGGCATTAATAAGGAGCTCATCCCATTAGCTAGAAAGGAGGACTCTGCTAGAAATTTTTGCCAGCACAGGAGTCAGACTGGAATTGGCCTTGTCTTTACCACCAGACCCCAGAACCCACAACATGGAGAATTACTACATACTTTCAAGCCTTCCAGGTAAATTAGCCTTAGATATAAATTTTATCCTTAAAGAGATATTAAAAGAAGATACTGACAAAGGACTTACCTTTCACTGTCTGCACAGAGGAACTGGGTGCTGGAGCACATTGGAAGGCAGTGTGCAGTGTTGCCAAGTTGTACCACCATGAAGTTATCAGGACATTCACAAGAATAGCCCTGACCTCCAACTTTTATTAGACACAGATGGGAACAGCCACCATTGTTGATACCACAAGGATTATTCACTAGTAAAATGGAAGAATAATCATTATACTTCACACCCCCATAAACAGAAAGACCTTGCAATAGTCTCCTTTTGCACAGAAGGCATTGATATTATCTCTTGCAAATCAAAACAAACAAACAAATAAATCAGGCACTCAGACAGAAAAATCCAAAGTCTCAACTGTAGTTTACTGAAGATGTATGAACAGTGAACCCTGAAACAGGCTTTAAATCCATACTTCAGGTCTGATTCTGCTCTCACTATTTATCTTACTTTATCAGATAGCCAAATTGAAGACCACCTGTGTAGGTTAACTAAGGGGCCGATCCTTCAAGAAACTGAGTGTGCCTCCTGTGAGGTACCAAGTACCTTCAACTCCTTGTAACGCCAATGGGAGATGTGCACATGGCATGAACCAGGGTTAGGCCCTAATAAGGGCCAGACAGCCACATTAAATTTTAAATTTGTTTCCTCACCAATTGGCTGTCTGTATGGATGGTAGACATGGATATCAAATGGCCTGTGTGTGGTGTTCACCAGAACAGTCCTGCCTGATCCATTATATTTATTTCCCTTCTCAACAGTTCTTGTGTTCCAGTCAGTCCAATAGATGGTGTCTTCAAAAACTGTAATTGCAAACGGATGAGGTAACGTCCCATCATATACTGTGTGACGATGTCGTCCCTCTAGGTCAGAGTACCTACATGAACAAAAAGCATGCATAACACTGAGATCAAAGGTGCAAGAGCTTCAGGACTTTAATGTATCTTCTTACAGCAAGCAGTTCATTAGTAGTGATCAGTGGATTCAAAATAATTTACTTCATTTTGAGATACATAAGGTTTAAATAGGTTTTACTTTAGTTATAGAAACAGACCAAACGCGCAAAAGGAAATACAAAGCCATCCCTAAGAAATGTATCTAGCTGTCCAATGAAGTTTTGTGCATAGATGATAGGTTACTTGTCATGCAGAAAAATGGCAGTATGATTCAGAAAGCTACTCAAAGCTACTTGGCAAAATATACCACCTTTCTTCCTACATTTTAAATATCCTAGGACTGCTATATGTTACTTTTAACATTTTTAATAGAAAAATCTTCTGTAACTCTCACACTTTTTTCTGACTGTATTAATAACAAAGAAGGCTAAGTTAGAAACTCTGAACAGCAACTTTATGATTAATGAACAAATCAATTAAGAAACTTGGCAAAAATGAATCCAATGGAGAATCTTCCAAGTCTAAATTTTTGACAGAAATGCTAAACGTTAAAATTTTAACATAACTGTTCACTTTCATATTGCTCTAAAAACACTGATTCTTTGTGACTTCACAGTGTCTGTTACAGTAAAATATCTTTAATGGGTTATCTCTTTTTGTTATGACCAGGCATTAGCAGGAAATTATGGGAAACATTTTTTTTTTTCTAAAATGGTTCATTTTAACATGGAAACTTGGAAAGGAGCTAAAAGAATAAACACAAAGGAGATTTTTTAGATGTGCTAATTTGGAAATACCTGGAAAGAATCAGAAAGTTAGCTAATTACTTGAGCTGAAATTGAAGTCTAAGAATTTCATCAGCAGAAATTTATTTGACATTTTATAGACTTGTATCAAATGTAGGAAATTAACATAACAAAGCCACAGGTTCCATGCAGTATTGTCGTGAACTTTTAATAAGGGGAACATTAAGGCCAAACTTTCAGCAGAACTCTACAAATGTATGCACATACATTTCTTATCACTGTCCTCAGATCTGTGGGCAAAAAAATGGTAATTACAGATTAAAATGATGATTTGCGTATTCAGTTCTGCCTCAGTTTGGGTTTTGCATCTACATGAAGATGCACTGGCAAATTCTAGCCCAGACTGTGAACCTCTTTCTGAATTTCTGAACAATTACTTCCATGAGCAGTTTCTGAGATTCCAGTGAGACTACTCATGTAACTACTCACTAGTGTGAGTAAAAGATTTATAGTCTAACCCCCTGCTGCAAAGTTCTGAAGACCCACTGAAAATCTGTCCCTTATTATAATCATTGGAGCTAGCAAATATATGCAATAAAACTTCAAAACAAAAGTGCCAACTGCTGCTAAAGAACAAGTGGAAAAAAACCCCAAAAGTTAATTTTATCCAAATAAGGAGGGAGTCTTTCCTCTTCATCCCCTTTATATCTAACTTCTGATTCCATTTTAATTTAGAATTAGTTAACCCTTTCAATTCTGATGGATTAATTGGATATGTCATTTGTCTAATTGCACTGCGACAGGACATAAAATATCTTTGTATGTTCCATTTTAAAAAAAAAACTTGTTGCCTTGATCCATGCACAAACTGTCAGCAGTGAAGGGGTTAAAAAATTCTTAAAATAAAGTGCTACCACTGAAATTTGGTATGAACAGTTACCCAGTTGCTTTATTCTTCTCTATGTACGTACTCAATGTAGTTTAGATGGGCATCTGCCCAGTAGAGCTTGTCGTTGGTGTAATCTATGGTGAGTCCATTGGGCCACTCTAACTTGGTAGAGATAATCACCGTCTTGTTCTTGCCATCCATGCCCACTCTTCCAACATAGGCTCGGTCTGCCCAGTCAGTCCAATAAACCTGCCTATTTAAACAACATCCATAGTTAGTTTTGTAGGAAAAGATCCTGGGACAAATTCTAGAAGGTACATTTGCAATATAACACCTCATGCATTAAAACAAAACCCATCCCCCACCTTTGGCGCATTTTTGCAGAATGGGAGGATATGATCCAAATATTCTGTAATTATTCTTACTAACAGATGCAAAATGATAACTTAGCATGGACTTTCACACAAACAGCATGAGACTCTCAAATGGCCTGGTGAAAGGAAAACACTCTGGAAATGTCATACCCATATTTTGGATGAACGACAATAGCTCTGGGATACTGAAAGCAGAAGGTGTTGTTGGAGTCCACACACCGATCCACCAATTTTTTCCGGAATCTGCCATCAAGCTCAGCGACATAGAGACAGTCTTTGTATGCATCCACCCAGTACAATTTTCTGAAATGTTTTATAATGAATATTTTACACACTGCTTTATACAAAATAAAGCACCTCACTTTAATTTCACAGCTTTTTTCTCTCTAGAGTAATGATGAATCCACTGTAATGAAAGAAGAATTAATCAGGACCACATACTTCTCAGTCCTCCAATGTGACCAACATGATAAAAGACAAATGTTGCCAACTGTTGCTCAGGGCTCAAACTGGGTAGATACAAATCCATATGCTGTATTCCCACCTTTCCCGAGCCATGTGCCACATTGCCCTATCCTCTCCTCTGACATTGGCACCACTGGCCAATTACTGCTACTGGTGCCAAATTCAAAACTGTAGCTGGTCAACTGGGGAATAAACCCCGCATCTCAGGCAGCTGCCTGCAGCACATGGCCAGCACAGGGTGTCACTACTGCTCCTTTTCCTCCCCTCTTCTCTTACCAAGAAATGGCAACAAGGAGATGGCCTTGAGAGGGGCCAGGAAGGGAGACGTACAATGCCCTGGGTCATGAGTGGGGTTGCAGGTGGGGCTGCCATAAGAATCACCATCTTTCCCTCCCTCCCTGATCTCTGCTCTCACCAAACGAAAGGAGTGAAAAAATATGCATGGTTATAAAGTACTGTCACTTATGGAGACAAGGGTAACACTCTGGGTAAGACCTCTGTTGTAAGAATCACTCATCACAGCACACCCAGAAAAATCTGGTTCTCAAATGGCACTGTTAATGAAGTTTCCCTGGTTAATAAGAGTATTTTTAAATATAAAAATTCAGGTTTTATCAATTGTCTTTGCTTGCTTGGTTAATATATCCCTCCCAGTCAAGACGTTTCCTATCACATCAGAGAGGTGGATCTTCTATTAATTATTCTTATTCTTATTACTATTATTAAACTTGGTCCATTAACATAAATGTTCAAAAGTCTCTGCATTACCGTGGTGCCTTTATTGCACATTTTGACTATAAGAATCCCAGGCTAGAACATGTTTTGTTGCTAGCAGAACTGAGAATAGGGCTAGGAGCCAGAAACTTTCTAATCATGCTCTGCAACTAGCTTGCTGTGTGTGTTTGCTAAACCTCTCTCGGTCTGGCTTCCCCATCACCAAAACAGGAATAACACAATGTACCCATCTCACATGGCTGTTGTGAGGATTAATTAGTGAATGTTTGTACAGTGTTTTGAAAATATAAAGCACCCTATAAGAGCTAAGTAGTATTATGAATAATTATTATTGACATTATTAGGATACTGTTATACTGGGTGTATGGTATGTGGGTTGAAAACCAGTCCCAAACAAGTTTCTGAAATCATATTTTTCACATTAAAAAAGCATAACTTCCTTAATAGCTCAGAAAAGCTAAAAACATTTTCTTACCTGCCAACCCAGTCCACAGCAATACCTTCCCCATTTGGCACATCATCACTTATTACTGTCTCCTTGTTTGTCCCATTTAGGAACATTCTTTCAATGACCTTCCTCCCCACATCAATCCAGTACAACCTCTTTTCCACCCTGTCAAAGTCCAGTGCCACCACATTTCTTAGTCCTTGCAAAATGAGAGAGTAAGACTGGCCATCTGCTGTGAGATTTCTCAGATAGTAACGGTTGCTAAAAATAAGGTAGGGGGAGATATTACTATTTTGCCGGCAACTTTTTCCATCAGGCTCACGGAGGTAGCCTGGAGCGCACTTACAGATGTAGGAGCCAGCAGTGTTCTCACAAATCTGACTACATACTGATGGCGTTTCATTGCATTCATCAATATCATCACATGTCCGTTTATCGGACATGAGTCTGTGTCCAGTATGACAAGAACAATAGAAACTAGTCAGGGTGTCTGTGCAATTATGATCACATCCGCTGATTGAAGGGTCATTACATTCATTAATACCTGTGGTACAAAAACAAAAACATTCTTATTCAAGCAACTGAGTTACCCAGAAAACAATGCAGCCCCTATCCAAAGTATTCATAAGAGTCAACATCATGACAAGTGGGCAACAACTTTTGTTCCAAAAATACCAAAATATTCTAAATCTTGGGTGGTTACAATTGAGTTGCCAGGGGCAGATCCTCACCCAGTGTAAATTATCATGCTTCACTGAAGTCAATGGGACTATGATAATTTACACCAGTGGCGGATCTGCCCCCAAATTCTGTCAGTGCAGAATAGTATTATTTCTCAGAAAGGAATACATATATATAGTTATAACTATTTATCTGGCATATTTTCATATCTAAAATCTGTGGTGATATATTCATTCTATTTACCAAGTACTGGCTAATTTTCATGGCTTAAGTATATGAATTGATGTGCTATATTTAAAAGATAGCATATTGTGTCATGATTTAATAATTAATAAGTGTGCGATATATGTATGCATTCTTCATACATCTTATTGGCAAGTCCAGATGGAACATGTATCATCTTAATTAACCTGCTGACTTAATTTTTTTTAAATTGTCTAGAATGTGTAAAATAAAATATCAGAACCCTAATCCCCTACCCCCAACACTCCACACGTACCGCATCCTTTTTCATCGCTATTATCAAAGCAATCATCCAGCCGATTGCAGATTTTAACCATTTCAATGCAGTTTCCATTGTCACATTTAAAATGATGGGGAGAGCAAGTTGCTTCTGGTGTACTACAGAGGTGTTCCAGCTCATCAGATTCATCCCCACAATCATTATCCCCATCGCAGATGTATGCCTTTGAAATGCAGCGCCCATTTTGACATGTGAACTGGTGCTGTTGGCAGGGCTGATAGATGCACCCTCTCTCGTCGCTGCTATCACCACAGTCATTCCGCCTGTCACACCTGGAAAGAAAGGTGGTGTTGTTAAACACATAAAGATAGTGACCGTTGGATGGACGGAGAAGTAGATACACACCTGGTCATGCAAATCCTTACTCCCAACAGTACCCCGTTACTCACATGAATAGTTCAAATGAAATCAAAATGTATTCATGCAAGTACAGCTATTGAAGAAACCAGTGAAACTCCTCCCATTAAAAGTAACTGTGCCCAGAAGTACAGGTTTAATGCCATCGGTAGGCTGTGGTAATATTAAAATACTCAAGCATCCCAGAGGTTTTAAAATAAAAACTTACATGTGAATGCACTGCACATAAATTATTTCACACTTAAATGTAATCCTATTTAATGACGAAGTAAGTATAAAAACTGAAATGAATTCATTCCTTCATTTGAAACTATTTGCAAGGCTTTTGTACTGTTGCTGAAGTACATACAGACCTGTAAGAATTTCGGATGCACAATCCATTGTTACATGTGAATTCATTTTCAGTGCAAGACCGTCGCGTGCAGTTTTGATGTTCATCGTAAGCATCACTGCAGTCAGCATCTCCATCGCAGACCCACACCTGAGGGATACACCTCCTCAGGGGGGGCCTATTGTTCACACATGTAAACTCAGTGGCTGTGCAGCTGCGGTTTGCTAAAATAAAACACATTTGCTAAGTAACTGAAGTAGAGTTATTTTCATTTTACATGTATAAAATATGCATTCCCCATTCACATCTAGGCATGTGTAGCAGAAATTTCATGCAGAAATTCATTCAAATGCATCTTATCCATTGCAAAAAGCCAGATTTATTCCTGGTGTATCTCCACTGACTGCAGCTATGTGTGGAGGGTAGTGTCGTGCCCCACAATGCCCCAGGGAGAAGCAGCATTCCTCCCAGAGCTCCCTGGTAACCCCTGCTGTTACACCCCTTCTGCGGATGCAGCATTCTTTCCCTTGGTGCCAGGCCAGTGCATCAGGAAGCAGAGCTAAGACCCTGCCTCTCCCTACTCACTCCTTTGAGATGCTTGTTCCCCAGAGGGCAAATCAAGGGAGCCAATAACTGCTAAAGGGCACAAGGAAGAGGGCCAGGCTTCCTGCACTTCTTCTCTTTGTGCATCCACTAAACAGCCTGGCACAACCTGACCCTCTGCTCTCCAGCTAATAGGATTTCTACTGGAACTTTGCTGACATTAATACCGGATACTGATTCACAAGAAAAGATGTACTGCCATGATCAGGCACTATATATGTTGAAGTTGTTACTGCAGTCTGTGTTAAACAAACACACCGTGTTAATTTCATCTCAAAGCAGTTTATAATTCAAGGCTATTGAATGGAACGGGACAAAATGAGAAGGGATTTTTTTTATTAGAATTTTAATTCCAAAAATGTAGAACAAAATAAGGAATTATACAAAATAGTCTGACAGAAAAAAAGTTATGTCATGCAGACTGTTCAGTAAATCTATCTTGGTCTGAAAGCCAGTGGGCTGCCCCTAGCACAGGAGTGGGCAAACTACACCCCATGGGCCAGATTTGGCCCGTCAGGGCTTTGGATCCGGCCCGCGGGATTGCCCCCCGTGGGCCCGCAAGCCGGCGCCGCTCTGCAGAAGTGGCCGGCACCACTTCCGTGGGGCCCCCGGGTTGGGAGGCAGAGGGCTCCGTGCGTTGCCTTTGCCTCCAGGCACCGCCCCCCACAGCTCCCATTGACCGGGAATGGGGAACCGTGGCCAATGGGAGCTTCGAAGGAGGTACCTGGAGGCGCAGCAAGGGCAGCGCACGTGGAGCCCTCCGCCCCTCCTCCCCCCCACCAGGGGCCGCAGCGCTTCCTGGAGCCGAGCTGCACGGCGCAGCGTGGGGCCAGGGCAGGCGCCGGGCCGGAGCCCGAACCCCGCCTGCATTCAACCACCCAACTCCCTGCCCTAAGCTGCCTGCCTGCAACTCACACCCCTCCTGCACTCCAACTCCCTGCCCAGAGCCCCCTCGTACACCCTGCACCCCACCTGCACCCCAACCCCCTGTCCTGAGCTCCCTGCTGCACCCCGCACTCCTTCTGCACCCCTGCCCTGAGCCCCCTCAGTACACCCCGCACCCCTCCTGCACCCCAACCCCCTGCCCTGAGCCCCCTCCTGCACTCCACACCCCTCCTGCACCTCTGCCCTGAGCCCCCTCCTGCACTCCGCACCCCTCCTGCACCCCAACCCCCTTCCCTAAGCCCCTTCATGCACCCCACACCACTCCTCTGCCCCAATCCCTTGCCCTGAGCCCCTTCCTGCACACCTCAATCCCTCCCGCACCCCAATCCCCTGCCCCGGCCCTGCATACAATTTCCCCACCCAGATGTGGCCCTCAGCCCCAAAAGTTTGCCCACCCCTGCCCTAGCACAATACTTTATTTGTATTAGACACCTACCACAGTTATGTCTTTGATCTTCATCACTCATATCCCCACAGTCATTATCACCGTCACAGATCCAGCTTGCTGGGATACATCTGCCATCATCACACCTGAACTGGTTACTTGAACAAGTCCGCACATGGGACACTTAAAAAATGAATAGAATTACTCTGCTTGTTAAACTAGCCTGCACCGTTGTAATAACCTACTAATTGAAACATTCTTTAGGACAGGTTTACTCCAGTGAAATGTAAGAGGAAAGCTCAAAAATTAGAACCTAGGTCAAATCACACTTGCTGAGATAAGATGAACACCACTTCTCCGTGCCCCATTTTCTCTTTCTGGTCAATTACATTAACAACCCCTACAAACACATTACTGCTTTGATTATTAGTATGTCAATCTTGTTATTCATCAAAAGTAGACTGTTAAGGAAATCTGAAATTAGGAAACTTGGTAAACTTGAAGCAGGCATCAAATCTAACATGAATTCAACAGTCCTGACAGTAACCGTACTAATTTTACTATGTACGTTTATAATTGCTTGTTTGTAATCAGGGGCTGAGGTTTTTGGAGCAATCCAGAGACCTTTTAGACAGGTCTTAATAAGGTTGAAGGTGTGTCAGTTTGAATTCCTCCAAAAGCAGGCATGTGTCTCAGAGCTCTAGAAATGCAGGCAAAAAGTCACAATCATTTCTACGTTTGAAATCAAAAGGTGTAGTTTTTATTTTAATAAATACATTGCTAGTAATAAACCAACAGTACATTACCAGCTATCACTTGAATTTCTCATACCTCATGAAATGTGGAGAATGAGACATTTTCATCACAAGACATCAGCCCATTTTCAATCACAAGAAAATCCTATTCTCCTGTTACAGTACCAGTTTTTTCCACTGATATCTGCCACATTGTACTCTACTCGTTTCCCAGTGATTTTGGTCTTCCTCCTCTTCCGCCCTATGGAGAAAATACCTAGCTTCTTCCCCATTTCCTTCTCCCTTCCCTTTCTTATTTCCCTGTTTACTCTAATCAGTTTCCATCCTGCATACAGGACCTGATTATTCCAAGGAATTATGGGACACTCAGAATCCTAGAATGCTCCAGTCTCACACTATCTGAAGTTTCAGAGTAGCAGCCATGTTAGTCTGTATCCGCAAAAAGAACAGGAGTACTTGTGGCACCTTAGAGACTAACAAATTTATTTGAGCATAAGCTTTCGTGGGCTACAGCCCACTTCATCGGATGCATGCAGTGGAAAATATCTGAAGTGTAGCCCTCTCTCCACACCTTTTTCCCCAAATGTCGGAGCGCATATGCACTCTTCATGTCCAAGACCATTCCAAAATACAGGCTACCCCACATCAGCCAATTCACCAACACTGTTGTTTCAAAGGAGAAAGGAATGGTTTTCATTTACGAGTAATCAATCATGATAGCTAAGAGAATTCGCATTCCACACAGAGCTTTTGTGATGCAGCCACTAAGACAGGGTCAGGCAAACTTTTTGGCCTGAGGGCCGCATTAGGTTTCATAAATTGTATGGAGGGCTGGGTAGGGGAGGGGGTTGTGGCTCGGCCCCCACCTCCTATCTGCCCCCCCCCCGGACTCCTGCCCCATCCAACCCCCCCGTTCCCTGTCCCCTGATTGCCCCCGGACCCCCGCTGCCACATCCAACCCCTCCTCTCATTCCTGACGGCCCCCCCGGGACCCCTACTCCATCCAACCACCCCTTCTCCCTGTCCCCTGCCGCCCCATCCAACCCCCCCCCTTCCTGACTGCCCCCCAGGACCCCTGCCCCCATTCAACCCTGTTTCCCCCCGACCACCATCCACACCCTCGCCCCCGACCACCACCCCGAACTCCCCTGCCCTCTATCCAACCTCCCCTGCTTGGATGTGGCCTGTGGGCCATAGTTTGCCCACCCCTGCACTAAGAAATAAATTGAAACTACAGGCTCATATCAACCAAGCCACTGAACAGGCCTTAAAATGTTTTTCCAGTTACTACCAGCCTGGACTGGATTTGTACTGCTGATCTAGAAGAGAAATTATTTATTTCCCATAACCAATTTCCTGAGCCATCCCATTCCCCAGAACAGTTCTCTTTTAACTGCACACTCACCACAAGAGGCGGGTTCATCAGAGCCATCAGCACAGTCTACTCCTTGATCACAGTACCAATGAGCAGGAATACAACGTCCAGATGTACAACGAAACTCACTATTTGTGCAAGTCAGTGAGACTGGAAGAAAAAACCTATGTATGACTTCTTTCTTTTTGTTACCCTTCCAACTTGTTTTAAGTTGCTTTTGAGTCCATGATACGCAAAAACATTATAGACCCCAAAAAAGAAAAAGAAAAAATTATGCTAGCAAGGATGCCCTTTCATATTCTATCTACAGAGCTTTTTGTACAATCTAGCTGCTCTTTCCATTCAACTACTGGGTCAAATTCTCTCCTTAGACAAGTACGTGCAGCTTCTATTGTTGCATCCACTTATGGGAATGCAGAATGTGCCCCTAGTATAAGATTCCACAGAGCAACTAGAGAGCAAAGCACATTGTACATTTATAGTTGAGATGAGACTAAGATGATTTTCACTTTAAGAATAATAGGAAAAGGGAATTCTACAAGCCAGTAATCTGCTGTTTGGACTTGATCTTGTTATCTTCACTGTTTCCCTACAACTAAGGAATTCAGGGGCATTGAATGTATTGCTCATTAACACCCTTGAGTTGTTTCAGTTTCCCTTTTGTCCCTCTCTTCCTCCCACTTTCCCTTTATCTCTTTTTCTTCCACAGTGCACTACACTTTTGCCTTCTCTCACCCGCTCTCCATGCAGAACACCCATCAGTAATATAGCAGCACTTCCAAGATTTATGATACAAAGGGACGGAAGCACATCCTTCATTAGCAGCACAAGACTTACAATTCCTACTGGTTGGCAAAGGTGCCAAAATTTCTTCCTGTCACACATGCTCCACCCCTAAAATGACCATATTCTGTGGGCAAAAGCTGGGCTTGTATTTTAGAAAGATTGGGTGAAAGACCATTCAATTCAATGTAGATAACTATGAGATAATGACAACCCACTCAATCACTACAAAGTACAGAGCAGTGGTAGTAAACATACCTCGTACACTTTATAAATTGATCTGGGATACCTTAAACATGGAAGGAAATACATACAACCAACTTCTATGCTAGCAAACAAAGATCTGGTAGTTATGACTGAGAGAAAACTAGATGCTTTTACACAGTACTTAGAAGCAATAATAAAAGACTAAATGTTTTCTAGAATATATAAACACTTCAGAGAAGTAAAACAAACTATAGTCTAGATTGTGTAAACCAAAGTATTGAGCAAAAGAAAGAGGAAGTTATTCTAGCACTAAGGGACTGGCGAAGGCACATTCAGAATAGTGTGCTCAATTCTGGTAACCTTGAAAAATATGATGTAGATCAGTGGTTTTCAACCTTTTTTCATTTGCGGATCCCTAAAAAATTTCGAATGGAGGTGCAGACAACTTTGGAAATCTAAGACATAGTCTGCAGACCCCCAGAGTCCGCAGACGACAGGCTGAAAACCACTGATGTAGAAGGTACAGCAAAGAATAACCAGAATGGATAAAGGATCCTTGAAATACTAAACAAAAAAGATAGAGAAATTATGCCTGATTTCATTGGGAAAAGCTGAGACTACATAAATGGTGAGCACATTATGGTACATATACCTCATAAACCTCAGGGAGTATAAAGAACAGATGTTACAAGAACATTTGAGCTTGTACCAAAGGCACCAGAGGAATGAATTACTGAAGTGAAGAAAGGTGATTAGGGCACTATAGCTCAGTGGTTTGAGCACTGGCCTGCTAAACCCAGGGTTGTGAGTTCAATCCTTGAGGGGGCCACTTAGGGATCTGGGGCAAAATCAGTACTTGGTCCTGCTAGTGAAGGCAGGGGGCTGGACTCGATGACCTTTCAGGGTCCCTTACAGCTCTATGAGATAGGTATATCTCCATATATTTACTTACCACAATGAGTGGGGCTCTCATCACTCATGTCTCCACAGTCGTTATCTCCATCACACAGATATGTTCGAGGAATGCAAATGTTTGTGCTTCGACATTTTGTAAAACCAGACTGGCAAGTGCGTTCAGCTTTAAGAGGGAAAGAGAAAGAAAATGTTTAGAACATTTTTATCCCACTAAACTGTATCATTTGAAAGAAACACAATGTTGTTAAAATAAAATTTACTCTGGAGTAAATTTTCAGCGTCTTATATAAGTTTTAGCTAAGAGACTGCCACTATATCACTGTTCACGCAAAAGAAACACAAAGTGGCTCTAAAAAACACTAGAGGGAGCTAAAACAGTCACAAAACTAGGTGTCTGTTTTCCTCAAAGTTAAATCAATAGTAAATTAATACAAAATAGATTTTTTACATATTTTTCTGGGATATTTTCTCTTGATTAATGGCTAAACGTGGATGTCTTGAGAAGCTACAAAGAGAGATGGGCAAATAACTCAAAATGTTTTCCACTCATTTTTGTTCAAATGTTGATATGAATTACTTGGGGCCGTGCTCATGACTGTGTCCTGCTGCTCTCTGTGAACATTCAGGCAATTAAGTTTTACTGGCAAAAATGTTGGCAGAATGCATTTTCAAAGTAGCATGTGCTGGTATTCACAGAAACCATATTGTAAATTCACATGAACATATATTCATATTGGAAGTGCTTGTACATTCAACCAATTGGGGCAGAAATAATACCATGTGAATTATGTGACCAACCACAAATAAGCAACATAGCTGAACTTTCGAATACTTGTGATAAATCCATAGAGTAAACATTTCAAAATTTTAGAAAAATGCAAGTTACAAGTACATTCCAGAAAATCACAATATACCAACAAATATAGCAAGCAGAAAAAGGGGTTACCTTAACTGAATACATTTCTCAACATGAATTATTTGCTCAGCTCCAGTTATGAATGTTCCATAAGAGAACCTCCTACTGACCAGAAGGGCTGCTTAGGCTGATTAGCCACGTTACTGGTCAATATTGATTTAACTGCATTTTGTATTTTATTGAAAATACTACTCATTTCCAAAAACAATTCTGTTGATTTTGAAATGAACACTTAACTAATGAAACATTTCCACTTTTTTAGCAATATAAAGCATACATATTAAAGAGTAAAAGTAACTCTGCAGTAACATGCATAATGCAGGTGATTAAAGCTATTGCAATTAACACAGTAAGAATGATATAAAACTTTATAGCATAAACCCACTGCACAAATTTGGGTCCCAACCTTGTGAAGACTTACATAAAGATATAATGCACCATGAAGAGCCCTGTTGAACTGAATGGGACTATTCACAGCACACAAAGTGAAGCACATGCATAAATCTTTCCAGGGTTGGGGACGTACAGAGGACAGGCTATTTTTAATAATAAAATAAAATATCTATGCTCTCATATTGCTCATAAATATTTTAATTACTGTTTTGTTTCAAAATAGTATAAAGCAGAATATTGTTAAAATAAACCAATCGTGTCAAGAGAAGTCACTTGTTCTCTTTTGCGGATAGCTTCATTATTCTTCACAAGCAAAAATATTTGCCTCTTCTTTGGTTTAAAGAGTCAGATCCAAATATACAATAGGTAGTTATGATGAACTTACGGCAATTTCTCTCATCTGAAGTGCCATTATCATAACAGTTGTTTACACCATTGCAGACGTATTCAAGAGATATACACCTTCCATTATTGCAAGTAAATTCTGTGTGGGAGTCACAAGTTCGGAACAAGCAGCCCACCTCATCGCTGTTGTCTCCACAGTCATTGTAGTGGTCGCAGCGGTAGTGATAAGGTACGCACCTCCCATTGCCACAGGTAAAAGCTGTTGGCTGACAGGTATGGAAAGCTAAAAGGGGATAAAAACAGGGAGGAAAAGTCATGGATACAATGTAAACTTAATTCTTTGACAAATGTAGCAAAGGAAAACGCGCTTCACTTTTACCTGCCAGGGCAAACATCGCTGCAAAACGGACTGCATGAAAAGTAAAATACACATTTTGAATTAGACAAAGTCAAAAGGTAAAGTAGGATAAACATGATTTAAAGTTAAAGGCATGCCTATAAATCCTTTCTTGTTTCTAATGCAAATTTGTTGTCATAATACACATGAAGATACAGACGCAAAATCGGAAAGCAGGCAGGAGCCCGCTCCAAATTACTACCACATGACTCAATCCCATTGCCACCAAACCAATGGGGAAAGTGCCACTGATGTCAGTGGGAGCAGGACTGAGCCCTGTGTCACTTTCGAACACAGTTATTAAAACACTTACCACACACACTTTCCAGCTCATCGCTGCCATCCCCACAATCGTTATCATTGTCACATTTCCACCGCTCTGAGATGCATCGTCCATTAAGGCATGTGAAGAGCCCTCCATCACACCTGGTACCATTGTCCACAATACAGTGCTTGTTATTATTGGCTAAATACCAGTGACCTTCAGAAGGACACTGACACTCTGCACCAGTAGGACCTGCATACATTTGAAACCAAACAAACAAACAAACAAAAAAAGATGAGCATATCAACACATTAAGGTAAGCCTTCCATAAAATTATTCACAGCTACAACATTCATTATTCTTTGCTGAACTATAATAGCTAGCTGTGTTGTATGTGTCAGCCTTTTAAATAAGCAAGGCTACTGGGTCAGATGCTGATTTCAGTACACCTGTATCAATCCACTTAACTGAACGGCACTTAACTACGGCTGGAGTAACTGAGCTCAAAATCTGGTGCACTGATTTATAATATTTGTTTGCCATAAATACCATGAGATCTCTGGGCTGTTCTCAGTGTGCTAATAGGTGCACTTTTGGGGTCCAAGTGAGAAAGTATCCTGTCGTCAAAAATTAAGGCCACACCAGCTGAAGATCTGGCCCTTAAGACTGGAAACCATTAGACTAACTTTGTTCATATTGAAGTCAATGGGAGTTTTCCATTTGCCTCCAGGCCAACTGTGAATGGGAGATAAGTGCTTAGGTGCTTTTGGAAATCCCACTAGGCACCTATCTGCATCTTTAGGAGACTTTAAAAATCTTGCCCGGGGTGCTTTTAAAAATCCCTCCCCTAATATATTTTACAGTCTCAGCTTGTGCCAAACTTGTACAACATTATCAACTTATTAAACCCACTCATTTTCTATTGGAAATTGGGATTTCAATTGCCAAAGCTTTTAAAATAACACAACAAAACAGATGGAGATTGTACGGCAAGGGGTTCTGAAAGAGTCTGGAAAATAATGGTAACGGAAATATTTTGTAATACCATGTGATGAAGAAATCCAGATTATGATGACATTTTAAATTTGCAGCATGAAGTATTTAGTGCTGTGGTACCATTCTGAGGTCCCAGTGTAATCTACTGATAAGTATGTATTATAGGCCCCCTCTGTGCCGAATCCATAGAGGACAGGCGTCCGGTACAGCCCCAGCTAGAGTGCTTTAGCTCTAACTGTAGCAGCTCATGTAGTTCAATCCCGGATGTGTCAGCCAAAATGGCAGCTGTCACATTAGCACAGAAAATTCAGTTTGTACAGTCTGGACCTCAATGAGATATATTTTAGTTTAGACCAGGAATGGGCAACTGTAGGCATAGGGGAAACAACCTGCCCACCAGATCATTTTATTTGGCCTGTTCATAGGCAGCTGGTAAAAATATTATTTGGGGGGGGAATGAGCAGGGGCGTAGCCCTGGGTGGGCCATGGCCCAATCAAGTAGCACCCAGGCCCACCCAAATCTGAGCACCAGACACAACCACTTAAAGTGAGAGCGGTTACAGGGAGTACGAGAGGAGCAGAGTACCGGACTGGGAGCAGGAGCCCAGGCACTGAGTCGCAACACCACTCATTGGCCCAACCACCTCTCTGTCACTCATGCAGGGGAGGGCTCATGTCACCCGGCTTTGGTTCCTGCCTTCCCATTGGCTCCCATCTTCCACAGCCAAGCTATCTGTCATCAGCCCTGACCCCTCCTAGCCGTGGGCGAGTCAGGGCACATTTCTGCCAACGGGGAGGCAGTAACGAGTGCTGGATGGTGTAATGGCAAAGCCCCTTCCCTGCTGACATGACAGATGGGGGCTGGGCCAAATTTAAGTGGCATTGCGACTCAGTGCATGGTCTCTGCCGTCACTCTGTTCCCCCTTAAACACAGGCTCCCCAACATGCGGAACCCATACACCAGGCTCCAGCTCTGGCCCATGCCACCCAGTTCTGGTTAGTTCCTCCCGGTTGGCAGAGGTGTACCCTGCTCCCACCCACTACTGTGGGAGGGGGCTGTCCAAAACCTGATTGGCTCTCAGCTCCCAAACAATCATCCCAGGGGGAGAGAGTAACTGGAACTTGGTGGCATGGTGCAGAAAGGCTGATGGGGAAGCAGAGCCAAGCAGAGTAGTATGAGGCAGCAGCAACTTTACTAAAAGACGGTGCCCCTCAGTGACCCGGCTCAATCTTCAAAAAAAGTTCTGTGTGGCCTGCTCAGGCTTTTAGGATATTTTGTGGTGCTCTGCTACCTTAAAGTTGCCCATTCCTGGTTTAGGTGAATAAATATTTCAGCCATTCCCAAGTAATTTTTAAACCTAGCACTCCCCCATACTGTGAATTCTGCTATAGTCAACATTATCATCAAACATAATAGTTTACCTGGTGCACAGATGTGACTGCAACCGCCATTAAATTGGTTGCAAGGATTGATGCACTGTTGTTGCTTACTTTTTGACCAAACATGAATATCCATTGGTCTTTGTGGCAGATTCATGATCATTACTATCTGATCTGAGCCATCGTATTTGTTAGCTCGGTAAATACTTCTGGTATTCCAATCTGTCCAGTAAATGTGCTGATCAAACAAGGTCATGGCAAATGGATATAGAGCAGTACTAACGATTACTTCACGATTGGAACCAGAAAGGGAGCATCGCTCAATCTTCTGTCTAAAATAAATAAGGAAATACTAAAGCCTTTGAACTTTTACAGATACCAGTACATACTTAATTACACTCTGTGACCAGTTCCCACCAATTAAATACTGGAGCATATTTAATTAAGTTTTGTTATTAAATACAGTTTGAGGTCTCAGGGGCTTTTCAAACTACTGGCTCAATAATGATGCAAAGTAATGACTTTGAAGCACTAATAAAATAATGTACCAGAAGCAATTATTTTTTAGAAGAAAACATTTAAGCAGCTCCACTACACATAACCAAAATGAGCACAAATTTCATGACAGAATTCTTTCCTTTGAAAGGACTCAAAATTCATGTAGCCTTGCACTAGGAGTACAATGGCACCATGAAAGGGAAAGATACTGTCTTTTTAGTTGCCACTACTGAAGACCCAAATTCATGTTACCAGGAAATACATAGCAGATCACGTACAAAATAAATACATAAACCTATGTGCTAAGTTTCCCATGAATAAATATATGAAAGAAGAAGAGTTGCTATAAAATAACCACAAATTCTTCTCTGTTGACCTTGGAGTTCAGGCTCCCCTCTGCAACGATGAGCAGAACTAACAGAAGCAGGACCTCCGGGGTCCACAGGAGATACAGGCTCCAACCCTACAGATCCTGTGGCAAGCAACATCCCTGTTCCATACTGTCTACCCATCCTATCCCTAGCAGCACTATTGACCCACCTGCACCTGCTTCCAGTGGAGGTCAGATAGTGCTGCTTCAGGAAGAATCAATTTATGCTACAGTTGCCGGTGCATTATTATGTAAAATCATTTTATCAGGCCACAAATGTTTGCAGCACTTAAGGCACAGAGTTAAACAAGTTCCCTGCCTCACAGAGATTACAGTCCAAGCAGACAAGTCACACAAGAACAAAACACGAGAGTACAGAAAAAGGAGGGTGTGGAAAGATTGTTGGCAGGAAGGATGACAAAGTAGGAAGGATTTCTAGAAGAAATGCATTTTGAGGAGGGATTTCAAGGAGGAGAGAGAAAGTGCTTGGTAAAAAAGGAGCATGGTATTGCTAGAAGCTGCGAGTGAGAAGAGAAAAAGGGAGCAGTGAGGAGAAAATACTGGGTGGAGTGTAGGGGAATTAGAGAAATTAGAGCAAATGTGAAGAGTGTACTACGCCCCGGGTAGAGGCTGCTGCCTCACTCCATGTCCCAGCATTCTGGTGATCAGACAACCCAATGAGGTGTTCTATACACATGGCAGGGCTTTGGTGACAGGAGACAGAAGGTCATGTGAGTTCTGCTCCTCTCCTTCAAAGATGCGCCTGTGCGATTGCCGTGCTTTTGTTCCTTTCTTCACAATGCAGTTAAAGGGAAGACAAGGCCCATCAAGGCTGCATACACAGAAATACAGGTAGCAAAGTTATGTTTGTGTGTAGACTGTCAATGGAACAGAAAGGTTTTCTGAAAATTACACTGTAAACAATAACATTCCCCATGTCCAGAGGGGGGTTCAATGTTGCAGCTCCAGGACTAAGTCCCGCCCTTCAATTTAACACCCAGAAGAGCTCTTCCAAAGCTGTAGAAGCATGCAGGTAACCAATCATTAGCATTAAGTGAATAACATGAACTTACATTAGCTAATCTTTGGGCAATTGTATGTTTAAGTCTCCCTTAGAGAAACATTTCAATTGTTACAAATTGCATTCTGGTCATTCACTAGACTACTAGGGTAGGCTGAATGAGGAGAGAAGCTGCTGACAGAAAGAAAATTATCATGTAAGAAATTTCTCCTTCTGCTGCTTGGCTTCTCTCCTCCTTCATCACTAATGGGAAGTAACGAGCAGTGAATCACAGAAGTGGAGGAAGGGACGATAAAGCAGAATTTTAATTATTATTACAAGATGAATAATATGCAGACATACAAGTTATCCCATATAAAGCAAAAGCTTTGTAATTTAAGGAATTTTGTGGGAACCAACCCAGTAGCACCTTCCTACCAAAAGGCTCCCTCTGCAGAGCAATGAAAATCTATTTTGCAGATGAGGCTCAGACACTTTTCCCCACAATGCCAATAGGGACCTTCCGAGGGCACCTTGATTCGTACTCCATAAATAGTCTCCCAGATGCCCAGGATGTCAACTGGTGAAGGATTTTAATGTCTTGCCTGCAGCAAGTTTGAGGTCCTAAGGCCATGGCATTTTGGATAGAATAAGACGTTTTGGGAATGCCCATTTATGCCACAACTTTCCAAGGGAGTGTAAGGACTGGAACAAAATAATGGAAACACTGTTTCACAGGAGTTGTGGAAAGATGAACTAATCTTGGTCAGAATTATTTCTGGAGCTACAAGAATAACCTTTTCCACTTGACAACAGCTATGTCATTCTTGCACAGATAGAGGAACTAATTCCAACCCTGTCTTTTGGAAGTAATGGCAAGAAGAAAAGCTGCACACAAGCTTGTCTTGTTTGGCCAGTCTGATGAATCTTGACACTTGACAATACTCAGTGGAGAGTCTGGTGTACCTCCATAAAGAACACTGCGAGGGCTGGTATACACCTTTTTATGGTATTTGGTTGCTGGATTCTGACCAGCCATCTGGGAAAACCTGTAGTGTAGCTCAGATCACCAGAACTTTGTGATTATTATTGTTTGTAGTAAATTAGTGGCCAGGGCCCCATTTGCTGGACACAGTACAAACAAATAACAAAGAGACCATATTTGCCTCAAAGTGCCTTCTGTTTCCCCTCACACCTGAAATGAAATTTGACCTAATAAATTTCCCTGGTTAAATTCTGTCTGGATACCAAAATGTATCAATGAGACTAATGGAGAAACCCTGCGGAACTGCACTTCTCTTCCCATGCCCAGGCTATTAACTGTAGGTTGTCCAGTGTCCAGCAGTCTTTCAGCAGGTGTAATGGAGGTTCCTCAGTTGTCTATCAAATATAAAGTACCTTCTGACCCATGAGGTTTAGGACTTCAACTCTCCTTTTTCCTCTTTTCCACATCCTTTATGTGAACTGTCTTGAAAGGCAGCAGACTTTTCTCTGCCCGTGACATTATTTCCATTGTCACAGAGAAACTTTGACCTCTGGTTATTCCCTGGTTTTGGAAGGGGTATAATTAAGACTACGTTTTAGTCACAGATATTTTTAGTAAAAGTTACGGGCAGGTCACGGGCAGTAAACAAAAATTCACAGCCTGTGATCTGTCCATGACTTTTAATAAAAATACCAGTGAATAAAACTTGCCGGGGGCCTGCCCAGGGCCCCTGTGGGTGCTGGGAGTGGCACAGGCGGGGACGGGGGGGGGCTGGATGCTTGGTCGGGGGGCACGCAGCCTGGGACCCCTGCTGGCACTGGGGTGGGCATGGGCGGTGGCAGTGGGGGGGGGCTGGATGTTTGGGGGGGCACACAGCCTGGGACCCCCACTGGTGCTGGGGTGGGCAGGGGCGGCAGCGATGGGGGGGCTGGATGCTTGGGTGGGGGCACACAGTCTAGGACCCCCACTGGTGCTGGGGTGGGCATGGGTGGCAGCAGCGGTGGAGGGGCTGGATGCTTGGGTGGGGGCACACAGCCTGGGACCCCTGCTGACGCCGGAGTGGGCAGGGGCGGCAGCGGTGGGGGACAGGGGCTGGATGCTTGGATGGGGGAACACAGCCTGGGACCCCCGCTGGCGCTGGGGTGGGCACGGGCAGCAGTGGCAGGGGAGGGGCTGAATGCTTGGGCGGGGGCACAGAGCCTGGGACCCCCGCTGACCCCGGGGTGGGCATGGGTGGCAGCAGTGGGGGAGGAGCTGGATACTTGGACGGGGCACACAGCCTGGGACCCCCACTGGCGCTGGGGTGGGCATGGGCAGCGGTGGCAGGGGAGGGGCTGGATGCTTGGGCGAGGGCAGAGAGCCTAGGACCCCCGCTGGCGCCGGGGTGGGCACGGGTGGCAGCAGTGGGGGAGGGGCTGGATGCTTGGGCACGGGCACACAGCCTGGACCCCCGCTGGCGCTGGGGTGGGCACGGGCAGCAGTGGCAGGGGAGGGGCTGGATGCTTGGGTGGGGGTACAGAGCCTGGGACCCACGCTGGCGCCGGAGTGGCTACGGGTGGCAGCAGTGGGGGAGGGGCTGGATGCTTGGGCGGGGGCACAGAGCCTGGGACCCCCACTGGCGCCGGGGTGGGCAGGGGTGGAGGCAGTGGGGCAGGGGCTGGATGCATGGGCGGGGGCACACAGCCTGGGACCCCCGCTGGTGCTGGGAGGTGGGGATTGGCAGGGCCGGAAGGCTCCCTACCTGGCTCCGTGCCAATGGGAGCTGCAAAGCCAGTGCTCTGGGCAGAGGCAGTGTGCAGAGCTGCTGGCCACGCCTCTGCCTAGCAGCTGAGTGAGGGGGATGTCGCCACTTCCAGGGAGCCTCCCAGGTAAGCGCCACCCAGAGCCCACCTCACCCCATCTGAAGCCCCAACCCTCTGCCCCCTCCCATACCCAAACTCTGCTGCTGGCTGGGACGCGGGGGCCCAAGACTGCCCGAGCAGCCACCGGTGCGCCTGATGCAGGGGCTGCTTGAGCTGCCCCTGAGCCAGGCACACCGGCCACTGCAGAAGTCACGGAGGTCACGGAAAGTAAGGGAATCCATGACCTCCGTGGCAAACTCGCAGCCTTAGGTATAAACACTCATGCTTCAGAGCATAAACAAACCTCTAACTAATGGGAGTTAAAACAAAACTTCCCCTGTAGGCAAGTTATTATATAATTTCCCTCTATAGGGTTTCTTGCACCTTCCTCTAAAGGATGTGGTACTGGAACAGGACACCATACTTGATGGATCACTAGTCTGATCCCGCAAAACCAACATTATGGCTGTGTTCAGAAACACCGCTGACAGAGCTGTTGACGTGAACTAAAAGGATGTGCACTCTGAGATATTGGAAATTGGTACAGCTCCAGGGGCGACCTTGAGAGACCTGCATGCTTTCCTTTTTCTGAGTGCAGGACCATAATCCCTGGGTCATCTTGTCTTCCAGGTATGCTTCCGACCCTGCAAGGTTTGCTTTCATAGCAAGTGTGCAAGAGTCTATAGGGAAAACTGAGTTGATTTTCAGCATGTTGTTTGTACTTACCCGCCCACAAGGGGAGATCCAGACGTGATTCAGGAATGGTGGTTAATTTTGTATTACGTCCCCTCAGTGGTACCATGTTCTTAGGAGGACTATCTGGAGACAGATTGTGTGAAATCCCACTTGGGGGATAACACAGATGCTTGGTACTAGCAAACACATTCGCTAGAGACAATTGGTTATGGTTAAGCTCTGCCAGGAAATGATTGATGTAAGAAAGTTTGTACCTTTGTGAATATTTACCGCAATGGTAAAATTACAGTCAGACCCATGCTTATTTTGATCTCTGGTTGAATCATTTTCTGCACTGGGCTCAAAAGATTTTTCTTGATTTTGATCAAGTGGTGGGGCTGAATTTTTTCCAGCAGCTGGCAAATTCTGAGTGAGTCTGTTTCTCTGGACAGAGCACAGGTTGTGATGTTGTCCATGCATGGGCATAGATGTGCTGTGACTATTACCAGACATTTCTTAGGACTCTGGATGCAGACGGCAGACTGAAAGAAAGAGTCTTGTACAGGAAGTTTGATCTCTCATGTACAAATGCTCATGTCATCTTTGTCATGCTGAGGAATTTGTTGGCTTAAGATGAAAAATTTATCTCTGTCTTTCTTGTGGGGAGGGGCAATCTCAAAATTTTGGAGGGTCTGTCTCCTGAATTTTGAACTTCAGGGATCAGCAACACTCAGTGGTTAATTTGTAATGCCAGAGGTGCCAGGGCTCAAACAATTAGGTGCTGGGACTCAAGCAATTTTTTTACTTTCATAACTGATGCGGCAAGCCCAGAGGTGCTGGGGCTATGAACTGCCAAGCCTAGAGGTGCCAGAGCTCAGCCCTGACAAGCCCTGGCACAAATTAAGCACTGGCAACACTGCTGCTGCCCGAAGCAGAGCTCCATGGGTGCACCTGGCAGCTGCATGCCCTGACAAAAGCATGCCGGGGAGGGGGGTGGATCCTGATACAGAGCACCTGTGAGGAGAAAAGCCCAGCAAATGCTCCTTCATGGAGGGAAGGCATTTAAACCCTGGGCTTTATACCACTTGCTCATTAACTACATTAATCACTGCCTTATGAACGGGATGCTTGCTTTTGCCTTTTTGAGGCCAGAGTCTTACTCCGGGGCAGGCTGTGATGGGTTTTCCTCTCTATCAGAATCCTCATGCCCTTGTCTGAGCTCTCCATGATGGAGTCGCAGCTTCAGGCAAGAACTGACACCCTACACAGCTGTCCAATGCAAAGCCCCATCCCCAAGCAGTGCAAGGGTCAGTAGCTTACAGCTGTAGGGCATAGCTCGCCTTCTCCAGCCTCATGCCCTGGCAGAGTGAGGGTCGGCAGCTAGCGGCAGCAGAGCATAGCTTGTCCTCCAAGGCTCCTGAAAAGCTGTGTACAGCACCTCTGGGACTTGGTTCAATGCCTGCAAGGCTTCTCTGCTGCTGTGAGGGGGGAAGGGGGCAAAGGCAGCTGTGGAAGAGACGCTGTACTGGGGAACCCCAAGGGTTAGAGCCTCAATACTCCAGTGACTCCTCACCTCAGGAGGGCCAGAGACACACAGAAGCTGAAATGCAGTCACTATGCAGCATTAAAAAAATTGAAACTTAGAAGACAAAGTGGCTTAGAGAGACTGAACAACCAACTGAAGGCAGAAATTCTGGTGGCCTGAGCTGACGGGCGGGGCTTAGTCCCGGAGCCTCCAGCAACAACACTGGACCATCTCCAAATGCCGCGGTGAGAGGCATTGCCCGTTAGTGATGAATGAGGAGAAAAGCTGTGCAGAAGCAATGTATAGATCAGAGAAAACGCTAAAATACTGCATTAAGAATAAGACAAATGAGCTAGCACAACATTAGAGTAAATTTAGCTCCCTGTGAGTTTCAGGAAACCCAGTAATTATATGTGCCTGCAAATTACTAACATACATTGTTCTCGAAATCACAGGTCAACTCTAAGATTTGTTAGTTAATCAATCAAAACTGCCAAGGAAGTCATGGAAGTTTTGATTGAGTAACGGTGGCAGAATTTGGTCCCTACAATTTTGTTTTCCTGGTATAAGACAGAAACAACCATGTGGTTAATCAATTACAGTACTATGTACTTACTAATTACTTTTCACAATGGAATTTAAAAACTATTAAGTGATTATTAATGGGCCCTACTATAAAATGGTACCAAATGCATCTGAAGTAATGAAAAAGGGAGAAAAAAATCTGAGCTCTGAAAGTAAAGTGTAATAATAAATTTCTTTTAAAAATCCTACTACAGACAAGACAGATACATACAGACGTGCATCAGCCCAGTAAAGCTGCTGTTCCTCATAGTCCAGGGTAAGTCCGTTTGGCCACACCAAATTGGTGCTTACAATAGGTATTCTGAAGTTTCCTCCAAGTGTAGCTCGTTCTATTTTAGCATTGGTACTCCAGTCAGTCCAGTACATGTATCTATCAATCAGACAATTGCAAAGTTAACTCTTTGGCAAACAAAACCCACAGGACTCAATTCTGTCGTAAGAGACATCCATCCTGGTCTCTCCTACTGAAATCAAGAGTCAGCTGGGAATATATATGTGAGGGAAGAACTATCTCCATTAATTAGGACCCTGATTCTGCAATAGCAAGGACCCTTGCACCCACGTGAATCCCTACTGGAGCCCCACCACTTCGTGTGTGACCTTGGGAAAGTCACTGAATTTCTCTCCTGTGGTTTCTCCATTTGCAAAATAGTGTTAATAACGTTATTTCCTGCTTCAAAGGGCTGCTGTGAGGATCAATTCATGAATTCTTGTGAGGCACCTGGATAGTACGGGGTATTGGGATCATATAGGAATCTAAATAGGTAGATTTCCTTGGTGTGTCAACTAATCCTAGGGATATGCTACTCTCAGAGAAGCCTTATTTTGAACAACCACCGCTTGGTCCTCTGCTCAGCTCAGATGACTGGTGGACAGATGCCTTCCCATTATCTTCTCTGTCTAGTTTGACAAATATCTGGTGCTGGATGCCTCTCCTTCCTGCTGGTATAGAGATCTTCCTGGCACCTCCCCAGATGGGCTAGCATTCACTATCAGCTGAAGGAGTCTCCTGTGGGTCCTCTGATTTCACCTGCAAAGCACTATCTCATATTGCCTGCATATATATGAATATACTTGCACATTCTGTTGCACTGGCCAGGAACAGAACACAGAACTCTGTGCAATTCACATAGTTCCCTCAAGCTGTTATCTTCCAGCACACACATTTCCAAACTTACATCATTTTTGCTTCTCCTCTATTTCTCTTCTAAAAATAGTATTGCTCCCACTGTACCCCCACGATTTACCTGAGAGTGCCATTGCTTTTGTCTTTTTGAAATTTAGTTGACAAAGCCAAGTATCAAAGAAGGTCTATATCTAAATTTAATCTTATGTTACTACATCCAAAAAACTACAAATAAAGAATATCGAAGTTGCAAAGTCAAACACTCAAAAGTTAGGAAATGCCAGAATTAAGGATCCCCATGCAGCCTTAATTCTGACCCCTCCACTTCCTCCTCCACACTGCACGGGCACCAGCAGGAGGAGTCAGGGTTCATAGGAGCTCTCAGTTCTGGTGCCCAGCACCACAGCAGCCAGAAACATCATCTGCAAGGAAAGTCCTGCTCAGCCCTGCAGCCTTGGATGCATGTCCAGTACCAACAAAATCTTCAGGGAATTTGGCTGACAAACTCTTAAAAAGTCTCTACTAAACATGAGCAAACTCAGATTTTTCAAAGACCAAATATGGACAGTTTCTCACAGGAATAGCAAAAAAAACCAAAAAACCACATTGCTGAGAGCAGGGTGATCTCTCTGCCAAATGGGTCTAACAATGGGAAGTGTCGGGCATCTTTAACCATCAGCAGCGCTACCAGGCCCACCTAACATAAAAATACAATTTTAATGAAAACTTTAGAAGAAAAAGAGCAAGACATACCCTCTGCAAGGATCTAGTACAATAGCTCTAGGGCGTGGAACACGGGCAACCACTGTGCGGTTAGATCCATCCACAGCCATTGAGCTGATAGTCTGGTTCAAATAGTCACTGTAATAAATTCTGTTACTGATCCAGTCAAAGGCTATGCCATCTGGAGTTCCCAAACCTTAAGAAAGGAGAACATCTCTTCATTAAAACTTTCTGAAACATTGCCATACACTTCACCAAATCATCACCGTCATAATGGGCCAAATCCTGAGGTACTTATCCAGTTAAAATCCCATTGACATCAATGGGTGTTTGCCTAAGTAAAAATCTAAGAAACAGGCCCTTATAAGGGCACAAAGTGGGGGTGGGTTCTGTCAATGGACAAGGAGCCCTTCCTCAGACACTTGTACGGCCTACTTAAGGGCAAGACGAATTGCAGTCTCTATCCTCCAGGAAGTGCAGGGACTCCTCCTGCACTACTACTCTGGGAGTGCACAGTGCTCCAAAGGAGGCAGAGAAGGGTGGGGAAGAGACAGAGACATTGCCCTACCTTCTCTCTGCAGCCACCCTGGAGTGGGACCAAAGCAGTGGGGGAAGTAAGCTGTGCCCCTGGAAAGGATTCCAAGACAGAATCCCTCCTTGAGCTCTCCTAGGGGAGGTGCAGCACCACCCACACCCACACCACTGGGCTCCACTGAAAAGGCAGAGCTGAGCCCCCACTCAGGACCTGAGGACTTGGCCCAGTATGAACAAACAGTGTAACTCAGCAAATATGAGTGTCTTCTTCTACCCCATCCTTTATGTACTGAACGCCTTCTCTGAGCTGGTCTGCAAGATCACTATCCCCCTCCCACAATGAAATCTCTGTTGAAGATCCACTTCCCCTGTGACACCTACAAGAACCCAGATGACTGGTAATGCCAAGGCTGACAGTAATTAAAAAAAAATTAAAAACCCAGAACATTGTGTTACCCAACACTGTATTACCAAGACCAAGGCCAAACACCACCTTGACCACTCTGCTTGTACATTACATCCAGCTAACCTTTCATCTGTCTCTTTTGTCCTTTTATATTATACGTTCTTTGGGGCAGGGGCTATGCCTTCCCATATGTTGGTTCAGTGCTCATTGCATTGTGGGAACTGCTGGAAACAAACAATAATAGTACTAACTAATCTTGTACTTTCATAGTTTGTGTGAGTACTGATAAAGATGGAGTAAGAACCTGAAAGGAGGAAAAAACTAAGCAGAAATGTCAACAGAAGCTTTCAAGAGAATATTTTAACTAAACAGTCTGTCTTGATCATTAGAATAAACATACTGTAATTATTTAACTAATAATCAGGTGCTATAATCCTATCTTGTTAATATCCAGTTAGTTTAGATCAAGTTTAATGGCATTTACCTGACGCAACTATAGTTGGAGTGCCAGTTCCTGAGTAAATATTAACGTAGCTGATTTTTCCTGTCCCAGCTGGAGAACTTTGTGTAAAATATATTCTGTTGTTCATGCTGTCAAAATCTAGAGCCACTGCAGTTCTTAACACATTCACTGTCCGAAATGGGGGGCTGTGATTCTCAGGATCGAGCTGTATGCTTCTAAGTGCATTCTCAAGGGCAAAAATCAAGTAATCATCTGTTGAAATGGAACATCTCTTGCCATCACTTCCTAGTGTGCCAAAGGCACACCCACATTTAGGCATCTGCAGATCAGGCAAGGCAAAACACAAATGGGAACAATCTCCATTGTTCTCCAAACAAGGATTGTTGTTGATACTGAGGGGAGACCGTGGTTGAAAACGGCTGTCGTAAATGGTAACATCTCTTAGCCAATTAATATTGTCTCGTATAACTGTTGGCTGCTCAGTGTTGCCTGGCTCTTTGCTGGCTTGGAAGACTTTTTTCAGGTTCCTGTCCACCCAGATCATAGAATTTTCAAAGACGGTGATGCCATATGGTGTTGGGTAGCGACTACCATAGCGAACAATTTCTGCTTCACCCCCATCAGGCTGAATTCTTGCAATCATATCTAAAGAATCATCAACCCAATAAACATAGCCATTGCTGTGATCTACTGCCAAGCCACGTGGTGTGACAATGCCTTCAGACACAAGCACTGTTCTGTTGGTGCAGTCAAGAAACGCACGTTCAATCTTTGGATTCTGTCCATAATCTGCCCAGAAGAGGTATCTGTTTTTTGGGTCTACTACTATATGCCTTGGCATATCCACTGTGGTTTTCAGGAGAACACGTCGATAAGAAGTGTTTAAACGCAAAACTTCTACAAAAGTCTCTGTCAGGAAAGCATTCGTAAAATAAAGGTTCCCTGTATTTAAAAAAAAATGTTAAATACAATTTAATTCAAAACCAGAGAAACACAAGCTGATACCTGCAAATGGTGATCATAAAATGAATCATAAAATTATGATAAGCAAAGACCCAAGTATATAGCTGGTTAGGGCATTTGCTTCCTTGGAAAGAATTTTAAAAATAGATGCTTAACTGTGAAGAATTAGACAAACAGTACCACAAAATAACATTATTCAAATTCTGCCCTTGATTCATTCATCCATCCTTACTAACTTCAGTGGGCTGCACAGGCATAATTGAGACAGAATTTGGCCCATTCATATAGGTCATCATCATGGTTTCATATAACAATATGTATTTAGTTCAAAGGTCTTGTTTTATTACCTTGCTTCAAATCAACATTAACATTTTTCCTTAGCATTTTATTTGAAACTAAAGACACTATGTCTATATATACACCACTGGTGGCGGCAAGTAGTATATGTGTAATACATGCCACAGTGAAAAGCACACCGCATCCACCCTGAGGTAGCTACACATGCCAGTGACAGGCTCTGGGAGAGGGAAGGCAGAGGGGAAATGCTTCAGCAGCTCCCTGCTGATGGAGCCTTTCACTGAGGCGAGGAAAGGCTGAGTCTTTCCCCACAGCCTTCCCCTGCAAGAGCCATTCCCCACTGCTGGAGTCATTCCCTTCTGTGGAGAAGGGCTCCAGCAGCGGGGAGCTGGCAGAGCCTTTCCCCACTGCTTCACCCCTGCCAGAGCCTTTCCCCACTGCCAGAGTCTTTCCCTGCAGCAGGGATGGGAGCTGCCGGAGACTTTCCCAGTGGTGGAGAAGAGTTTCTGCAGTGGGGAGGGAGCTGGCAGAATCTTTCTACACAACTGGAGTCTTTTCCTGGAGCAGAGAAAGTCTCCAGCAGCATGACACTACACTGTTAAAAACAGCAGTTTAGATGGGGACGCAGGGTTTGGGCGTGCAGAGAGCCATGTAGGGTACATAGTCAGGTACATACCCACACCCTTCAGGCATGTCTGTAGTCTACTAACCTAAGCCATGCCTCATCGTCTATACTGCTACTTATACCCATGTGTATGTGCACGACACACCACCAAAAGACGGTGCAGCGTAGACACACCCAGAAGGAATTACACCAAAGAAACAAAAAAAATGTAAGCACTTGACAAAGATCTCCTGTTTAGTGTTAAATGAATAAATGCTTTCTAAAAAGTTGGTATTTGCATTAATTATAACTTGCTGTTTGATTTAACTTGCAATATTAATTGGAAAGCATGGTTTTAAGTCTACAGCTTAGAGCCAAATTCTGTCCTCTACTTTGTTCATTCAACTCCTACTGTAATCAATGGGACTGCTGCCCTTCATACATTTTTTTCATTTTAAAACCACTCTGCATATACAGCACTAGCTAAAAGCATACATGGTTTCCCTTTGAAATGTTTCCATGAGGTTTTTTTCTATAAAACTAATTATTAGTCTAAAGATTCCTACAACATATACAGAGAAACCTTTATTATAAATTCAGCTATGCAGCAGTTCTGCTTACCTGCTACCCAATCAATTGCAATGCCACGGATTCCATTTCGTCCTATTCCATTTGTAATAACGTTTCTAAAATAAGAACCATCCGGCTTAATTTTACGTATTGCTTTCTGGGAAGAAACAGTGCTGCTGAAGTCACACCAGTAAATGAAACCAGAAGGCATGTGAACATCCACATGAAGTGCATTTCGTCCTGAAACATTTTTAAAAAGCAATCAATTATTTTTAATATAAAAGTATTTTATTTAAAATTTGTGGTTTATGTTGTTTGCAATGACAAGTGAATTGAGGTTGTCATCGCATAAAATCTACCATCAATTTACATTGCCATGGTACTCTTTATATGTAAACATTCAGAGAAGCCATTTATATGATCTTCTCTGTTAATGTGTAGAGCATCGTATTATTATGGCTCCGTAGTTCAATATTTAAAATAGTGTATGAGAATATTAAACTAATAAAATCTGATTATTACAGTGTGCTAAAATTAAACTCACAAACTACATCTGCAAAAAGAGGTTGTCTTCTGAAAATTTAGGCCTTTATGTGGAGATCGGTACACGCCACTGAATTTTACACATTCCTTACCTCCATGGCATGATGTCTAGGCAATATTCTTATTCAGTATATTAGTCTTGTTGTTAAATACACCATATGTCAGATAAGCAATCACCAGAGCATTACAAATCTTTAACAGAAAATGACCACAATAGGCATAAAGAGATTTTTCTCATCTACTACAATCTTCACATACCTCTTCCTGCCAACGGCACCATGGCTTCAGAGTGATCAGATGTCTCTAAGCTAAATCCTTTAATTGCGGACAGCATGGAAACAATTACAAAGGAACTATATGGGGAACAGGTCCTGTTATTAGGATTTAGCTGGAAGCCAGTGGCACAGGCACAGGAAAATAGTCCACCAGGCACAGGCAGACAAAGCTGCTGACAAACTCCAATATTGTTACTGCAGCCATTTGAGGAACCAGCAGAATCTGTGTCAGAAAGAAACAGATGCATATAAAACAGCAATAGTGCAGCTGTTCATTATAAACTCTCATTGTTCTAGAATAAAATGTATACACGCCACAAGCTTATCAGGAAAGTGACTAATAACAATAAGCAGCAACAGTAAGAATGTTAATCATTTTGAACTGTGGCAAATAAATATAAGCATCTGGACTCCTCTCACCTAAGATGAAGAGATCTTCAGTAGAGCATGTTTTTTCAGGATCAGATATGACACTCATAAATTTGAAGCAAACTAGCTCATGAAATTCCAGAATGAATTTTTCAGTTAAAGTTACAGCTGTAAACTTACTGTAAAAACAGATGCGACAGCAAAATCCTAACTGGATAACCTCACAACTAATTATTAGAGCTGAGAAATGCCTCATGTGATTGTCCTCAAATAAAAAAAAACTAAATTTGCTTTGCAAATATTCATACCCCTTTGTGTTCTGTTCCTGAGAATATTCAAGCAAATGAAGTTATATCCAGGAATGTTTGTGAAAACAGAATTTTACATGAATATCAGAACATTCAGAGAAACTGAATTTTGAACTCAGAAATACATTTCCACAGAAACTTACTTCAATAAATTGTGCTCTTTCAGTCAGAAAACAATGACACCATCATCTGACCAATTTTTCTTATGAAAATTAACCACATGGATTGCATTTCATATTTCAATACCAAATAATCTAATAAAATACCGAGATTTATTCACAGAAATCATTAGGGGAATAATTTTGAAAAAGGAACATATTGGAGAAAACTGAAAACTGCTCATGGACAATTTGAAAGTAGAAAAGGATGCTAAAATTCACAGCAAAATATTATTCACTGTGAATTAATCAACTAGTTTTACCAATTACTTGAGGACATTTGAACACAGAAATTAATAAACTAACTAGCAATGAGCCCAACGTCAAAACTAGAGCATAACACCATTGGACATTGTGGAAGTTCAGATCTCAGCTATACATGTGAGAACGATCTCTACAATCAATCAGAACTCCCTGCTCTTCCAGAAAAAGTTAACACAGACTGTGTTAGTACAGAGCAGTGAAAGTTAATGTATCTGCATTATTTCCATACCATACTACTAGAAATCATACTGAAATCAAAACTAACAAAAACAAACCCATGGCGGTTTGCCATGCTATCTTGTTGGCAATTTAATAACGTTTCAGATTCTTGTTTTCAGGATGGTAGATTTTTCAAAATTTAGACTTCCTGACACTGCCTCTTTAAATTGTAGCAAATACTCACTGTCTTTATAATACACTCGTAGGCACTTCAGTCTTGGAACATTGTCTCTCATCACCACTTTGTTCGCTCCAGTGGACTTGTCAACCCGCTCAATGACCTCATAGTCTCGATCAGTATAGTACAGAAAGGAATCATAGACAGCGATTCCCCAGGGGTGAGAGAGATGAAGAACCAGGGTCACACGATTTGTACCATCCACATTGCCTTTTTCAATCTAAGAGATCAGTTAGAATTTCATTAGAATTTTATACATGCTGATAAACTCTTTCTGTGAACAGAAATCTATGCATTTCTCTCAGGTTTGGGGCAAGAGTTGTGGGGTTGTTGTTTTTTTAAGAACTATTCTTTTCTTTCCATTAAAATTTAACAAACTTGTCATTTTTCAAAACAGCTAATGACAATCTAAAATAAAAGCCACATTGAGAAAAGAAAAAAGATATAATTATATAAGAGCAAAATTAACGTTAGTAAAAATATTATTCACCTATGTCTCATTAACACACACAAGTACACCTCTACCTCGATATAACGCTGTCCTCGGGGGCCAAAAAATCTTACTGCATTATAGGTGAAACCACGTTATATCGAACTTGGTTTGATCCGCCTGAGTGTGCAGCCCCGCCCCCCTGGAGCGCTGCTTTACAGCGTTATATCCAAATTCATGTTATATTGGGTCGCGTTATATCGGGGTAGAGGTGTATTTTCATCTACTTTATTCTTTTTCTTTTTTTTTAAGTGGGCACCACTACCAGCAGTGGTTCTCAAACTTTTGTACTGGTGACCCCTTTCACATAGCAAGCCTGTGTGTGCGACACCCCCGTTAGACATTAAAAACACTCTTTTTTACATATTTAACACCATTATAAATGCTGGAGGCAAAGCGGGGTTTGGGGTGGAGGCTGACAGCTTGCGACCCCCCATGTAATAACCTCATGACCCCCTGAGGGGTCCCGACCCCTAGTTTGAGAACCCTTGTGCTAAAGGATACACTGTTCAATAAAACTGGCAGAATGGAGTGAATAGTTCACACCTTTTCTCTCACAAACTTTGATGTCATTCATTGAAAGGCTGTTCTAACTAATGCCATCCTGGACCTCCCAGGTACACTCCTGACAGTTATGAATCAGAAAGATATGTTCCTGCTCCCATTGAGAGATTCCTCTGGACTCTTGCCTGACTCACAGCAGCATATATGAGCAGGATATAGGAGCCCTTGAGGGTTCAATTGTCCAGTAGTTAAAAATCACTGGAGGAAACACAATGGCTTTTTTAATGTTATGGAACATGTGAGTGCACACTCTTCCATGGGGACATTGGATAAACACTTTATCTGGTAATAAGACTACTGTATCTTCCCTATACCCAAATGCTGTTTCAGTACCCATGGAGGGAGAGGCACAAAAGGCAGTTAGGCATTCAACTCTCATTGAAATTCTAAAAAGCAAGATTCATTCCAGTCCAGCAGCTACTGTATAGTGTACAAATCAGTCATATTTGGCCTGCAACTTTTAGTCACATGATTATTCTCAGTTAAATAAGTGAACTACTCATGTGAGTTAGGGCTGCAGAAATGGGCACGCAGATACTACAGCAACAATATATAAAAATTCATACCACTCCCGTGCTTGTGACAGCCCAGTACAACTTCTGTTCCTTTATGTCAATGGTAATAAACTCTACATGGTCAAGGTTGCCAGTGAAGAGGGTTTTTATATCTGAGCCATCCATGTTTGCACTGGCAATCTTTGCTGGGACCCCGCTGTCAGTTCCTTGGTCTGTCCAATACAGTTTCCTGAAACATATGTTATCGCAGCAATTACAGAAGCAGGTAAGAATCTAAGGCCCCGGTTCATCAAAGCATTTAAGAATATGCATAAGTCTACTGTGCTACTCAGCAAAATACTTCAATATGTTCTGAGTAGGGATGGACTGCTCAATCAGGTCCAACAACATGTTTCACTTTATCGGAACATTGTCATGTTAAAGATAGTTTAAGAAAAAATATTTCCTTTCCTGAACCACTCACAACATCTTAAATTACTAAAACTCAGCAAATTTTAAGAATCTAACAGAGATAATTTCCATTTTGCAGAGGATTCTGAGATTTCAAAATTGGGTTTGGAATGAAAACCAAAAATGTCTAAGGCTATGTCCACACTGGCAATTGAATGACAAAACTTTTGTCTTTCAGCGGTATTAAACACTGTCCCCCCCCCGAAAGACAAAGTGCCAGTGTGAACAGCACGTTGTCGACAGGAGTGCTCTCCTGCCAACGACACAAATGCCGCTCGTTGGGGGTAGAAGATTTTTGTCGGCAGGAGAGCCGACCAACAGTGACTACACTGCATGACTTTTAGCGACACAGCTGTAGAGATACAGCCAGCTCCGGGATCTAATTTACTTTTCAATGTTTATGAGGGGTTTTTTTTGTATTTTGCTAGGCTTGATCAGTAAAAAAAAAAAAAGAATAAACTTTTACCCAAAGACATTATCTTAATATTTATAATAAGGACTAAAATGGAGAGTTGCCATTTTGGATGGGGGATTATGTGACAATTAAAAAATAATCTGCAACTATGCAGCAATTTATGCATTCATGTAATTGATCGCATTGCTTATTAGGCTCTAACTATAGTTTTAAAAGATTAACAGATTCAACCCAAATATAATTTTAAAAAACAAACTCTGTGTATGCCAATTTTATGCCTGCAACAAATTTTCATCGCCACCCGTCATACAAACCCTAAAAATTAGGAGAGAAATAAAATAATTGAGAAAGTATTTACTATACCAAGCTGATATAACTTAGAAAATAAAGCATAAGTAAAGAAAAAGCTATTTTGGAAACTTACCCTCGTGCTGGATCAACGGCCAAACCAATTGGCACTCCAGCTCCAGTAGGGGTACCATCATTGGTAATCAGAGTTTTTCTGTACTTTACTTCACCATGTAGCTTCAGTACCTATATAAATGTTTAGCACAATTAGGGTCTGCAATGTGGAATTGACAGTATAATTTCAAACTAAAACCTGGACAGCCTGAACCCACATAGGTCCAAGCTGAAGAAAAGGTTAACACAAGCACTATGAAGAAAAAGCACTGGGTTCTGTACTTTTCCAATAGGTTCTCTCCTCTGACAAGTACTTCTCCAACAAACTCCCTGTGATACTTAATTTAGCTAGCATAACTGCAAATGATTCCTGTTCATAAAAGTCACTAAAATCCTTACTAAACTGCTTCCATTCTTCAGTATAACACTAAAGGTGTTAAGTGAGGTTCAGGTTGATTTTATGCTGCTTTACAAAATATTTCTTTTTAACCTGTTTAAAATTAGTTTCCTTTTAATTTAATCACATGCCCCCCTTTTATTATTCTGGGACAGAGAAATCCCTGATCATCCATTACTCCTCTCCTTTCCACTCTATATAACCCTGGTCTTTTTATCCTCTACCTACTTTCAAGCGGCTAGTCTCTTGTGAGCCACAACACACCAAACCACACCACAGCATTTGGGACCTGAACTTTCTTTCATTGCAGCCAATGGTAAAACTCCCACTAATTTCAGTAGGCATAGGATGTGGAGCTTAGACTTTAATGCAGAACTGTAATACATCATTCCACTCTAGTGTTCTGAGGATTTATCAGCATCAAACAACATCAGAGAGCTTACTGATTTGAAGAAAAAATAGATCTGTGCACAGGTAAATGGATGCTCCTATGAAGTATTGCTTTTAAAATCACATTGGCTATATACATATGTCCAGATTCGAGTGTGATTTATTTAGTTTGATACTTTAGGCAACTAAATTTTATATTTTTTTCTGTGTTTTGTCCTTAATATTCAGTTTTAAAATAAAGCTGCTTTCAGGTGTATTTCCCCAGAATGCCTTGCTGCTTTGAAGCTGTATGTATGGCCTCTGAAAGAAATATTCAGGCTTTCACCTTTAAATTGTATTTATCAAATAAGTACCTCAACTGACTGTGTGCCAGGGTTACTATAATACAGGTTTGCAGATATCCAGTCTAAAGCCAGGCCAATAGGAGCACCAATAACAGCTGCTGGAGCAAATACTGTCCTGTTAGTTCCATCTGACTTCACCCTGTGAATTTCACCCTTGGGGAAAAAAGATAAGAAAAGTGAGAAAATGTCGAGGGCAATGTCACAAAGAAAATAACATATTTCTTCCTCTTCACAAGCACTTCCCTCATGTGATACTAATTTGCTTAGGAAAAAGCAAATCCAACACAGCTAGTAGAATTTATATGTATATGTACAGTACAAAAGAGCTGCAAAAATATTATTTTAAATCTTAAAAGCTACATTATATAAAGAAACAATACTACTCTCTATCCTGACTGGAGGATGTAAAATTGTTATGCTTAGAATAGAAGGTTGGAGTTTATATCTTTCACAGTTATATATAACCATACTATGGTATGAACACTTTATTAGGAAAAACTCAAGGAAGGTCTGTGATAAACATCTCTGATACAGTTTAAACACAATAAAAGAAAATTATGTGGTCTTTTCCCCAGTATAACTTTTTAAGATTTGTACTTTGAAAACAGTTATAATGTCAGGAAACTTGACTAAGTTTATCCCAGTGATCCTACCCACTCTTGCTCCAGGAGTGTAAACCCTACGCAATCTCCAACACTAGTTGCTATCTTTCTGTGGATGACACTTAGGGCAAGTCTATACTACAGCGCTACATTGGCGCAGGTGCACTGATGCAGCTGTGCCACTGTAGCACGTCTGCTGAAGGAGCTCTATGCCAACGGGTGAGTGCTCTCCCATCAGCATCATTACTCCATCTCCGTGAGAGGCGGATGCTATGTCGGCGGGAGACCATCTCCCGCCATCATAGCATCAGTGTGAACAGCGCTTAAGTCAATGTAACTTACGCCACTTGGGGAGGGGGGTGCTTTTACACACTCCTGAGTGACATAAATTACTTAAGCGGTAAGGTAAACCGGCCCTTAGGAATGTCTTCAGAGACACATCCGGAAGTGTGCTGACCAGACAGGGATCTGCAGAGCTGACTACTATAGCTGCTCTGGTTGATTTTCTGAGTTTACTTCAACTTTACAGAACTGGTTCAGGGATACAGTAACTCCTCACTTTAAGTCGTCCCGGTTACATTGTTTCGTTGCTGATCAATTAGGGAACATACTCATTTAAAGTTGTGCAATGCTCCACTCATACGTTGTTTGGCTGCCTGCTATCTCCCGACGCCCCCTCCTCCCCACAGCACCTCCCGCCCGCCGGCAGACCCTACAGATCAGCGCCTTCCCCCTCCGCCCCCCAGCAATCAGCTGGCTGCGGCGTTTTGGGGGCAGGAGGGAGGGGGAAGGAGCGAGGACTGGGCGCACAGGCTCCCCCTCCCTCCCCTGCCTCCCCAACACCGCAAGCCAGCTGATTGCTCTGGGCAGGAGGCTGGGGGGAGGGACGGGGAGCCTGCGTGCCAAGTCCTTGCTCCTCCCCCCTCCCTCCTGCCCCCTAAACACTGCAAGTCAGCTGATTGCCCCAGGCAGGAGGGAGGGGGGAGGAGCAAGGACTCAGAGTGCCTCCCCCTCACCCCTGCCTCCTGCCAGCAGCAATCAGCTGGCTTGCGGCGTTTAGAAGGGAGGGGAGGGAGGGGGGAGGAGCGAGGACGCAGCATGGGAAGTAAAGGGGGAGGAGCTGGGGGGGAGAAGAGGCAGGTCAAGGATGGGGGTTTGGGGGAAGGGGGGGAGTGGGCGGGCTGAGGGCTGAGCCCACCCCACCCCCATCCCTGGTGCTTGCAGAGTAGAGGAAGCTGCCGCTGCTGCGCAATGTGCTTCTCCTAGCCTATAGCACCTTCAGCCTCC